TGTAGAAGACTAGATATTTTCAACATGGATGTATTTAAAAATCGACAAAGCTACTGTAAAGCTAGATGGAAATGAACAAGAACTCCATCTCAAAGTCAAACTATACCAAAGACACAGAAAAACAAAACCTTCACTTATGCAATGCATTGTCTACTACATATAAATAAGATAAATAATAAAATGCAGAAGGGCTGAACGTCCAGCTAGTATAACTGTGGCAAGAGGAAGGAAAAGAATAACCTGCCAATGTTGTTGCCTATTACGCAGTTGCAAGCTTTTCCGCAGAAGAATTTTCTCCATGGCATCACTATTCTGTATTGAGGGCTCCTCCTGCTCATAAGGTCCTCCATCATTAACCATACTTCCACTACTGCTTGATCTTGAAAAGGAAAATTCTGATAAATTTCCTGTCTTCATTGGCTTTTGAGATACGTAGGCTTTGAGATGAGCATCTACTTCTCTATGCAGTCCAAAAGGTAAGACAACCTATACATGCTTCAAATAGTTTAGAACAATATATATTGGGTAGTAGATTATCTTCAACAATATGCACAAAGTCAATTTGGCTGAGAAATAGATGAAAGTACCTCTCTTTGTGGTCGCTTATCATCCAGATCAGGTCTGTAATTTGGCTGAGGGACTTTACTAAAGACTACAACTTTTGAATACTGACGGCTGCTTGAGAAAATTAAGAATCAGAAAACACACAAACATGGGCATAGAATAAAGAAAATGTGAATAACTCGTGCACACACTAAACTGACGTACCTATATAAACCCATCCTATTTGCCAGTTCTGAAAGATGCTCAAAATCACGTCTGTCCTTTCTTTCCCTGGACACCACTTCTTGCTCATCTCTGTTGCGAAGAAGCATGGTTAACTTCCATCTCCATTCATCAATGTTTTCAAGGGTCGAACCACCCTACAAACCATCAGCCAGAATCAAATAACCACCATATATATCTATGAAAGTTATATTTCTGTCACGCTAAATAAATAAAGCATATATTTGAAATCACAGAATTTACATTGAAAAAGAGTAGTGAGAAAATTAACAGGTTTCATCCTACTTTCAACTTCGTTGGCTGTTATTTCAAAGTCCTAAAACGAGTAAGATACTTTCAAACACATATACTGATACCAAAGTTCTAGCCTTTGTGCTTTTTGGCCAGCATCTTAGGAATATAATCACTTTTTTTTTTGGTAAAAGCATACAATTTCACTTTCATTAGCAGCTGCAGTGGATTTAGAATTAACAATCCCCCAATAATTACTAACTCAATCAAAGTCGCCAATGGCCATTCTAGCTTCAAAAATTGGAAGATGATGAGGTTAAAGAATTTTTCTTGCTCCTATAAACTTACGTAGATGAAATTTTCATTTCCAAGAGTAATCAAAAGTATCTTAAAAAATTACTAAACCAAAACAGAGGCTAACTCAATCAAAGTGCTCAATTCAAGCAATCAAGTTTCTAAGAAAATGGGCATGGAAAAACTAACCGATTGGCGCTGAGAAGAACCCCTTTCGTAGTCGGAATCCTCACTAGCGGAGGCGTCTTGGTATGCAAACCGTCCATAACCCAAGTTCTGCTGGTACAAAAAGGGCACCGCCGTACTCCTCAGCTGCCTCTGCTTCCAATCAGCCTCCACGGCCCGCGACGAGGCCAGGCACGTGACTTCCCCCACTGGCCCCACGTGACGCGGCAGATAATAATACGCATTCCAATTCTGCGACCGGGCAAGGCAGTGGGTGTGGTAACGGCTGTTCCTCATGGTGCAACCGAAAAAAGACGGCCTTACTGAAGCTATGTGGTGGTGGCGGTGGTTGTGGGTCCTACGCAAAGAGGCCAAAATGGGGGATGAGGCGGTAGTCGTTTTGAGAGACATGGCGGTTGTTCTTATTATATAGCCCTCAAAGAGGGCTGAGTAGGGCATGGCTCCCTCTGGGCGTGGGTGTATGTGTCTGTTGCGGCTGTGGGTTTTTTCAGTTGCAGCAGTTATGGAGCCATTTGCTGATATTAGGGTTTTGAACAGATGCAATGGATGTCTTGGTGTTGTTTTGGTTTGGTTTATGTTGGTTGCAGAGAAGTGGCGCTGAGAGCATTTACGTCATGACTCTGGTGCTGGACTCTGTTTATTCATTTATCTATTAAAAGAAAATAGAGATAAAATTACAGTCTAGCCCAAATTTTTTTTATATTTTAAATCTAACCTATCCTTACTAGGGACACATAGCTGTTCTCTCTCCTTGTTTAACCTAAAACCCCACTCTCTGCTTCTAACTCACTCTAGGGTTTCCATACCATTTCAAAATTGGAACTTGGAAGCCTTTCGTCCATCCCTGCATCCATGGCTTCACCAGCAGTGATCTCCCAACCCCGCTCGTCCTCCAAGACCGAGTCTTATGTCGACAACAAGCGCAAGGAAGACATCCGCCAGGCCAACATCCTCGCCGCTCGAGCCGTGGCCGATGCCGTCCGGACCAGCCTGGGACCCAAGGGCATGGACAAGATGATCTCCACTGCCAACGGCGAGGTCATCATCACCAACGACGGCGCCACCATACTCAACAAGATGGAGGTCCTCCAACCCGCCGCCAAGATGCTCGTCGAGCTCTCCAAGTCTCAAGACTCTGCCGCTGGTGACGGTACCACCACCGTCGTCGTCATTGCGGGCGCTCTCCTGAAACAGTGCCACATCCTTCTGTCCCACGGCGTCCACCCGACGGTCATCTCCGACTCTCTCCACAAGGCTGCCATTAGAGCCGTCGATGTCTTGACCGCCATGGCCGTCCCCGTCGAGCTCACAGACCGCGATTCGCTGGTCAAGTCTGCAAGCACATCGCTCAACAGCAAGGTAGTGAGCCAGTACTCGACTCTGCTCGCGCCGCTCGCCGTCGACGCGGTGCTCTCAGTGGTGGACCCCGCGAAGCCAGAGGTGGTGGACCTGAGGGATATCAGGATCGTGAAGAAGCTCGGAGGCACCGTCGACGATACGGAGACGGTGAAGGGACTTGTTTTCGATAAGAAGGCGAGTCACGCAGCTGGTGGGCCTACAAGAATGGAGAACGCGAAGATCGCTGTGATTCAATTCCAGATTTCGCCTCCCAAGACCGATATTGAACAGAGCATTGTCGTCTCCGACTATACACAGATGGATAGGATTTTGAAGGAAGAAAGGAATTACATTCTGGGTATGATTAAGAAGATCAAGGCGACTGGGTGTAACGTCTTGCTGATTCAGAAGAGTATTCTGAGAGACGCAGTTACTGATTTGTCCTTGCATTATTTGGCGAAAGCGAAGATCTTGGTGATTAAGGACGTGGAGAGAGATGAGATCGAGTTCATCACCAAGACTCTGAATTGCTTGCCCATTGCTAACATTGAGCATTTCCGGGCAGAGAAATTGGGGTACGCTGATTTGGTTGAGGAGGTTTCGCTTGGTGATGGAAAGATTGTGAAGATTACAGGGATTCAGAACATGGGTCGGACCACTACCGTTCTGGTTCGTGGGTCGAACCAGTTGGTGCTGGATGAGGCGGAGCGGAGCCTGCACGATGCTTTGTGTGTGGTGAGGTGTTTGGTGAGCAAGAGGTTTTTGATTGCGGGTGGCGGTGCGCCGGAGATTGAGCTGTCGAGGCAGTTGGGTGCGTGGGCTAAGGTGCTGCAGGGGATGGAGGGTTATTGTGTGAAGTCGTTTGCAGAGGCGCTCGAGGTTGTTCCCTATACACTGGCTGAGAATGCGGGTTTGAATCCAATTGCGATTGTGACTGAGCTGAGGAACCGCCACGCACAGGGAGAAATCAACACTGGAATTAATGTGAGGAAGGGGCAGATTACCAACATCTTGGAGGAGAATGTGGTGCAGCCGCTGCTTGTGAGCACAAGTGCCATCACTCTGGCCACCGAGTGTGTGCGGATGATTTTGAAGATTGATGACATAGTTACAGTAAGATAGATTGGATGTTTCTTATTTCATCTGTGCTCTATTTCTTTTTAGGTGGATTTCTGTTCCGAATTTTGGTAATGGTACTGGATGTTTACTTTTGATTTGATCTTTGGGTGTTTATTAAGGGATGTTATGGAACTTACCTTTGTCCATGCATCTAGTTAGTCATTATGTATTTCTTTTAACTCTGTCGTCTTAAGTTTGCATGCTAATAGAGAAGATGGTTATTTTGTATATCGTGGCTTCCATCACAAAAATTTAGACTCCAATCTATTGATAAACCTCTTCATTGAGCAATGCTAATCCTTTTTCCTGAAGTTCGATTTCATAATGCTGAAATGGGGTCTCTGTTCAGTTTTAGGAGGATCTATGTTTTGGTGATTTGTGTCCTTCGGATTTTGTTCATTCATTTCTTGTTAGGCTCAAAGGAAATTTGTGACAAGTTGTTGCATTTGATATAATCTTTATGCTTGAGTTTGCTTAGATATAATTCAAATGTTGAGAAGATATGGAGTTTGAGTTTCTCCGAATGAGTTGGGGAGTTGAGTTGATGGAGGTTAAAGATGAAGAAGAAGATACAGTTCATGTAGGCTCCCAAAAATCATCATGCATGTTTTACGATCTTGGGTGAGGGAGACTCTGAATTGCTTGCTCACTGCTAAGATTGATTGCGTGATCTTTCTTCCACCTCTGTCAATTGCCCAAGGGGGCGGACTCTGTTATGAATCATGCTTTAGGCTGCCTTTCTATGCATTTGCAGGAAACCTTAAGTATTTGCACAAATAATTTTAGAGAAAAAGTCTCATTGAATTTACATGTTGAAATGCTCAGGTTATCTGAAACCTGTGCTTACTGCATTTCATCCCCCCTTTTACCCATGTGTGGTTAACTGTTTCGGGTTCTTTTGTTTTTGGTCAATAACATATCTCGTGTTCTAAGCATAAGCATGCCTATGACGATATAATGCAATTCCATAATCTTCTTTTATATCAGCTTCAAGAAGGGGCTTCTTCAATACTTCCCCTTGGTTAAACACTCTGTTTTCTTCATTTTTACCCCCACAAAACTGAGTAGAGACCTAACATGATGAGAAGTGCGCCAATAATCCTGCAATGGAAGAAGGAAATGTTAGGAAGAAAACCAAGCAGTAATAGTTAAACATGTTGTGTCGCTTGTGATATTTGATCAGATTGGGACTTTTGTCGTACCCTCCAGAGTATAACTGATCACCAAGAACAAGAGTTGCCATGACAGCACCTAAGGTGGTCTGCAAGGGCTGGAAGACAGCAACAAACACAGGGCCACTATACTGGATACGCCATGTTTAGGGAGCAACAACAATCCCCGTTTCCCAAAAACAAGGCAGATAGTCATAAATTGAGGTTCAAGAGAAATTCATGTAGATCCAATATTTTGCATATGTAGTCATCTAACAAATGCTAGGAAAATTACAGCATATAGGATTGTAAACAATTCTTCCCCAGATTGGATTTTCCAGTTCTCAAATTCAGTCTCTACGAAGACTGCGATCGCCAGGAACTGAATCAATCCGAAGAAGCATGTGAATGAAGTGAGTGTGAGCTTCGCCGGATACTTTTTCAACATGGGAGCCCGCAAAGTTTGAACATCACATTCCAGGTCATGAAAATGGTGATTGAAATGGCTGAGTTAGGCATTCATAAGTTTGGTCAGAATAATCATGGGTTGAAAGATGATTTTCGACTGACCTGAAAGACCATCCAACTAGCCCATGCTACGCAGTGTCCAAGCAGGTAGATGCAACCCCATTTCCAGTTCTGCATGTCAGTGCTACTTGACATTTCTTCTGTTAGCGGCGTTCTTCCCTGAATTGGCTGTGTCTGGTTCAGAAGAGGGAGGCCTTGGTGAAGAGTAATAACAGTTGCACCCCCTAGACTTGCAATGGTTCCCATAACTTTAGCCAGCCCATCTTTCCTTGTGATGTTAATGCGCTCAAGTCTGAGAGAGAGAGAACTCAAGAGTAGAACTCTTTCCTCAACAAGAAACAAAAACAGAGGAAGAGGTGTGCAGAATAAAGAAAAGAAGATGAAAAACAGAGCCCTAAATATATACCTTAGAGCCAAAGCCATTAGAAAAGTAATTGCAGGAACCGAGTTTTGCATTGCAGATGCAAAGTTGGAGACGCATAATACAGCCCCAAAAGGAAAAATCATTGGTTTGCAGTGATCCTGATACCACAAATGACGATTATAAAGACCATTCCATTTTTATTAAAAGCAAGCAAATAAGCAAAGAAATAAGCAAAGGGGCCCAACGAAAGCAGTGCAATGAGGTTCCTATAAACTGGGTAAACAACTATACTTACGCCAATGTTCAATGCAACTCTAGAGACTATATGAAACCCTGCAAAGCAGAGCTGCAGAACAAGCAATGCAATTAGTTTATACCTCATTGTATGAACTGAAAATATATTTTGTTTTGCTCCACGAGAGGTGATGAGGTTTGGGAGACGAGGTGAAGGTAAAGCATGTTAGCCAGGTAATCAGAGAGTAGGCGACCAAAGTTCCCCTCCATTGGTCTCAGTCAGGTCTGAGCTTAATCCCATCATCTTCGAATACGGTTTGATATTCTCTATCAATCATAAGGCTTTTATTTATTTATTTACTTCCTCTAAAATTAAATTTCATATTAATGGCACTGTGAAAGAAGATTTTGTCTTTTTGGAAAATGGAATCTGCTGCCAAATAATGATAATGAGGAGAAATTCATAATTGGGTTAGGTTAGGTCGTTTGTCCAAAATCATAGTCTCGACTCGAGTCAGTTTTTCGTTAATAGGTTGGGTTGGGTTGTTGGACAAGAAGATGGAACAACACGATACAAAGAATCAATCAGAGATGGCATGTGAGTCCTTTTCATTATTAAGGAGTTGCAAAACCTAAGCATTCAAAAGCAAGGAGAGGAGCTGAAGGGGCAGTATTGTCTTTTCGCATTTCGTTCGTGCTTTCAATTGCTCAAATCCAGACGAGCTTGTAAATGTTTAACTTGGGCTGTGCTGGCTTTTCTTCGGTCACATTCTTAAAAGATGAACTTGAGACATGATATTGGAGCTGGTTCCGTTAGCAACTTGCAAGCATACAACATAAACTGGTCAGGTCCTGATTCAAATTTCTTGCATTGGAAAAAGTACCAGAATACCTGGTTGTGTTAGAGCAATACAATTTTAAAACATCTAGCAATATCTGCACCAAGAATCCGAGGCTGCATATATCAAGGTTACTTCATGACTGAGCAACTAACCAATGGTGGACAACATTTTGTTGAGCTTACACAATTAAAGAAACGAACCCTCACAGTGCTTCATAGCCAGTAGCCGGGTATTCCTTTTAAAATGAATTGGCGCCTAGAACTACTTGTGCCTGAACATGATTATGATTACAGTGCAGTTATCTTTACAGCGCCGTTCACGCACAGCTTCTTTTACAAGACGGCGGCTAATAGTTGAAACAGGTAGTCCCTCCTGCAAAAATAAAATCCCATCCTTCTAAGTAATTATGTGTCTTAAACAACAGATTAAGTTCAAGACACCTAAGAGGATATCTTGAAACAATTCACAACCACCATAATTCACCTCTTGATTTACATTTGAATGTGAAGGGGTTTTTGTATTATGCATCAAATCCCACAAATTTTCAGCAACTAAAAAGAAACCTAACAGAAACAGATATCTTCCCCATTTGACACGTTCATATAAGTAATTGAGGATCTGGTCATTTTGCCAAATAATGTTGTAGTTGATTGTTGAAGACAAACCATTTTACAAGGAGATAACAAAATCAGACCAAAACGAAAAAAGAAAGAGAAAAGAGAAACTTAACATGCTAGTTCAAAGAAACGTGACAAATTAATTATTTAAATGAAACCTATAAGACAATGGACCTATTCAAATTCCATGGGATGTTGAAATGATCATTAAGAAAGAGACTATTTGCGCTAACCTTCAAAAGTTTTTGAACAAAAGCAACAGCATCACTTGGTCCAATTACCTGTAACAAATTTAGAAACATTTTACTGTTAGACAATAAAATATCAGGAATAAGATCCAAAAGAAAAATGTAAATTAATATGAGGTCCAATTCAGACAAAGATTCTGTATTCTAGGCATATTCCAAGTCCAGGAGAAGTAAAGAAAGAAAACATACCCCCCAGAGGCCATCACAACCAAGAATTATGAAGTGCTCTCTCTCTGTAAGGTCAAATGAATGAATATCTGGGGTTGCAACAACACCCACCTGCAATTTACAGACAAAACTATCAATTCGATAATCTCTTTGTAAAGTAGAGCAATATGGTTTTTTGTCCCCAAAGTAGTAGATTGATGAAAACATGTAACTACAGGGAAAAGCGTCTAAGAGAACAGAAAATAAAACCTTTTTGAAATGGCGATCTCCGAAGGCCCTAGAAACTTCAAGGCGCCCCTGTAGTCGTCCATTTGAACTCACATTACCACCAGCCTGAAGCACATTTCAAGCAGAAAGGAGCTCATAAGGTTTCAAGTGGATTCAGATAGAAGTAAATATACTAAAAGGTTACACATGGAATACAATGCAGCGGACACAAAAGCAATATACAAAGAATATCACCTTATTTCTTTTCTTCAGCTCTTGTTAATCACAGTTTAGCAAGTCCACATTAAAGGTAAACAAAGCATAATCCCCTAACAATTCAACTCAACAAAGTCTTAATCCCAAGTTTACTTATACACAGCACTTACCTTCTGAATACGAGCACGCTCTTGTGCATAGATAGCTTTGTGTTCTCTTGTTAAAACAATGGCCTTCAGATGACATGCTTCATCAGATCCATTCTTCAATCCCTCAGCAGGAGATGATCTTGCTACCACAGCTTTTGCATCCCCAATGTTGGCAACAAAAACCTAGAAACATCCAGTACCATTAGAACAGGATTTGTAAATTGCCATTAGCATGTCTTAGGAACACCATAGTCATTCCACTTGGAAAGAAAATTGAATCATCACATCATCTAGTATTCTTCAAGAGAAGGCCTTAAGTTGCTCCTTTTTATTTTTTCAAATTTTCAAAAAGACAAGCAGTATCCTATCAAATAATCACGTAATTGCAAATTGTATCCTTAAATGATTTCAGATTACAGAACCAAGATCAAAGAATGCAACTCAGTGATGTTTAAAGCATCATACTACATACAGAAAACAGCTTACTAAAGGCGTTAATTTTTCTATTTTAGAAACTCAATAACATACTTAGTACTTACGGTTTTTCCTAATATCCAAACACATACAGCTGTAGCACCGTCCTGCCATCCCCCTGATGACAATTTAAAACCAACACATGAATCCTCAAGTAGATATTAGGAAAACATTAGTCCATAAAATGGTTCTCTACTTGCGAAAAAAATGGTAGACAGATAGATAGATAGATAGATAAAAGATATGCGAAATAACTATTTGAGACGCAATATTCTAGTTCAATTAATCTAGGCGAAAGAAAGTTCAAATCAGAAATAGAGGATGAAAGATTCACCCTGTACCTGCAGCACTTTCTTGAAGAAGAGACTCATCAGTTTTCCGAAAACCTAAATTAGGGAAAACAAAATTCAAATAAATACACCTAATAACAAAAAAAATCCACACTTGGATGAAATCACTATATGATAAAAATAAACAAACAAACAGACTTGCACAGTAATTTATACCATCAAGTATGGCTTTCTTGGCTGCTTTTACATCCAACTGCAATGCAAAGCAATAAAATACAATTAGACTTCAAGGACAACAGTTTCCACGAAAGCAAAATGCCTAAATTTTCTTTTTCAACATATGTACTAATGTATATGGCGCAGATAGTTACATCATTCAATGATAGAGCCTTAATTTTCTTTTTCAAGCAAAAGAAAAATTCTTTTCTACAAAATTTCATAATTGAAATCCAACTACCAACGCATTGACAAAACAATCCAACACGTACAGAAACTAACAAAGATGATTATGTCAATCTGCCATTAGGTCTAAACATATATGCAAAAATCAGACTAAGCAAACACACCAACTCACGTGGTAATCCGGCTGAAAGCACATTTGTATGTAAATGCTTCTGAGCATACTCTGCAGCTAATCGACCTCCATGCCCATCATAAATTGCAAAATGCGCACATCTGACCCAAAAAGAAGACTCCAAGAAGTAACTAAATTGAACTTTTAAAGCTTGCCATATATAAGAACAACAAAGCATTAGAACCTCAATTTTCCCGGAAAATCCAAGCTTGCGTCCAAGAGCACAACCCAAGCGTCCTCCATGGCGTGCCGTAACCCCTTATCCTCGGCTGCATCAGCTTCAATCTTAAAACCCATTTCCCTACCACCTGAATTTGGCTCATTGACCCCACTATCCTTGTTCCCTTCACCTAAATCAACTCCTGGGTCTTGCTCTTGTTCGGTTTTCAACTTCTTTGCAGCTGAAATAGAATCCTCGGAATTGCTTTCACTCTTTTGCTTTTGCTTTTGCTTTGGCGCTGGTTCTACCTCTTTTGGGGTCTCGTTCTTGGGGGCTGAATTGGAGGTTTCAGTTTCACTCATTGTGGACTCAAAACAACTGGTCTCTATTTTCAAGATATCTTGATAAGAAAAACAAGAAGGAAGAAGACTGTTTGGTTGCTGAGAAATTATTCCAATTAAGGCTGCAACCTTTTTCTCCAATTCACGATTCAAATGCTGGAGCGTCAAGAGTAATGGATGAAGCAAATTCGAGCTTCGAGCCTCCAATCAATTTACCCGTAAAGAATTTTAACGTTTTTCATTGTTTTTTAATGCAAGTTGGGTTGGGCTCAGTCCTGCAAACAAGTGCAAGTTGTGTTGGGCCGGATCTGCTTTCTATTTCACGCGAAGGGCATAGCGTCCAATCCACTCCATCCATTTTTCTCTTTTCAATTCAAAAAAAGAAAAAAATACAGCTTGAGTGAGTTGGAGTGTAAGACTGAACTCAGGAAACCCTAACTGCAACAGAACTAACCCACACCAAAATTTTACGTCCACTACAAGAAAACCCATTTCCAAATCCATCGAAGACTAGATTCCCATTTTACCCTCCGACTCTCACAACCAATGCTCCTTAGTACACTAATCGCCGGCTGATATTCCGACTCCACCTTCCACTCCGGCCATGTCGCTTGACGGCCGCCCCGGCGACCGCCGTGAAGGGCCCTCGCCGGTGACCGGGAACGGAGTCGTATTGGAGGACTCGAACCGGCCGGCGCTCGCACCCATGTCGAGCCAGAGGCTGAGGTTGATCCCAAACAAGGATCACAATCCGGATAACTACGATGACATGGAATTGGATTTCAGTTCCTCGATTTTCACCTCGCTCGAGCGGTTCCTGCCTCCGAGCATGCTCGGGATGCCTCGACACGATAAGGTTAAGTTCATGACTGAGATTCTGCTCAAGTACTTGCCTCACGGAGAGCGTAACAGAGTAAGTTTTATCCATTTTTTCGTGTTAAAGTGTGTTTCTTTTTTTCTTCATTCGGTGGTGGTCCATTTGGTTACTGAGAATTTCGTGGAAAAGGAAGCAACTTGAATATGCTCGCAATTTTTAATCTTATTGATCGAATTATTATCGTTATTTTTGCCTCTTGTGATTTGGGCATTTAATTAGGGTTTCGCTGAGGAACTGTCTTCTAACGGGCAAGTGATTTGGCCCAAAATTACGGAAATGCCCTTAAGCCCTGCTTTTTGTATGTAGGAAGGTGGTGTGGCAATCATCATCATTTTCTTTCCTTGCCTCTTTTCCTTTTACTTCTTTTTCCCTTATTTAAAAAAAAAAGGAAAAAAGATTTGAAGTAAAAGAAAACAACGCAGAGAAAGTTCAGTGAACAGGTTGACATAATTTTCCGACCAAAAAAAAGAACAGGTTGACATGATTTACTACATAGTACACTATTCTAATTCGTGAAAAATCAAACAACTGATGTCGTTTGTGCTGCTATGTATCAGGTTCAGAAACATAGAGACTACAGGCAGAAGATTATATCAAATTATCAGGTACAGTATGACGCGTGGTTACTCTTGATTCAATCCTTTCAATTTGTGGGTAAAATGGTAACTCTCAGTTGGTTTATTTTATGTTCAGAGCTCATGGGTTGGTGAATTGTTTTCCTTAGTTTTTATGTTTTTTTATCAGGCATAGTAACCCCTCAGTGTCCACACACTCCAGATCTGTACATATATATGTTGCATGATTCATGTGCTGCTTTTAATATAATTCAAGCTTTGGCCGTGCAATTGGGTTTTCCCACCAAATAAAAATTGTCCTTTTGAAGGAATAGGGACTTATAGAAGCTGAATGACATGTGTGCAGCCTTTACATAGAGAGTTATACAGTATGCACCCAGCAACCACCTTTGTGGCGCCATTTCTGAAAGCAGTTAGTGATAATACTGAGGAAAGCTTCAGAAGGATAATGTCTGAACCCTCGCCAGGGGTCTTTACATTTGAGATGTTTCAGCCACAGTTCTGTGAATTATTGTTGTCTGAGGTATACTGTCATTGTATATTACTTATCTGCCATTCTAGATTTGGCTTGGCTTACCATTGTTCGTTTCTTTTTATTTCTTTTATGTTTCTTTGGCTGCCTAGGTGGAGAATTTTGAAAAATGGGTTAATGAAGCCAAATTTAGAATCATGCGGCCAAATACAATGAATAAATACGGTGCTGTTCTTGATGATTTTGGCCTTGAAACCATGCTTGACAAGCTTATGGAAAATTTTATTCGTCCTATATCTAAAGGTGATGCAGTTGTCCTCTGTAAATACTTTAATATTTGTGAATTCACAAGAAGGTATTTTCAGTGAGGTTGGCATGTAATTTGATTTAATCTGTTAGCTTAATCTTTGTTGCAGTGTTCTTTGCTGAAGTTGGTGGATCAACTCTGGATTCTCACCATGGTTTTGTTGTTGAATATGGTGAAGATAGGGATGCTGACTTGGGTTGGTATTTTGTTTAATTGATTTTAACTTTAAAATGTTATCCTTTTGTAGTTATATATGATGTTGTCAGTCCACATAGCCTCTGCTGATGTGATAACTTATAGGTGCCCTCTAAAACTATAAAACTTGGCTCTAATCCACTGCACTATTGTGGTTATAGCAGTGATACTAGACACCTTTCCATAGCTCGAATGTGTATTTGATTAATATGCTGTTTTTAAAATGGTTGTATGGTGCTAGTTACACATTTATTGTACATACACGCCTTACCTTTGACAATACATTGAAAGTTTATGATGATAGAATACCCTCAAATGATGTGCTATAAGTACTCTACCTTCCCTCTATTTCCTCTTCTGTCAAATGTAGATGCATAAAATTAATTTCATATGTGTAGGTTTTCATGTGGACGACTCTGAAGTAACTTTGAATGTGTGCTTGGGTAAGCAATTTTCTGGAGGAGAATTGTTTTTTCGAGGCACGCGATGTGATAAACATGTAAATAGTGGAAGCCATTCAGAGGTATGTTAGTCATTAAGATGGAGAGAAAATTAATTTATTTGCGCAGGGTAGTGCAAACACTTTTTCAGTGTTTATTCGGTAGCACGTGTCCATTTTCGAATATAATATCACTAATGTTCTCTTTAATTAAAAGTTTTGAATATTATAGTTTTCTATTGATTTGACGTACTGAAACCTGTGGGTGGTTGTAAACGTATTGATGGAGTATGTTATTTAAAAGCAGGAGATCTTTGATTATTCACATGTCCCAGGATGTGCTGTGCTTCATCGTGGCCGTCACCGGCATGGTGCTAGAGCAACAACATCAGGTCATCGCATCAATTTACTTCTATGGTGCAGAAGGTATTCTTTAGATTCTAATTTTTCACAATCAGTTATATATTTTGATAAACTTCCTGTATCTTACTTTATGGAATCTGTCTAGTAATGCGCTTCAACTTTATGGGGCTGTTTGGTCCACTCTGTATTCTGGAACATTTGGATGGAGCATAATAGGAGAATTTTTGAAGACTATAAGGGAGTGGGAGTGAGTGAGCTTTGGGATAGAGTTAAGTACTGGGCAGCTTCGTGGGCGTCTGTTACAAAAGATTTTAAAGACTACTCTTATTCCACTATTATGAGGGATATGGCAGCTGCGGTTAACTGAGGGTTGGGGGGTGTGTTGTTCTGTGGTTTTTCGGTTTTGTTCCTCCCTGTTAGTTTGGGAGGGTTTGGTGCTGTTTTTTTCTCTCTGTGTTTGTTTTTGTTTCTTCGGTGGTGGTTGCCTTATCCACCTCCATGTTCTTTTGCTTAATAAATTTCGTTTCTTCTCAAAAAAAATCTGGGGGACTTCTTCCCATGTGTGTACAAGTACTCCTTCTGACAATTTTAATTGGATGTTTATGTTGTACTGTGAACATTCATGTATGAGTTTTCTGTTTTTCGCATTCACTGTTTGACTTGGGAGATCTTTTCTCCCTGTTCTTTCCTTCCTAGATTATGCCTTATATTGGAACAAAAATTTTGAAGAAGGCATTCTCAGGTTACAAATTTTGAAGTGTGAGATGTTAATGGCAACAACACTAGTTACAAAGGAAATAAATGAGGTGCAATTTAATTGTTAGCTGATAAGAAACCCAGCATGGCGGACATGCTTAGAAGTTAAGAACAAAGAAGGATCTAAATGAACACATCTTTGAAACTAGAGGATGTGTTTCCTAATAGCAGTTGCAGGCATTTTGGAAGTTTGAATATGTCCTTTCCTACAACAGTTTCGTTTAAAATGGATATCATTACCACCAAATCAATCAGAAATGGAAATTCTTTGAAATCCTTCATTTTCCAATTGTTTTATGTTGCATTAGCATTAGGATCCTACTTGTAATATTGAACTCAAGTGTAGGATTTGAAATACTTACATCTGCCATTACTCAAACTAAATTATCTCCTTACAGTTCTGTATTTAGAGAGATGAAGAAGTATCAGAAAGATTTCTCCAGCTGGTGTGGGGAATGCTTGCGTGAGAAGAAAGAGAGGCAACGCATGTCAATCAGAGCTACCAAAAGGGTAATGTATTACATGGATGCATGTACACAGTCACTGTATATGGGAAGTGAAGGATCGGGTTTAACTAGCCAAGTCATTGTGAATCACACACACAAGCACATGCACAGACGGTGACAGAATATGATGCCTACCTAAGTCTTGCATAAATCAGTTAACATGTAAAGCATTTATATATAAGGAAGCTGCCTTCCTGTTATTGCAGCACACACATTCTCTATTTCTGTAACAAAATGGACTTAGGTGAGTTGTTCCCCTGCAGGAGTTGCTCAGGAGGGAAGGTGAATCCACGGCATGATCTTTCTTCAGTGCTTATTTACGCCCTTGTGTTGTAAAATTATGTATTTTTAACCCTAGTCGTCCAATGACCAGAAGACTGGTCTACTCTTGATGAAACTGGAGGAAATGTGCTTCTGTGAATCATTGTGAATCATTGTAAGTCAGGACGTGCCTGCGTTTGTACATCGATTGTGTCAAGACATGATAATTTCTCATCTTGAAGCATGCTTCATGCACGAAACTTATGTAAAAAGAATTATCTGAGTCCATTATAATTTACATTTATGGACATCTGAAAGTTTGTATCTAGTCTTAGGTAAATTTGTATTTTCATGATTGACAAATTTTTATTTTTTTGGATGCGATTCATGATTGACAATTGTTCTCTGTGTTTACCGGCTTATATACAAGCTTCTGCTATCTTTGTTTTATCCTTTTTTTGTGTGTGGAAAATATGCTTTATACAAAACAAAAGAATACGGCCGTATAAGAGCGTACAACACATAGCACTAAACCATCCAATACTATCTAATACCTTTTGAGCACTATCCTCATTTAACCCAAAAAAAAAAATGTTTCTTTTTGGAAAGGAAAACAGAAAAAACCCTAAACAAAACAAAAATTGTTAAATATAAGGAAAAAGCGTGCAGCCCAAAATCATTTGCTTAAAGTAAAAAGTAAAAAGTAAAAAAGTTATTATTATGTATCTGTAATTCTGGAATGTATGCAACTCTTTTCTCTTTTTTGGCCAGTTGTAACTTGTATGCAACTATTTCTATATTTATATTCAATTTAGTTTGTGCCAACAGAAAAGATAAATCAATTTAATTATTTACCGTTGGCGTCACTTCTCCGAGTGGAAATAGGAATTGTTTTTTAATAAAAACGCAAAACAATATCGTCTCGCCTCGCCTGTATCAGGGAAAAAAAAATTAGCGAAAACAGAAACCAACACAATATATAAAGATCATATATGATCTCTGAAAAGCCAATGTAACCTTCCCTTTCTCTATAACGCTATCTATCCACCTACAGCGATAGTTCCAGGGTTGGGTCTTATTGAAGATTCTCAGGCTCAGATAGCGACCATGGCCGAAGACCAACAGCGGTGATTCTGAAAGCCGGAGACTTTGGGATTCCACTGAATTTGGGGGCGTACATTTGGTGCTGTTTCTTCTTCGTCTAGGATTAGGGTTGGAATGGTGTTGTACTTTGTATTACGAAATCAAAAATCTAGGGTTAGCTTTTCTTTCAATTTTGTTTCTCCTTTTTCTTTGTAGCTTGGGGGTTCTGTTCTACCCAATACTCTGTATCTGAAAATTACTTCATTATTATCTTCTTTTTTTATTTGTTTGTTTCTGATTTCATTATTTTGGAAAGGAAAAAAAGAAAAGAAGAATAAAAGAGTGCAAAATATCATCAATAAGAATTTGTTCTTGACGGCCCCATCCCAATTCCCATATTGTTAAACAAGTTATATTCAAAGTAATTTAATTTTCTTTCGTAAATAAATGGCGAGTCCCGGATTAAGCAACCGAAATAACGGGAAGCGGTTAGGCATTACGGAGCCCATCTCGTTAGGTGGACCGACGGAGTACGATGTGATCAAGACTCGTGAACTTGAAAAGGTTTTGGTTTGGTTGATATTCAATTTGACCCATATCTAAATTTTGGGTATTTACATGTGATTATGCTGAATTTCGGTCTCTGCTTTTTCTGGGTTTTCAGTATTTGCAAGATGCTAGATTGTATGAGAGTCAGGAAGAGGCTGTGAGTAGGGAGGAGGTTCTTGGCAGGCTAGACCAGGTTGAACTATCTTTTTCTGTCCCTGCTGTTGTTATTGCTATGTTTGTTTTCTCAGAAAAGTGAGGAGAATAAAGAAAATAGGTTTTAAGTTCTATCTTCTGTTTTGTTTCAGGTTTTATTTTTTAATTTCTGAGACATTTGATGTGATATATACTTAGTACTGTATTCACTGATTGTAATTATCATTTTGGTGCTGAATTCCAAGCCAGATTGTGAAGATATGGGTTAAAACAATCAGCCGAGCAAAGGGCTTGAATGAGCAACTAGTGCATGAAGCAAATGCTAAGATTTTCACCTTCGGCTCATATCGGCTAGGGGTATGAAGCTCTTTTACTCTTTTCCATCCCAGAGGGTTTTTTTGTTTGCAGTTGTCATGTTAATGCTGTCTAACTGTTGGATGGTTATATCTTAAAGACCTTTAGCAAAGCTTGTCGATTGTGGATGCATTATAAACTTCTCTTGCTGGCTTATCTATTTCTTAAACTATTTACTTTTGGGTTGCATTTCCGTATTTTTATTGGAGCACATGAAGTGAATAAAATAGTTCCCTCTCTGTTGGTCATGTGTCTCAGTATCTTTATTTTTGACATCTATGTGATAAGGTTTTTCTGAAAGCTAGATATGAAAAGACCCTATTTTACCTTTGATTAGAGGAATGACCCCATATGGCAACACAATATGGCACCATGTATAGGGAGGGTTTCACAATTGGTAGACTTGAATTTGTTTATCTTTAACAAAATGCACTGTGCAGTAGATCTTTTAACAATATCATAGAGAAAAAATGTCTATGGATTTCTTTCTCGCCAAACTCTTTGTTAACCTAAAATGTCTGTGTGATGATAGTAAGCAGGATACTTGAAAGAATTGTCACAGTTCACCATTCATGCCTCGTGTTCTCTTCATGTGCCTTGCTTTGTTACTACTTCGTAGGAAAATATGGTCACTTGTTGATTGAATTATTATTATCAGTAGGGCTCACCTTTTTTTGATAAATTTTGAGTCTTGTTATGAATAATTATATTTGGATGTGGAATCTGTATATTATTAAAAAGTTTGTTTTTTTCCCCATTCAAAGCTTCACATATTCTATTTTTCCTCATTTGCCCCTTATTGTTAGGTTCATGGCCCTGGAGCAGATATAGACACACTCTGCGTTGGACCTAGACATGCAACTCGAGAAGTGCGATCAGCCTTACCTTTTATTGTGCAATAGTTTTTACTTCATTTTTGCCGTATTAATCAACTTCAAATTTATTTTATAACTTGTGTGTAGGAAGATTTCTTTGGCGAGCTACAGAGGATGCTGTCTGAGATGCCTGAAGTTACAGAGTTGCATCCTGTGCCTGATGCTCACGTCCCAGTTATGAAATTCAAGTTCAGTGGGGTTTCAATAGATCTTCTTTATGCAAAACTATCACTTTGGGTTATTCCTGAAGTAAGTGTTGGTTATATGCTGGAAGTTCCTTATTCACAATTGAACACATTGTCATCCTTTAATTTTGCATGCCTTATTAACTTCTGTTATGCATCGCTAGAAAGATAATAGATGGCTTACTGATTCATAATTTTTCATTCATTATTTCATAAAAACCCTTTGAAAAAGCATAGGCAGTGGAGATTTTTGCACTCATTCATATTTTCCTTTCATCAAATAGTCTCTTAACTAAGATCATTTGACTGAATGTAAATTATGAATTTCTAAAGGTCGCTTTAAATGGTTAGCCCAGACCAGGTTAGCTTAGATCAGAAATTGTCTGTGCTGGACTAAAATTTGCTCAAATAGCTAAATCTTACACTCAATATACTACTACACTCTTTTTTTAAAAGTTGTTATATAAGGAAAAAGATATCTCTTTTGAAATTTTTCTAGTATTTTTTGTTTCCAACGTTTTTTATTTGGAGCAGGACTTAGACATATCACAAGACTCAATACTACAGAATGCAGATGAACAGACAGTTCGTAGTCTCAATGGTTGTAGAGTTACAGATCAAATTCTGCGTTTAGTGCCAAGCATTCAGGTTCTGGCCATCATTGTCTTGCTTATTTATGTAAAGTTTTTTGTTTTAAATCTTTTTATTTCTAATCATGTAACTGGCTTTTTTATGGCAGAATTTCCGCACAACATTGAGATGCATGAGGTTATGGGCAAAGCGTCGTGGTGTTTATTCAAATGTATGGTGGGGTATTTCTGATGCACTAGATTATTCCATAATGCTAGACAATATTCTTTTTACTTACGATTTGTGCTGCTTTCTATCATGAGCAGGTTGCAGGATTTCTTGGTGGTATAAACTGGGCATTGCTTGTTGCTCGCATATGCCAACTTTACCCAAATGCACTGCCTAATATGCTAGTGTCTCGGTTCTTCAGGGTGTATACTCAGTGGCGTTGGCCAAATCCAGTCATGCTCTGTGCTATTGAAGAAGGTTCTCTTGGACTTCAGGTTTGGGATCCTAGAAGAAATCCAAAGGACAAGTATCATTTGATGCCTATAATTACTCCGGCTTATCCCAGCATGAACTCCAGCTACAATGTGTCCTCAAGTACGCTGCGTATCATGTTAGAGGAGTTTCAGAGGGGAAATGAAATTTGTGAGGTACGATTCTGTGGTGCAAGTTGTGATGACTTCTTTCCACAGCACAGAGAACATATAGGTTACAGGATAAGATTTCTCATTGACTCATATTATGTAATGATTTGAGTGGTGGTTTTCTTGTTCTTGTTAACTAGGCTATGGTTGTTAAGTTTACTGTTTATTTCAAATGTTCCATTGATGGAGTTGTATTCCTTAAAAAATCTGCAAAATGTGAATACTGTGCCTCTGTCCTGAGTTTGATGTTTGGTAATGCTTGCAGGCTATGGAAGCAAATAAGGCTGATTGGGACACCCTTTTTGAGTCTTATGAGTTCTTTGAAGCATATAAGAATTATTTGCAGATAGACATCAGTGCAGAAAATGCTGATGACTTTAGAAAATGGAAAGGCTGGGTTGAGTCCCGTCTTCGCCAACTAACGCTGAAGGTGAAACTATTCCTTCTGTGTTATTCTTTTGCTCTCTCTCGCTCCCTCTCTCTTTCATAATAATCAGTGATGCTTATTCATCTGTTACATATTAATCCAGATTGAGAGGCACACTTATGACATGCTACAGTGTCACCCACACCCAGGTGATTTTTCAGACAAATCCAGACCTTTTCATAGCTCTTACTTCATGGGCCTACAACGAAAACAAGGAGTTCCCGTCACTGAAGGTGAGCAATTTGACATAAGGGCAACAGTAGAGGAATTTAAGCAGTCTGTCAACCGGTACACATTATTGGTGCATGGAATGGAGATCCGTGTATCCCATGTAAAACGCAGGAACATTCCTAATTTTGTATTTCCTGGTGAGGTTCGACCTTTGCGCCCGTCTAAAGTAACTTGGGGGAGCAGGCGCGGTTCAGAACTGAAGGTTTCTGGTGATGCTCAACCGGATAAATTGTGTGAAGGTAAACTGATTTAGATGGATCAGATGGTGGACAGAAGAGAAAGCGGGTGGATGATACTGTAGAGACCGACTCAAAGTATGCCAAGTCTTTACATCTCTGCAGTGGGGAAGTTCATGCAGCTAGCCCTCCTATCAGCACTATCAGTTCACGTTCCACAAAATGTGAAAGTATGGATGCAAACAAAAAAGTTGATGATAGCATAGCAGTTAGCTTAGAAAAGATAGAAAACCCAGCAGATATTCCTTATCAGAATGGTCAGATTGAAGTATTGTCAAGGTGCAATCCCCCAAACGATAGTCTACCTGCTGCTGCGAATACATCAAGTTTTAAAGAAGCAGAGAAGATGGTATTAGAGAAGAATATGGCTGGCCCATATGTTTCACACCAAGCTTTTCCAGAACTGGATGAGCTTGAAGATGATTCTGAATATAGACATCAAGTTAAAGATTTTTCCAGGAACATGAAAAGCAGTCAAATGGAGCCTTCAGAGGAGAGCGTATCAGTTTCAGCGCCAGTAAACTCAAGCAATGGAGCTGGTCCTTCCACTGATTCATATAATGGGGGCTTAGAGGAACTTGAGGTCAAACACATGACTTTTGTTTGTGCTCCTATTTTTCGACTTTCAAAGTTTTCATCTTATTATTCAATTATGTTCCGCATCCCTTGTGGATTTTTATATTTGGTTGCATGTGCAGTATTTGTTCTTAAGATTTTTTGTTTGTTTTTCTTTTTCGGTTATACTATTTTGTGAGTGCATACTTAGGGTAAAGCCGTTCAGAACATCTAAGTTTTTATGCAAACTTTAAAAACAAAATAAGTTTCCTCTTAATATACATGGGAGGTAAAGGGGAATCATTTTGTATTTGCTTTTTTGATCTTTTCTATGTTATTCTGTGTCATTGTCTGCTTTAGCACTGTTGGTTGCTTGTTCATTGAAGCTTTTAACTGGTAATTCTTCTTTTATTGCATGTTTTAATTTTAAAGCCGGCGGAACTTATGGTGCCATCTTCAAATGGAACCCCACCTGAACCTGTGGCACAGAAAAAGTCGATCATCAGGTATTCATTGGTTCAATCAATTCTGAAACCATTTCAATTTGAATGTGTGATTGATCGTCACACCAGAATCTTTCTATTAAATCCTGAAATACTTTGAAAAACAGATGCATTACTATTCCTTTCTGCAACTTTTATGCCTTGAACCTCTTTTTTTCTTGTTATTTGCAGGTTGAATTTCACTTCGTTGTCCAAAGCTGCTGGTAAAAGCTCTAAAGGATGTTGAATTTGAAATCTCATATGTATTATAAGAATTGCACTTTTTTCACTTTTTGTATCAACTGTTATAATCAATAAAATTTGAATTTTTCTATGAACATGAGAATGCTGGTGCTAGTTTCTGATTTTCTCATTTCACCAATGATTGATGGAACCCTTGCTCACATTCAATCGACCAAGGTTACGACCAGAAGTGAGCCGTGGCTGCTGGCATTAGGATCACACACTTACTATAATATAGAACTAGAGAAAAATCTGATCAACTCCGTCAATACAATTTTTGTTTTTATGTTTTGAGCACAAGCCACTGGGGAAGAGGGGTTTTTGGGTGGAGGTGGAAGAACTCAACTAACTAAGATTTATTCATTATAGTCAATGCCATTGGAGAAGAGAAGGTTCGAACTTCTGCCTTCATGGGTGGAGATGAAAGAACTTAACTAAATGAGACTTGTTCATTGTAGTCAATACAAGATCTTTAGCTTGTGCAAAAAGTAATAAATAAAACAATAAAAGCCTTAACCGGTACACACCAATACAGTGCATGGATGATGTGTGATGTTACTGAATATCTATAATAAATTAGGGTAATGATTTCCCCACTCTAAAATTAACCCCTATAATAATCCAATGAAATTTGGTCTGTTTATGAAAAAGAAACAATTTTTTTTTTATAACAAAAACGAAACAAGATTATTGAAACCAAACCCTCCGTTTGTATTGAGGAAAATAACTTGAGAATTGAAGAGGAGAAATTGATATTTCAATTGTTTGGCAACTTAAGCATGAAATTTATTAAATGACGCTCGGAAAAAAAAATCATAGAAATTGAGGATCAAGATTTCCGAGTCTAAGGGGAGTGTATTCAATTGAGATTTTAATATATTGTTTTGAAGCTTAAAAGTCCAATGGTATCCAATTAGGATTTTTATGTAATCAATAAAAATCTAGTGGTATTAAATTAAGAATTTTAAATAATCAATCCAAGTCTTGTGGTATTCAATTAAGACTTTTAAAAGATAAGAAAAAGTACGGTAGTATTAAAAAAACTTACCGATTTTGAGGTATTTCGTTAAATGGTGTATTGTGTGAGACTTTTGAGTGTGTGATACAAATACCAAATCCCATAAAAAATCCCACCCTCCTATTCCTGATTCTCACGTTTTTTGTTTTTTGGGGAAGATGAACAAATGAAGATAAACAATGTACTCATGTCTTTACAAGGGCTTGGTTTAACCATACTCAATCCTTCTATATTTAGTGATACTCAGATAGCCGTCTTTTTCTCTTAGCTGTTTGGTTGTAGGAGTTGTTTCCCCCTTTCTTTGGGCTTCATGTCTATACTGTTTTGTTTGCTTTCATCTTATGGATAATCTCTTTGCCCAATAAAAAAAGAGACTCAAATGGCTTACCATCAGATATCTAACAATAATTTCAATATGTTGCTTTCAATAGTTTGTTTATATTATGCAATAGCGGCATTTTTCTCAATTGAGTTTCAACTCCTTTGTTTTATTTGTCTTTATATTTAGCCAATTTGTGGAATTAATTTGAGTGCAAGTGGGCTGTACTAGTATCGGTCATAGCACCATTTTGACTTGTTTTCACTGTCCATTTTCTTATTGAATTGATTCATTATTTGTCTATTGTAATATTATAAATTCAAGATTTGTGCCTCCTGTAGCTTGTTCCTATCTCATTCTCATTCTAGACCAAGTTCTTTATTTCAAAACTCTAATAGCTGTATGGTTTTTTAGTTTAATAGTTATGTTTAAATTTTGGACCGCTATGGTTTTAGCTCTATAGGATATTTGAAGAAGCCATACATGACAGATAGTAATGACAACTTGATCTAAGTTTGGTGTAACTTTACTTTCTGCTTCTTTAAAGGCTTGGCATCCTTTAAACTAATGGATGAAAGATGGCTAACCAAATCCAATCCACACTTCGGTGAAATCTACTTTGGAGAATACAAGAAAGTCATACATAATTAAAATCATAAGAAAATCTTGTAATTACAATCTCTTAAATCATAAGAAAAATCAGTAATTACAAATCATGCTGAAATTTATTACATTAAAATCTCAATTGACACACATATCGTAATTTCCGCCAAAAAATGCGTCTTTAGCTTCTATTAGCAGCATGAATTCCTTTTTTTTTTCTGTACTGTGCTTTTTTTTACAAATTCGACATACATAAACCTAAACTAAAACTACTTGGGCGTTGCGTACACACAAATTTTAAACGCATAATCTAAATTTATGAATTTTATACATTTTGTTCCAGGTTCTTTCATCCCTAACAAGTATTGCTGCGAAAGCTAACTCTCCAAAAAGGAAAATTTGGCATGTATTTTTGCGCTCTGACTCTGTTCAACACACTGCCAATCTCACGCTTTGGAAACCTCTTGACCTTCGTCCTTTTCTTCATGTCATTTCATATACAACAATTATAATACATATAGTATATTAACCCTTTTTCAGTGTCGGGGGTCTTAACGCCTTTGTCTTCCAAATTCTCATTCACTTTTTTTTTTTTTTTTTTTTTTTTTTTTTTTTTTTTTTTTTTTTTTTTTTTTTTTTTTTTTTTTTTTTTTTTTTTTTTTTTTTTTTTTTTTTTTTTTTTTTTTTTTTTTTTTTTTTTTTTTTTTTTTTTTTTTTTTTTTTTTTTTTTTTTTTTTTTTTTTTTTTTTTTTTTTTTTTTTTTTTTTTTTTTTTTTTTTTTTTTTTTTTTTTTTTTTTTTTTTTTTTTTTTTTTTTTTTTTTTTTTTTTTTTTTTTTTTTTTTTTTTTTTTTTTTTTTTTTTTTTTTTTTTTTTTTTTTTTTTTTTTTTTTTTTTTTTTTTTTTTTTTTTTTTTTTTTTTTTTTTTTTTTTTTTTTTTTTTTTTTTTTTTTTTTTTTTTTTTTTTTTTTTTTTTTTGAGAGAGAGATGAGCGGTAGGATGCGGATCTGCACTGTTATAGTCACCCACCCTTGACCAATGGCGGGCCCCATTTTAGTTTTTTTTTTTTTTTTTATAGGGAAAATAAATTTTTATTTTACAAGAGATATATTATAAGTATTTTTTCTCTTCAAATAAAAATAAAAATAAAACAAGACCATATTACAAGTTATATACCACGAAATAAGTACAAATATAAATCAATACCAAATCAAAATCATTGTCCACTTCAAAAATTATGGTCGATTGCACAAAAAATAATATAAAATAAAATAAAAAAAATAAATAAAATAAAAGCTTACCTAGTGAGTGGAACCCTTTTTTTTGAGTGTATCAAAATTTTTTGATTATGACTATGAATCAATAGTCACATAAAAACTCTTTCTCAATGTAGATAATGAGGGAATACTCATCTCCATCGCATTAGGATGGAGCCCACTCCAACCCAAGTGTAGATCCGCCTTTGGCCTCAACAACAGATAATGGATGAGTAAAATAAGTGAAATATTCACATTCTAGAATATTCATATTTACTGGTGAATATTTTTTATATAAAAAAAAAGAAAAAAAAAAAAAAAAAAAAAGAAGAAAATTTGTGCCAGCCAATAAGGGCATGCTAATAATTGTTTCAACTTCTATGGAATTTACTTTTGAATTAGTAAAAGATCCCATGTAGACGCAGGACCACTGTGGTCCAACCAATATTTGACTGCTGAATCATCACTATACGTATATTTTTGGGTGTTCATAATGCAAAAATAATGTCCTTCAATTTGTGAAAGAAGCATATATATCAATACAAGTATATATATAAAAAAAATTAACCGATCATTATCTGGTTTGCTAGCTGCTACTTACACATCAACGAAAGTTTGAAAAAGTCAGCTTTTTTTTCTTTCTTTCTTTCTTTGTTTGCATAGAAAAGGGGGAATCAAATCTAAAATATCTGCCCTCAACCAACCTCATATGTCACTTGATCGCTAATATTCATGATCATGACCAAGCATATATATCTTCTTCTTTTTTATATATACCTCTAACGATATCATATAAATCAATTGCCTAAAATAGCAGCTCTCCCTGTTTTGATAAAAGGAGAGGAGGAGAAAGCAGTGCTCAGTATTTCATTCAATCAAAGATATTCAAGTTTTGTGTGGGAATGATGAGAGGAGGGTTTGGTCTTGGCTTGGGGGGTCAGTCAGTCAGTCAGTCAGGGATAATGGCATTATTATTGCAACTTGCCAAGAAGCATGGAGAGGAAGGTGTTTCAAAGCATCCCTCAACACACATTCCTTATCCCTCTATATTAAAGTTACACACCCATATGGGGCAGTGGGCTACTATTATGCTTGGCGTCCCATAAACAATATCCTCCACCATAACACGTGTCGACACCCTACCATCATCTACGCACACTACTGGTCTCTTTCTAGCCCTAGGATGATAGTAACCCTGGAAAAACTCTCGACAGTCGGCTAATGCCTTTGTGAAACTTGTCTTTTCCGTTCAGTGTAACTGTGTAAATAAAAATTAGGTATACATGAGAAAAATAATAATAAAAGTTGGACCCACTACTGCTATTTTTGGAGGATTGAATTATTCTTGGAATTCTCTAGCTTTCCCCTTTTGGGTTGGAGGGGGTTTATGGGGGTGGGTGATGATGGGAGAGGTTGATTGGCCAAAGGGTTTCTGTTCTGTTCTGCTGCATCTCGAACATGCTTCAATTATCTTATATTGTTTTATCTCTTTGACTAGTAGTAGTATGCGATGCGAGTATATATGTGATGCATGTACGATAGGTAGCGTTTTAAAGCAGGCTATAAGTTTTTTTTGTTTTTTTTTATGAGGAGCTTGCAAGATATGCAAATGTATAATTAATCATTTCCTGCTTTAATTATTAATATTAATCATGTATGTTGTTCTTGTTGGAGTGGGGATATCAAGACCCAACATTGGCAATGACAAATTTTTGGGCCTCCCTGGGCTTTAGCTACCACCCAATTTTTTTGACAAGATTTCAACAAGAGGATTAATATTATATGACCAAAAGAATTACAAACAAAAATGGGCACTATCATTTCATTCATTTCAAGATTTAACCCCAAAAAAATATCACCAGTGGCATTAATTTAGAAGAAAAAGAGACCAAGGAGAGAGGTCATGATGCAGAAGATAATAGTGTAGAAGAAATGGCAGCAAGTGCACCAGTGGCATTATTGTTATTATTCCTGTGTTGTGGTAATGAGTCAGATGAATTCTGGTTTGCAGATTCATCGGCATCAGCAGGTGGGGTTTCAACCCCAGCTGGTTCCAAGACTTTGACGACCATCTTCTGCCCTTTCTCGCAGTGTTCAGCAACCCCACTCATGAAATAGAACAGACGGGTCGGTCCAATGTCACCACACTGTGACCTCGTTTGAGTAGTAAATGGGGCGATCCGAATGGCATTTTTCGTAATCTTCCTTGCTCACTTCCAACACTGAGTCTGCAAATGTCTCGTAACCGAAATCTGGGTCCATCCTCCACGCGAAAATTACAAACCACATTTTATTTTATACAATGTGATATATGAACAAAGTATATACACATATATGTATTTATGCATAATATATATATATATATATATATTTATATATTGTTACTCACAGAGAGTGTCGTCAACACTGAACCTTTCTTTGAGGCCCATTCGTTGTACACTAATTGTTGGTAGTATTCTGTTTTGGGGACCTCCCATCCATAGGTCTTGTCTCCAACTTCAAATTGAATACAAGTTACCAAAACGACTTGGATGCCAATAAAAGTAAGACAAATACTTTGGAGGATATTCCATGAAGTATATATATATATATATATATATATAGTTTGAATTGTTCTTATAGGGAGGTCTTAATTTGCTTGGTTGATCTCCAACTAGCTAGGAGGAATAAAATGGAACTGTTTGAGGAAGTGGGGGGAAAGCAAGTTGGAGTTAAAAAGAGTGATCAAGTTGAAGTTTGTTACTGAGGAAGAAAAGGGGTGAGAGGATTCTTAGGAGTCAAAGGTGGAGATGGTGGGATTGTTTATTCTTTATTGTTGGAGGATATATCATTTAACTTGGTCAGTGTACAACAGTTTTTCAAATAGCAGTTGACTGCGTAATTTTTTGTTGCCCTTTTTCTTAGTTTATTCTTTTTATTCGTCATTTTCTGAATTTTACTTTGTGTCAAGCTCAAGTCACGAATTTCTGTTCACTACTTTGCACAAGTAAAAAAATAAAGTTTTTAAAGAGTGGGAGGAGGACTCTGCTTCGGTCTTTTTTATTTACTTATTTATTATTAATACAAGGATATTGAGGGATGAATATTTGATTTGAATACATAATTTCAAGGAGATATTGGGAGATGGGGGATTCGAACATGAGACCTTAGGTGTATGTATGGATAAATACTTTTAACCATTTGAGTTACGAGTCTGTATCGGGGCACATGAACTTTGTTACGTTTTGGGCTCTAAACTCCAATTAAATTTAAATATCCCTATTTTTGTCAAATGATATGAACTCAAGAAGATTAAAAAGAGGCGTATATGGGGTGGCACCACAGTGGAAAAATAGGCTAAACACTCCTCCTTCCCCCTCAAGTGCATTTTGGTTCAATTCACATATGAGACAATCTTGAGACAACTCTATACAATACTCCCTTTCCCCTCCTTAGTGAATGACAAAAAAAAAATTGTAAAAGGAGGCAAAAAATGGTTTACCTTGTTAGGTTTTTAGGTTTAGACATAAAAAAATTTCACTTTTGGAAAAAGCCAAAGCTTTTTTCAAAAAAGACAAAAAAACCGCTCAACTTTCAAATCAAAGACATGCAAATGTATTGGATTTCTTAGGAAATCTAAAAATAAATAAGGGCATTTTGTCCATTTTTGCTTCTTTAAAATTTTTCTCTCTCCTTTTGCTTTTTCCAAATGTCCCTAATTTGTTTGTTTTGATCAAATAAATCAGAGGGTAAAGTTGGCAAAGTCGGACCGAATAATTGAATAGTTGGTGGGTGTCAATAGAATTTCATAAATTCTAGCTAGAGAAAGCCTATAATGATGATGATGAGGGAAAGGAAGTTAAAGGTTATAAATTGTAAAGCCCAACGTCGTGACTCAGGCTTGAATTGAAGGTAGCCCAAAACCACTCCACAGGTACCTGCTTGGTGGGTCAAGTTAGACGCTGCATACGCTAAGGCCGAAGAGGGGCAGATGCCCACTTCTTTCTTTTTTAATTTCTTTTTGGGTGTATAGTTATTTATTCATTTATATTTTTTTAAACAAATGATTTTGAGAAATCAGAAATGGAACCTAGAATTTTGGTGCATAATTAATTATTTTTGTTTGTAATAGAACTAACTGCCCACTTCTCTGACTTTCTCCTCCTTTGATCACGTCGTCTTCTTCTTTTATGAATTGAAACGGCTAGAACATTATATGTGCTTGCAGAATTTACTAATTAAATTAAAGTGTTAGGTAATCACAATCCTTAAATTGTATAAGAACAATATTTTTAATGGCTAAACTAATTATTAACACTTTTCTTTAGTACAATACAAGAGATTGGGGGAGAGGGGGTTTACACAAATATTCATTAGGTATCTGAGAGTTTCGAACCTCTGCTTACATAGGTGGAAGTGAAAGGGGCCAACCAACTGAGCTATACCTCGCTGACAATTAATTATTAACGTAATCAAGCACAAATGATAAACAAAATGAGTAGAGTGACAATATGAAATAATGTAACACAAGTAAAAAATTGTATTCCAAGCAATTATTTTATGAAATATTTTGTTTTTAATCTGAAGAGAAACTTAACGTAATCATTAATTAAATCAGACTAGTAAGATGGATGTCCGAAATTAGCCATGTTGATGTGGTCTTGCGGCTGAAATCGGAGGAGGGGGTGGGCTTGGTATGATCCTTAATTTTCTCGGGTTCGGATCTGCGGCAATCAATAAACTCAAACTCAATAACATCAATCAAATCATATGTTCCTGTATGACAAAGTAAATGGTATGATGCATAAACATATGAAGAGACAACTAAGTCACAAGACCGTCATGATTGAAAACTCTTAATTAGTGAGTTGCTCTGAGAAATGAAAATGAATTATTCTAAATCATGTTAATTAGAAGGAAGGAATAATAGTAAGTTACCTGCGTGAACGTAATGAGGTGATTGCATGGCTAAGAAGGAAGAGACGATCAATATGAGCAGCGTCAAAAGACGGATGAAAAAGCATGAGATCAGTCCCATCTCTCAACTACTCCTTCAACTTCAAAGATGGACCGATGCGGTAACTTTCTAGTTTCAATATTAATGTTGCCCTGCATATCATCCACCCACCTCTCTAATCCCGTGGTGGCTACATATATATAGTAATACTAATAGTAGTCATCCATAAACTCAAACTGCAAGTCATGCTCAAAGATGAATGAATGAATTAATAAATAAGAGGTGGGTACGACCAAGTAAAAAAAGCCCCTTGACTTTGACTTTGAATCCAACATTACTATTATATATATATATATATATATCCTTTTTTTAGTACTACAACTGGAGAAGAATATCGCTTGAACTAATGTATTTTCCGGGAGAAGGAAAAACTAATTAATCAGGATATATAATAAAGAAACGCGTTTGAGTACGTATATAGTTAGCCGCGTGTCTTTGACGTTGAATCAAATAAAGTTAAGAAAATAATGTAATTGACCTCTTCTGTCAAAGATGAGTCTGACCACTTATCAATGAAAAATTAACCAAAAGCATGTAACTTGAGATGAATCGGAAGTGCAAGGTATTAACTTATTTTTTTCGGGTGCAATATCAGAGGGGGGCGCGTGAGTTCCAATTAACTAGGCAGCTAAGAACCAGAGCCTTTGTATATATACTAGGAGGAGGCCTGAATTGCGTAAACCAGTATTTTAGAAGTTTGTTGAAGAATATAAGTTCCACATCAGAAATAAAATAAAATATATAATGAATGGTTGTATTATTAACATCATCATCGAGATACCTTTTGTGATAAAACCTCATATATACTGGATTTTGTAGGTGGTTAATTTGATGACAATTCTAGTATTGTTAGTAATGGGTCATTGACCCGTCTCTTTGAAATTTAACATAATATCATAGCGGGTTAATTAACTGGACCTAGCCAAATCCAGAACACAAAGCCAGAGTTGAGGAGATGTTTGTACAGCCATGGCAGACAGGTTGGGTTAGGCAGCTGGCGTGCGAGGGTGTTGTGGACTCTTTATCTTTTTCTTTTCAAGTGTTTTTTTTGTTTTCCTAATTTTAATTTAAATAATAAATATATTAAGTGTCATGTCCAGCTGTAAAAAAAAAGACAAGTGGCAATGTCTGAGTAGAAGCACCAATAATATATCCATACTATTCTATAATTTCACATAAAGTAAAATGTATTTAGCTAATTAGGCGTTGCAATTTCCGTTTGCCTTGCTTGTTACGTACTGTATTCAAACGCTTAGAACTTAGCATGAGTTGCGTTCAAACGCTTGTTGTTGAACCCACATATATAGTAGCTAGGTCTTTTTTCTTGGTCAATTGAATTTGAACTAACCTCCTCCTTCTTCTTTTTATTTCTTTCTAATATTCTTAATGTTATTGAGTTAAATGACGCGCATATAATTTATACTTGGGAAATTAAACCAAGTACAATATTAATGATGAATCAAAATTAAGTAATGCGACAATTAACCAAGACTAGTTGTTGATTTTTTATTTTTTTATTTTTTATTTTTATTTAAGTGATATTAATGGTTGAGAGTTTTCTCAGAAACACTATCAAAGTGTTATGAGAATTTGAACATAAAACTACGTGTACAAATTAATGTCATTTTCACTAGACTAGTATATTCGGACGAGGGGTGTCTTGTATACTTGTTGTGGCCCGAGTTGGAGCATGGGGTGGGCATGGCAGCTTTCCCCTCAGTTTCCTTGGCATTGGAGCTGCATACAGTAATCAGTAATGTTACTCAATTTATCAATGTGAAATTGATTAATTAACTGTATAAGAGTGATGATTAAAAGACATAATGCATGGCTAGCTAGCTTAGCTATACAATAAGAGTGAGTAATAAAATATATATATATATATATATATATATAATGAATGTTTATAAACAAACCCTGCTTGAACATGAGCTGATTGCATGGACAAGAAGGAAGCAGTGATCAGCATGAGTAGCATGAGAATACGGACCAAAAGCATGACTTCACCAGGCCCATCGATCTCAACAATTAATCTATCTTGCTTTTTTCCAATGATCTCGATCGGTGTTATAGCTAGCAGCTTTGTTGCTTTGTTGGAAAATAGCACTGCTTTCTTGCCCTTAGGATGTTGGCATGGCATGCTTCCATTTACATTGGCATGGCATGCTTCCATTTACATAGACGGAAAAGTCAGAGAAGTGCTGAAGACCGAAGACCGAAGAAAGAAGAAGATTTTTCATTAATTAATCAGAAAAATATTGGCCTCAATTGCAAAAGCACCAATTGGCAATTATTTCCCAATAAGACAATGGACAATGGGGCTTATGCGTTAGGCCTGTTTTTCTTCTCTCATGACTTGATCAACCCATTTCAATTTCTCTTTTTCTAATTGATATTTTTATTCAATTCCTACTTAATATAATTTGTTTTTGGCAGAGATACTTTGTTAAAAATTATAAGCACTATAAAAGTGTACAAAAGATAGCATTGAAACAATCAATGTTAATCAAAACTCAAACATGAGAGACAAAAACAAATGCGTGATCTTAAAAAAGACTCGTGCCTAAACAACTCAAAAGAAAAACAACAAGAAAAGAGAAAGAAAGAAGAGGAAGTATGAACATCTCTTCAATCTGCACATCACAAAACCTTGACAGCACCAGAAACATGCAGCCAACAACAAAACACAAAATAATAATAAATAATAAAAAGCAAAAAAAGTGATAACAAATAAAAAAATATTAAAAAAGAAAAATCATAAGCAAACTTTTATAATAAAAAAAATTAGAAAAAACTTTTAGTTAAGTTCCCCACCGATTTTTTTTTTTTTAATTTTATAAAAACTTTAAGTTAAGTCTCATACCACAAAGGACCTTTGTGAGTCCAAAACCTACGCTGACCTTTGGAAATCAAGCAAATGCAAAGTTGGTTCAGTCTAGAAAAGGGGGAAAAAGGAAGGGGAAGTAGGTGTTAAGTCATAGGTTCGTATTTGTATGGTTATGGTCACGAACTTTTTGTTCCCTACCTTATGCAAAGGGCAATGATTTCCCCACTCCCATTTTATCCACTTACACTCCTTTTTTAGTTATAAAAAAGGAGTGTAAGTGGATAAAATAGGAGAAAAAGGAGTGGGGAAATCACCCCTCTATGCAAATAACGCATACTTTTTGTGTATAAATTCATTTCTTTGTAGTCCTTTTTGTGTTTGAAATTAATCTCTCTCTTCTTTCTCGCTGGAGTGCAAATTAGTCTTTGAAATATATCAACCCATATGCACGCACTTGAGATAGTCTTCTTCTATTTTTAATCAACTTATGAGATGTTTGAGGAAACTAAAATTACATATTCAAACAGTCGCACCAATGGGTTTGGTTTGGGTTATGTTGGTTGGAGAGAAGTGGCGCTGAGAGCATTTACATCATATGACTCTGGAGTTGGACTCTATTTTCTCTTTTATCTATTAAAAGAAAATAGATATAAAATTACAGTCTAGCCCAACAATTTTTTTATATTTAAAAATCCAACTTATCCTTACTAGGGACACATAGCTCATCATGCCCAAACACTCCCTCCCAAGAAGGCCATTTTCGTCTAATTTCTCGAACTATCTCTCTCCTTGTTTAACTTAAAACCCCACTTTATGCTTCTCACTCACTCTAGGGTTTCCATATCATTTCATGTTGGAAACAATCAGTAAGTTGTACAATATAACAGAATATATATATATATATATGTATATATGTATATAAGGCTTTTGAATGAATCAATATATAACAACAGAAAAATTACATATACAAGAGTTTGTATTAAACCATAGATACTAACTTGCATAGATGATAGAGGCTAGCAGATTTGCTATGTCCTGAGACAGTATTTTGCCCTTACTCCTGTGCTTATGGTTCTGCAGACGACTGTCCACCAGGATACAACTATCAAAACCAAAATTCTAGCATTTGAATTTTGGTATCTGACGAACTACAGTATGAATACTCTCAATGGTTTTTCAGTGTTGTGTGAGATGTATTGGGTTTCAAAGTTGGTTATCGTTCTCTGTATGTTTGGCTATTTAAATAAGCCTAAGACACCCTTTGGACTGAACTTTGAATTTCAAACTAACAAAAGTTATCCAAAGTTAAAAAACTTAAATATATATATTTAATTTAAATAAGGCCAACAAGTCCAAAGCCCACTTCAGAAAACCCAATTGTGTTTATTATAGTGAAAAATCCATACTCTTAGAGCATCCACAATGAGATCCCTAAACCACCTCCTTAGACAAATTTTAAAGAGGAATTGTAAAAATGCAACTCTAACCATCCTCTCTCTCCACCTCCTAAAATAGGGAGTCCTTTAGGAGCTCCTAAATCTGAGGAGAGAGAAATGATTCCTAGTGACTCCCTATAATTTAATGCTCCTTTATTTAATGAGTATTTCAAACATTTATTTAATGCTAACTATTTTTTGTTTTATTTTTTAATAGAGATGGACCAATCAAAAAAGAGTTATAACATTTATGACTCTCCAAATTAGGGAGTATGGTTGGAGTTGAAATTTTTTAGAGAGCTCCTAAAATAGCTTTATTATATTTTTAGTTAAATTTTAGCTAAGAAATAGAGAGCATCATTGTGGATGCTCTTAGGAAACTCTTTTCCCACTCAAACTCTAATCGTGCGTTTGGATGAGGAAAATAAACTTGGGATTTTGGTAAAACTCGGAATTTCTAAATTGACATGAACCAATTCCCATGTTTGGATAAAAAAAACATAGAAATTTAGAAATTGCGCTCTGGAAAAAACATGGAATTTGGAGATAATAAATCTCAATTTTAAATTCTATCTAAAAGTCGTCATTTCTAAAATCCCAAGAGATATTGAGTTTTTAAAGAAGATAACTTTACAAATAAGAGTTAAATTCCGTGTTTTAAATTCATCACCCAAACAAGAAACTTCACAAATTCTAGAATATTAATTTCCGTCATTTTAAATTCTGTTATTTATGAAATCCTTTGTACTTGTAAATAGAGAAAATGGTTATTTTGTATTTCTTGCTTTTTTCCAATGATCGATCGATCGATCGGCGTTATACCACAGCTTTGTTGCTTTGTTGGAAAATAGCACAGCTTTCTGCCCTTTTGGATGTTGCAATGGTATGCTTCCATTTACGTAGACGGAAAAGTCAAAGGAGTGCTGAAGACCGAAGACCGAAGAACGAAGAAGATTTTTCATTATTTAATCAGAAAAATATTGGCCTCAATTGCAAAAGCACCAATTGGCAATTATTTTCCAATAAGACAATGGACATCGGGGCTTATGCGTTAGGCCTTCTTTTTTCTTCTCTCATGACTTGATCAACCCATTTCAATTTTTCTTTTTCTAATTGATATTTTTATTCAATTCCTACTTAATATATATATATATATTTTTTTTTTTGGCAGAAATAATTTATTGAAAAATAATAAGCACTATAAAAGTGTACAAAAGATAGAATTGAAACATTCAATATTATTCAAAACCCAAATATAAGAGATATGAACAAATGTATGATCTTAAAAAAGACTCACACTTGAACAACTCAAGTGGAAAACAAAAAGAAAAGATAAAAAAAGAAGAGGAAGCATGAACATCTCTTCAATATGCACATCAATAAAACCTTGACAGCACAAAAAATTTGCAGCCTACAACAAAACACAAAATAATAAAAAATAATAAAAAGCAAAAAATGTGATAACAAATAAAACAATATTAAAAAAGAAAAACCACAAGTAAACTTAAAAAAAAATTAGAAATAACTTTTAGTTAAGTCCCCCACCGAATTTTTTTTAAAACAAATTTAAGATAAAAACTTTAAGTTAAGTCTCACGCCATAATGGACCTTTGTGAGTCCAAAACCTACGCGGACCCTTGGAAATCAAGCAAACACAAAGTTGGTTCAGTCTAGAAATGGGGAAAAAAAGAGGAAGGGGAAGTAGGTGTTAAGTCATAGGTTTTGTATTTTTATGGTTATGGTCACGAACTTTTTGTTTACCTTATGCAAATAACGCATACTTTTTGTGTATAAATTCATTTCTTAGTAGCTTTTGTTGTCTTTGAAATTAATCTCTCTCTTTTTTCTCGCTGGAGTGCAAATTAGTCTTTTGAAATATATCCACCCATATGCAGGCATTTGAGATAGTCTTCTTCTATTTTTAATCAACTTATGAGATGTTTGAGGAAACTAAAAATACATATTCAAACAGTCATGCATTGACCAATGGGTTTTTACATTCTCATTTGTTATTACTCTCATTGCATCAAAGTTTCTTTACGCCTATCTAAAGTTATGATCATCATGAGAAATTTATGCTCATGTGGTGTAAACAAAAGGACTTTTTGAGGAGCTTTCTGCTGATGTGATGTAAACAAAATAATATTAGAAGTCCAAGATGATTTAGAATATAATATATAATGATCAATAACTTTACGAATTGCAGTATAAATTTAGTTCACATTGTAGTAAGCTTACATCAATTTGCAAATTAACTAGAAATTTTACTGTAACGTTTAATAAATATTCCTACAAATAATATGGCTTCAAGGTCCAAATTACATGAGTTGATAGAACCGAAATATATATATACATTGTATAGGAATCAAAGATCATAAAAAAAATATCATTGAACGCGGTTGATCATTTTGTAAAGTCTTGCTATCAATCTTTATTTGTAAAAGATGTGGGATAGCGCACCTGTAAATTAAAAAGGTATTAAATGAAAAGATTGCAAAAACAAATTATATAAACAAAACTGAAAAAGCGAATTTTGAACAATTACCAAGCAATTACTTTATGTAATATTTTGTTTTTAATATGAAGAGAAACTTTACGTAATCATTAATTAAATCAGACTAGTAAGATGGATGTCCCAAATTAGCCATGTTGATGTGGTCCTGAGGCTGAAATCGGAGCAGGGGGTGGTCTTCGAATTCTCCTTAATATTCTCGGGTTTGGATCTGCGGCAACCAATAAGCTCAAACTCAATAACATCAATCAAATCATATTCTTACGAAGAGATAATTAATTCACAAGACCGTCATGATTGAAAACTCTTAATTAGTAAGCTGCTCTGAGAAATGAAAATGGATAATCAACTCACAAGACCGTGTCACTGTGTCATTGTCAATAAATAATCAACTCATATGTTACATGCACAAGCTAGCATTATTCTAAATCATGTTAATTAGAAGGAAGAAATAATAGTAAAATACCTGCGTGAACATAATGAGGTGATTGCATGACCGAGAATGAAGAGACGATCAATATGAGCAGCGTCAGAAGACGGATGAAAAAGCTTGAGATCAGTCTCATATCTCAACTATGTCTTCAACTTCAAAGATGGGCCGACGCGGCAACTTTCTAGTTTCTATATTAATATTGCCCTACATCTACCTCCCTCCCGTGGCTACATATATATAGCAATACTAATAGTAGTCATCCGTAAACGTAAACTGCAAGTCATGGTCCCTCGAGCTCTAGTGAGAACCCGCGCTTTGAAAAAAGAAGAATGAAATAAGAAATTTCTTCAGTGAAGTGTTTGTGGGGAAAGATGGGCGACGATGGAGTAAAAAAAGGTCTTGACTTTGACTTTGAATCCAACATTACTATTCTAGCTAATTTGTACAAACAGTTGTCATAGTATATATATATTACTCTGCTATTGATGAATCTCTCAAAAAAATTATTTGAGGGATACCCTTAAGGATTCTGTACAAATTTTTTTTCAACGATCCAAACCATCGATTTTTTAAGTAAACATTCATAGATCATCCTTGCTAAAAATTAGACAAATCGAAAACCAATTCGATATCCAATTGTGTCCTACAAAATCAATGAACACGGTACTTTAAGAAAGTACTAAAATTTCAATAATTCAATTGACGCTGCCGCCGTCGCCATCTCTGCCATGCTGCTTCCGCTCACAACCCCAAGCGTTGGCGCTTTCCAAATACTGTAGATCTGATGGTCACTGCTCACTTATGATCGAAGATAATGATTATTGATTCTTGAAAAACACTCAAAACACCAAAATTCAAAATCAAAATCAAGTGGAGAAGAATATCGTGAGCAGTTTATTTTCTTTGCTTGACATTACGTATTTTCCTGGAAAACGAAAGACTAATTAATCAGGATATATAATAAAGAAACCTGCTTGAGTATGTATATAGTTATGTCTTTGATATTGAATTAATCAAAGTTAAGAAAATAATGTAATTGACCTCTTCTGTCGAAGATGAAAGGCGCGTGAGTTCCAATTAACTAGGCAGCTAAGAACCAAAGCCTTGTATATATACTAGGAGGAGGCCTGAATTGGGTAAACCACTATTTCAAAATCTATAAGTGAAGGTTGTTGAAGAATACAAATCATACATCGAAAATTTGACTAAATAAAATAAAATATATAATGAATAGTTTTACTATTAATATTATTGAGATTTTGTGATAAAACCCCACACTTATTGGACTTTAAGAATAATTTCGATGTTGTTAATAGTAGGCTATTGACTCGTCTCTTAGTCTTCAAGTCGAAGTTTGGGTTAGAAAATGAATCCCAATAACCGACTTGGACCAAATTGCCAGGATTTCTTGTGAACTCATTGTATATTGACGGAAAAGTCAGAGGACATGATGAAGACCGAAGAACGAAAAAGATTTTTCATTCATTAATCACAACAAGGGTAAGAGTGGCACATGTGGCATGGATCATCCAAAGTTTCATTAAGCTAAATATTGGCCTCAATTGCAAAAGCACCAGTTGGCAATTATTTTCCAATAAGACAAATGGACATTAGGGCTTATGCATTAGGCCTTCTTTTTTCTTCTCTCATGACTTGATCAACCCATTTCAATTTCTCTTTTTCTAATAGATATTTTTATTCAATTCCTACTTAATATATATATATATATATATATTGCATAGATACTTTATTAAAAAATAATAAGCACTAAAAAAATATACAAAAGATAGCACTGAAACAACTAATATTATCCAAAACTCAAACATGAGAGACATGAACAAATTTGTGATCTTAAAAAAGACTTGCGCCTGAACAACTCAAGGAAAAACAACATGAAAAGAGAAAAAAAGAAGAGGAAGCCTAAACATCTCTTCAACTCTGCACATCTACAAAACCTTGATAACACCATAAACTTGCAACCTACAACAAAGCACAAAATAATAATTTTTTTTTAAAAAAGCAAAAAATGAGATAACAAATAAACCAATATTTAAAAAAGAAAAATCACAAGTAAACTATAAAAAAAAGGAGGGTAGAAATAGCTTTTAGTTAAGTCCCCTACGGAAATTTAAGAAAAAAACTTTAAGTTAAGTCCCACGCACGCCACGAAGGACCTTTGTGAGTCCAAAACCTACGCGGACCTTTGGCAATCAAGCAAACGCAAAGTTGGTTCAGTCTAGAAAGGGGGAAAAAAGGAAGGGGAAGTAGGTGTTAAGTCATAGGTTCTGTATTTGTATGGTTATGGTCACAAACTTTTTGTTCCTTATGCAAATAAGGCATACTTTTTGTGTATAAATTCATTTCTTAGTAGTTTCCTTGTTGTCTTTGAAATTAATCTCTCTCTCTTTTTTCTCGCTGGAGTGCAAATTAGTCTTTTGAAATATATCAACCCCCCATATGCGGGCATTTGATATATGTCTTTTTCTATTTTTAATCAACTTTTGAGATGTTTGAGGAAACTAAAAATACATATTCAAACATAAAAACCCTTCTGAAACCCAAAAACTGAACCTTTAATAAACCCTAGAGAGTGAATTAGAGAACCATGAGACGTACTCTATTGAATAATGTCTCTCTCTACGCTCGCAATCGCCTTCCCTCACCTCCAACCTGCAACCCTAATCCTAGCTCCTCACTCGTCCCACTCGCCGCTTCGACTCGGTCCCTACTCAGGCTTTTCTCGTCTGAAGGCGACTCTTCCGCTGGAAGCTCCAATCCGTCTGCTGATTCGAGCGTGATCCCAACCAACAAGAAAGATGCCCCCGTTGAAGTCCAGGACATCAATAACAAAGGTGACCCACCAATATATATTTATATATTTTTCAAGTTTTCAATTACCTTCAAGCTTGACCCTCTGTCTGTTTGAGTACTGAGAGAATGACCTCTGTTTGAGTGCTGGAAGAATGAAAGGAGATATAAAATAAACTTGAAATTTTTAATATTTTCGAATTTTGGGTTTCCGGTCCGTAATGTTCATAAAGGAAATGAGACTATTTGAATGTTTTGGCTAATATGATTTCAGGTTTGGTGTGGGGGGGGGACAAAGTTGTTAAATTTCAAGTGATATTTGGGATTTTTCTTCTTCTTCCATTGCGTCCTAATTATTTTCAGTTTATTATTTCCCTTTCAAATTTGTAGAGATAACAACGATTTCAGTTTTGCTATTTTCTTTCTAATTTTCCTTTTGGTTTAATAGAGCTGAAAGTGCGGATAGAGAAATACTTTAAGGGTGATGAGGAGGCGCTTCCGGCGATCCTAGAAGCAATTCTGCAGAGGAGATTGGCTGAGAAGCATGAGGAAACAGATGATGAGCTGATAGATGAACTGCAAATGAAGCCGCTGGATAATGTTAAGGACCAAGAGTTTGAATCAGATTTTGAGGAAATGCATGACACGGATGAAGAGATTGATAACTTGTATAACGCAAGGGATATAGTCATGAACAGGATGGTAAAAGATGAGTACTACAACATGGATCAGAATAAGTGGAATGATATTGTTGAGGATGCAATTCATCATGGGATTATGAAGGATACGAAAGAGTGTGAGGCAATTCTTGAGGATATGCTTAGCTGGGATAAGCTACTGCCAGGTATACATTTCTAGTTATTCCATTTTGTACGATGCTTTGTTTTCTACCAAGAACACTTCCCTATTTGAAATGCTGTGTTTGTGTGTTAACCTTTCTGTATGTTTCAGCGTCTCTGCCCACTCTGTTAAAATAAATCATTGTTATCTATTTTGACATTATTGAAATAGTTGTATTTTTTAGTATCATTACATGGCTAGATGTTTCCCAAAGTCTAATTTTCTGAGCGCCCAATTTTTAGTTGTCAAGTATTTTCTTTGTTTCTCACACAGACAGGTATCATATCAAATTGGTTCAATGTCATGGAAGTTGCATGTTTAGATTCAAACTGGTATTTTTCTAATAATCTGTAATGCAATTGTCTTCTCCAGATGACATGAAAAGGAAGGTTGAAAAGAAGTTCAATGACCTAGGGGATATGTGTGAAAGAGGGGAACTTGAGCCTGAAGAAGCTTACAAGTTGTTTAAGGAGTTTGAGGATGAGATTGTCATGGAATATGTGCACAAGATGGAAGCCGATGGCCTCCCAAAATTTGACGAGACTGCTGTACCGGACGAGAAAAAGGATCTAGATGACCCTCCAGGCGAAGGGCCAATCCTTAGGTGGCAAACACGGGTAGTCTTTGCTCCTGGTGGTGATGCTTGGCATCCCAAGAATAGAAAAGTGAAACTGTCTGTCACAGTGACAGAACTTGGGCTTTCAAAGCATCAATTCCGTCGGCTCAGAGAATTGGTTGGAAAGCGGTACAATCCAGGGAAAGATGAGCTTACAATAACTAGTGAGAGGTAGGTCAACGGCATGCCCCCTTTCTCTATTATTAATTTTATTATTATTTTGAAGTACTTAGGCTGGTTAGTAGTTGTTTAGATTTCAGAGTTTTTATTCTTATATGCCCTACATGATATTGATGATTGTGCATTTTATTACTGAAACTGAACTAGCGTTTCCCGAATCTCTTTTGAGTTGGAGACATCTAGTCCACAACCTTGAATGTTGCACTATTTTTCTTCCCTCCTTCCCACACTCCTGTAGCACAAAAAGAAAATATTAGTTATAGTCCCTGCAGAATGTATGAGAAGATTCTTTTGTTATGTCTTGCTCGGACCTTGAATATTTCACTTGTCTTGGAAGTGCTTGAAAATTGTTATGTGCAGTAACTTAGTCGACATCAGTTTATACATCAAAGATGTCTTATTTAAATAGGAAACAAAGTTTATCCACCCAAGTTGATGTAATTAGAGTGAAAGAAGTAATAGATATATCAACATATAGTACTGCACATTCTTCCTTTCATTACAACATCTTATAGAAATTGAAACGTTTGTTTTTTGTTATTTATGTTTTGTTTTCTTTGCGAAGGAAAATAATCTCTCTCTCTCTCTCTCTCTCTCTCTCTCTCTCTCTCTCTCTCTCTTGTGAAGGTTTGAACACCGAGAAGAAAATAGAAAGGATTGCCTTAGGACTCTTCTTTCCCTCATCGAGGAAGCTGGGAAAGCTAACAAACTGGCTGAGGATGCTCGAGTTTCATATGTCAAGGAGAGATTAAGAGCAAATCCTGCATTCATGGAGAGGCTGCGTAACAAGACCATGGGATTGCAAGGAAAGAGCACAGTGCCTGCTTGAGATTTTGATTTCCAGCAGCCTGTTGAAAAATAAGTTTCCAGGTCTGGCATGACATTTTCAGGACGTTCGGCTGTTTAAATTGGTTACCCTCACTGCAAGATAATTATTTACAATAGAAAATATACTCCCAATGCATATTTCATGAATGCATTGCATTGGTAGCTTTTTCTAGTTGGTAATGTTGGCAGCCAATTGTCTTTACCTTATACCCTGTGAAAATTTCATTTGGAGCCTTGTTGTTCTGAAGTTCATGTGCAATGCCTTTGAAGATCTTTTTTGCTGAGTGAGATCTTTCAATGTATTAGTTTAAGTTATCCTTGATGAGGTGTTATAACTAACAAGATCATTAACGCTATATTGATGTTATTTAATCGATGCAATTACTTGTTAGAGACTCAAATTTGCTCTCAAGTCTGCTATGAACATTTGTTTAGCCAATATTCTCGCTGCCTTTTCAACTTACTTAATCCAGAGATGAAGAATTCTTCCAAGTTTTTTCTCCGTGTGTTGGTTTCCAGGTTTTACTGGTTACAAAAAGCTGTGTCCAAGCGAAACTGACAATAGTGGGCTGCATGCACTACTCTGAAATGCAGTGAACAGGTCACCTTAAGATTTTGAATTATGCTTTGCTTACACCAAGCAAACTGATTATTCAATACTACATCTACAAAACCTTGATAACACCATAAACTTGCAACCTACAACAAAGCACAAAATAATAATTTTTTTTAAAAAAAAGCAAAAAATGAGATAACAAATAAACCAATATTTAAAAAAGAAAAATCACAAGTAAACTATAAAAAAAAGGAGGGTAGAAATAGCTTTTAGTTAAGTCCCTTACGGAAATTTAAGAAAAAAACTTTAAGTTAAGTCCCACGCACGCCACGAAGGACCTTTGTGAGTCCAAAACCTACGCGGACCTTCGGCAATCAAGCAAACGCAAAGTTGGTTCAGTCTAGAAAGGGGGAAAAAAGGAAGGGGAAGTAGGTGTTAAGTCATAGGTTTTGTATTTGTATGGTTATGGTCACGAACTTTTTGTTCCTTATGCAAATAAGGCATACTTTTTGTGTATAAATTCATTTCTTAGTAGTTTCCTTGTTGTCTTTGAAATTAATCTCTCTCTCTTTTTTCTCGCTGGAGTGCAAATTAGTCTTTTGAAATATATCAACCCCCCATATGCGGGCATTTGAGATATGTCTTTTTCTATTTTTAATCAACTTTTGAGATGTTTGAGGAAACTAAAAATACATATTCAAACAGTCGTGCATTGAACAATGGGTTTTTACATTCTCATTTGTTATTACTCTCATTGCATTAAAGTTTCTGACTATCTAAAGTCATGATCATCATGAGAATTTTACGTTCATGTGGTGTAAACAAAAGGACTTTTTGAGAAGTTTGTTGTTGACGTAGTGTGAATAAAATAATATTCAGAGTCTAAGATGATTTAGAATATAATATATAATGATCAATAACTTTACGAGTTGCAGAATAAATTTAGTTCACATTGTAGTAAGCTTACATCAATTTGCAAATGAACTATAAATTTTACTGTAACTTTGATAAATATTCCTAAAAATAATATTAATATGGCTTCAAGGTCCAAATTACATGAGTTGATAGAATTGAACTATATATACACTGTATAGGAATTAAAGATCATAAAAAATCAATGAATGCTGATCATTTTGTAGAGCCTTGCTATCAATCCTTATTTGTAAAAGATGTGAGATAGTGCACCTGTAAATTAAGAAGGTAAATATATAACCCACTCAACGATTAAATGAAAAGATTGGAAAAACAAATTATATATACCAAAACTGAAAAAGCGAATTTTGAACAATTACCAATAAGCGTACGTTTACAAAAGGAAATCTTGTCGGGCGAGGCTTATTATCAAGTATATAGCAGAAGCAGGGAAAGAGTTGTTTATACACCTGCACAAGTTGAATAGGAGCAGCATGCAAAGGTGAAATCACATGCTCACGGTACATGCAAGCATGCACTACTTTATTTACCCAATATAATACAAGCTCAGAATTAAATGGAAAGAATTATACTCAACCAAAAAGAAATTATAATCCATGAAAGAAAGAAAACAAAATTTGCAATCCGTCCACAAAGGACTGCTTATTCAGTTGCGTTACATAGTATCCAATAAAAAACAATGAATACCATGCACGTATTAGCTAGTGTATATGTAATTAGGTAGGTCGGTCGACTCCTAATCAACCCTGACACAAAATTGCTTCCTCAAATACAAGGGGTGAACTAATTAATTATATTGGATGATCAATAATAGGTGTATGGTGGTGCCTGGGGATAGTAATGGCCGTATGGGTAATATGATGATCTTTGTCCGTAAGGACCATTATACCCATCCATATAAGGGTCAACTGCTCCAGCCCTATAATATGAATGATGGTCATAATACCCATTGGCATTGACAATATTGGCCTCGCCATAGCCGTCATAGTTGGTACATTGATCTCCAGTCCTGACCCAGCAGATTTCTGCCTCTTTCCCAGCCTGCACTAGTCTTCTCAGTAACTTCGTGGGGTTTACTTTACCAGAAATATATGCCATACCTGCTTCTGCATCTACATTGTATGACGCTCCTAAACCATTCAAACACAAACTCAACACTTCAATTTCTGTCCGATTAAGTATATTATGCACCGTAACGTAGCGTTAGGGTTTAGGGTTTAGGAGAAGAAGAAATAGATTAAGAGTACCTCGGATCTTTTTCAGCATTTTCGTTAGGCACTTATGCCATCCGCCGGACTTGGTGTCCACTTTCAGTCCACACGTCTGTAAATTTTAAAGACACATGTCCAAAATGAATTTACAGAACCAATCAAAGAGGAGAAAATGGAAACAGGAAGAAATAATAAATATGTTGAGAGATTATATAATATTCTGATCGATCATACCATGTAAGATCGAGACTCCATTGTAGACAACTTTCCAACTCCTCCTACCCTCACGATCAAAGACAGAGCTTGGAAACTAGGGTTTTCTTTAGGAGGAGGAGATAGGCTATAGGGTCTGTAATGGATGGATTTGAGACAAGACGAGAGTGCGGTATTTATATATAGACTTGTTGGTTATGTTTTTTTTTCTTTTCTTTTGGGTCATTTGATTAAAGATGGAAATAGTTGTGTTGGTGTTGTGTCGGTAAGGTAAGTATTTTGTAAGTAGAAAGAAATCTCGAAATTGAGGTCGAGCATTTAAATTACAATGTTCTCATTTTTATTTCCCACGTAAATCTTGCAAGAATCTCTTGATATTCAGGAGTAAACGCATATAAGAGAATATTAGTAAAACTTTATCAGAACTTTTTGTTTTTGATCCAGAATTTATATCTCCAATTTCCAAACGATCCAGAATTTCTCTCTTAATATCAGTACGTTTGCATTAAGTAATAAATGAATAATTAAAAGGAAGCTATGCTGCAACTCCCTGCGCAGTTGAGGGAATTAGGGCCTAAAGTTTAGGCCATTTCCATTTACCACCACCTAATTACTAATTAATTATTACAAATGTAGCTAGGTTTTCCTAAAATCCTTACGACAGCAAAACGTCCCTTTCCGAGAATTGTGAATGCCGTTTTTATTCGAGTCTTTGATTTGATACATACAACATCAATGTTGGGCAAATCGAATGCAAACACAAATCCTCCCTCTTTTGATTTGGTTTGATTGAATTTGATTTGATTTGGTTACTTGAAGAATTTAATTCATGCAGGCATTAGCAATCAGCGTCACATAAATTAGGAATTCATGAAAACCAATCCGCCCAATATAAATTAAAATAATTCTAATTAATATATATATATTTTTGACACTCATGTTGCAGCCGGTGAAGGAGAAATTGGGGCCACAGCCCCACCGGAAACACGTGGTCTAAAATAACGGGTGATCCTATTTGGATGGGGAGGAGGTGGTGGACTTGGCAGTATGTGTCTTCTTTCTACTTTCCGCAGCCTCATATCTGCAAACATGGCTATATATATAAACTCAGTCAGTCCAAATGGATCTAGTAAAGTAATTAAGATTGGGAATTGAAACAGAAACTTGGTGTATAACCAACCTGCATTAGCCTGTAGACTGAATTGCTGCACCAAGTTAGTAGCTAGCAAAACAAAAGCAACCAAAATGAATGAAGAGACTCGCATATCTCTTATCATTTCTTTCCTCTTCTTCTCAATCCACTTCTTTAATCAATATATATACTGGGTTTTGAACCGTGTAATGAAAGTCATCCATCTCCAGCTCCAGCCATTTTATGCAAAACTAATTTATTCAATTATTGATGACATTTTTGCCTGGCCATGGCAGCTGTCTTATCTTATGTTTAATGTTTAATAAAATAAAGTATGCGTGTCGACTATTTAAGTATATCGAGTATATATATGTTAATGTTTAGGAAGAATAGAAGAAGATTAGAGAAATGTTAGTGGATGCTTGATCATATAATTGGAATTCCGAACATTATAACACATGTACAAGATGTATAACGTGATCATATTATTGTTGTATTCTATAATTTCTCCACTTTTACATATATGCTAGCAAAAACATATATTTCTTACTTTCTTTTGTGCAGTGAATTTCAGTTTCACAAAAAAGTCGACACCACCAGTGATATAAAACATAAATGTTTAATGAAGCGATTATTTATTTCATTTCAATTGGAAATCCAAAAACGTATTTTATGAATCGATCTACCTTGCAATTCACGCGTCAATATTTAGTTCTAAAACAAAATATACTTATATATCCAAGCGTGGCTTTGAAACAATCTTCCTTATAAATTATATGTGATAGTCCAATCCCATACATCTTTTAAGTCATGATGGGTTCATCATTCAGTGCCTTGCTTGTCATCTCTTCATCACATTTGAATACCTCTTTTATTTATTTTATATGTAGATGTAGTCTGGGACTAGGGGAGTGTGTGAGCTGGTCAAGCTTTAAACTTCAAACCTAAGGTCGATATGCTCTTTGGACAATTGGGTCAAACACTGAAATAAACAATCAGGAATTGAATTCTTTACACAGAAACGAAACTAAAGACAGCTCTAATTGGTTAAGTTAACTGGCACATCTGTGTGACAAGAAAGTCAACGAGGAAAAGATAGTGAATTGTAGCAAGAGATGCATGCAAATCAGAATCTTGCAAACAAAGCCTTCATCGATCCAAGAGAATCCTATTCACAACATCAATTGGCAAAGCATATGCTGGATCTATTGCTTTCACCCCAGGCTATACGAAGGAGAGAGCAAGCATCAACCTTAGGGCATGTTTACATATTAGTAATGGGTATGGAAGGAAAGGGAATGATTTCCATTCCTGACTTCTCCTGCGTTTACTTGCAATCAGGAATGAAAAAAAAAGTGGGCCCCATCTCAAAATCCGTAATCGCATTCCCTCAAAACTAGGAATCAGATCAACTAGGGGAGAGTAGTCGATACGATTCCCATTCCTGTTTTCTCTTAATAACTTCTAAAAACACCCTTATCACTTTACCATAATTCTAAAATTAATTTGGATTCTGATTTATGCAAATTAGTAAACAATAACAATGGGAATCAATCCCATTCCATTGCTAATTCCATATGTTTAGTAAACAGCTTAATGGGAATGATTCTTCCCATACCGATTCAGTAGTTCTCCGATTCCTAAATTCTTTGATTCCTTAGTTTCTCCATTACTGATACGTAAACATGCCCTTAATGTAATGAATACGGAGGAGAGAGCAAGCAACCAAGAACAAAAAAAGAAATTACATGAAGAACATAAATCATCTTAAATATCATTTTGGCATTTTATTCCCTTCATAAGCAGATCCTTGCAAGTTGCAACCCTTCGGGATGAAGTTGGAAACTCGAAAGCTCCAACCATGCATTGATCATGATGATCCAGACTGGTTACAACTTACGACATGCCATAGGTAAAGAAATGTGGAAACAAACAAAACTTATTTACCAGCTACACCAAAGTATGAGTGGTAGACATCAACAGCATCATCTGGTCTGTTAGAAATTCCTCCATTTTCAGTGTCCTACAATTTTCAGTAATTACGTGCAATGTTCAGATAAACCCATAGTCACATATTTTCATTCTGGGAATAAGTTACCAGAGAGAATGCCCATTCCTAAAGCATAATCCAAATCTACAGAGAGAGCTTATTAGGTAAATGTAACCTGGCAGTCCAAAATGAACTTGACACTTGGTAGATAATAACTGAATAATCACATAAGTGAGATTAAGGATATTTCTACACTTGGTAGTTGGACTGATGTAAAAAGAGTTAAGTCTCAGGACCTGGTAAGTTACACTGACGATCAGTTCCTATTCAAAGTTTTCAGTCAATTATCCTTTCTGTTTTAGGTTGTCAATAGATTGTACACATGGCCAAAAAGAAAGTCATAAGACAATTTCAACAATCCCAATATGTTACTTCGCAATGCAGTTTACACTCAGGATGAACAAATTCAGCACAGCATTCATCTTTAAAGCAATCATTCTTGTCAACATGTCATCGACTAAGTTTTTAATTGAAAAGAGCAAAATAACATATGAAAACCTTAGTTGGAGAGATGCAGTGCAAGAATGACTGCTAATTTCCATTGAACGGACAAAAAGGAAACAGCTCCAAGGATATGTGGAGTTTTCGCATACAAATATTACAATGGATTGAATTATGAACTCAGAACGGCTCGTATAGGTTAGCATACAACCCATTTATGAAGTACTAATAAAAAACTAAAATTTCATACAGATAGCATATAGGGGTAAATGACATACTTTGACCTGCATGAGACTCCCCACCAGGCGTGCATCCAAATCCGCCATCATGATTTTTACAACTTACAATGTAGTTCACTGCCTTCTCCACATTGATTTTATCCAAACGATGTAGTAATGAGAGACAGCATATAGCAATATAAGAAAACCTAAAAGAAAAAAGAAAAATGTTTATGTACTTTTTTCTGAAAACAATTGTTACAGAATCATGTTTTGCATAAAGAGCAGGTGACTACAACAAATATAAGATGCAAAAACACAAAGGAAATTGAAAAATACTACCTTGTATCAACTTCACCCCATATGTCCCCGTTAAAAGATCCATCTTTATTTTGCAGCATAGCGACATCTGAGTTGAATATTAAGTTTAACCAAATTTACTAACTTCTCTCTGCTTTATTTTGATTGTCCAATTATAATTGAGCTACAAGCAGCCGCTCCACACAAGAAGTACCAATTATTTTTGTACACCATTCATCAACTGAAAATGCACACATTAGGGGAATGAGGATTTATTTCAAATTTTACAAATAGATGTGGTGAAGGATACAATTTGCAACCCCTGTCAACATCCAGAACTTCAATATTGTCAATAAGGCCAAAACCTGCACAGCACTTAAGGTATATAGTATGTGTTGATCATGCCCAATGTTACCGCCAAACCCACCTGCATATACAAAGCTGTATCGTGTCATCAGTTTCTGTAGAACTCTAAACCAAGAAACAAACAATAAAGAACGAAATACTAGTTAGTGTTGTAAAAACCTGAGTCATGCTGGCACTGGAGGACCCAGGAAACAACCTCATCGGCATCCACAGTGTGAATCTTTCCGAGAAGATCAAGAGTGGTCAAACCCAAGGGTGCTCCATCGCCAGAGACTCCTAACAGTCCTTCTTCTGAGTACAGTATCACCATTATTACTAGGTAGATTATATATAAGGCAAAATAAAACTATATGCATTGATTTTGCATAAAAATCAAACCTTTTCGGCTGAAAGAATGAATTGAACATGTTTCTGAGTCGCCAGCTCCGCCATCTGTTACAAATAAACCATGGATTCGGCAGCGGCTTTACTCTTTTTAGAAAAAATTTGGAAAACTGAGTCCAGCCGTTCGGTTTTTGAGATTCTTTGGAAAAAGGGGTATAGCCGACCGGCTATACTATTTAATGGAAAAAATCCGAGTATTACCGCACGGCTATACTATTTTTTTTAAACAAAACCGAGTATAGCCGGCCGGCTATACTATATACATAAAGAACCCAGCTAGCGCCTAAGGGCCACGTGTCAAAAATAGTACAGCCGACCGGCTATACTTAAAAATTAGGGAAAACTAGTATATCTGGGCGGCTATACGATTTTTAAAAAACTTTGGAAAAACCGAGTATCGCCGCACGGCTATAGTATTTTTTTGAAAAATAAAAATACAAATTTATAAATAAACCCAATCCTAGACATGTATTTATAAAAAACCCAAGATTTAAACATAGAAACACACCCAAAATCAACAATTGTATATTTTTTGGGTGTGTTTATAAATGAGTTTTGAGTGTGTGTAATGATGGGCTTTGAGTGTGTTTATAAAGTGTTTTGGGTGTTGGGGTTTTTTTATAATTTCAGCCCTCATTTTGGGTGTTTTAGTGAAACTCCCAAATAAAAAACCTCGTATAGCCGATCGGCAATACTATTTTATGAAAAATTAATAACAAAAAACCCAGTAAAGCCGTTCGGCTATACCATTTTTTTAAAATTAAAAAAATCTAGTATAGCCGCGCGGCTATACTATTTGCAAAAAGACCAAAGAGAGGCCGCGCCCAGCGTTTAGGTGCCCACGTGTGTAGTATAAGTATTTAGCCTAAGTATAGCCGCGCGGCTAGACGATTTTTATGATAAAATTAATAAAACCGAGTATAGCCGGCCGGCCAAACGATTTTTAAAAAAAATTAAAAACCGGGTACAGCCTCGGCTATACTATATATTTATATATATTAAAAAAAGGACCCGCCTAGCTGATCCCGTGACGAGAAAAGAAAAGAAAAAAAACCCTCGGCAATAATCTTATCCGTTTATGGGCCAAATTACAGAGGGAAGAACACAAGGAAACACCATTTGCTAGATATAAAATAAAAGAAAAGCATATATAGTGAAGTGGCAGCAACATGTTAGATGATGAGTTATTGTCATCATCAGGCACGGTTATTGTTGAAGTTGTTTGGAAGCGTGGGCGGGGGAGGAGGAGGAGGAGGTGGAGGATCGGGAGCAGGAAGTCTCATGCCTGGTTGTTGGTTTGCAAGTGGTGATTTTGGACGAAATGGAGGTGGCCGCCGTTCTCTCAGTTCCCTATTATTTATAATAATATTCTTATCATCTGCAACTGCAAGCAATGCAATACAACACTAATGAGTTATAGACTCAAGATATATGCACCAAATTAAATTAAAAGAGAAATATTGATAGATACCTGCTGCTGCTGCTGCTGTGACCAAACCTAGCTGCACGGTGAACATGGCAGCTGCAACTAGAAGAACAACCACCAGTGCAACAGAATTAGAGACACCCATGTTTTGCTCCTAGCTAGCTACACCAAATGATATTCTCTACTCTCTCACCCTTCCCACGCTTTTACATATTAGGTAGGCTAGGCCGGTATTATATATATACAAATACAGATGTAGAGTGCAGTCAATTTTATCGGGGTGCGGTGTTGATTGATAAAAATAAACAAAACCAAGTTGATCCTTATTGAATTGATTTTCACACCTAATGACAAAAGTTTTAATTCAGCAAACTTTGACTGATGAGTCTTGAGGAATCTGAAACACGTGTCTTGCTGTTGCAGCATTAATTTCTGTTCACAAGGTTCTCATATACATCATACATGACACATGTGACAAAATATATAGCTCACCAGATTTCTTATTGTTAACTTATAAGTTGGTAACAATATACATACACCAAAGGGAAGGATGAAAGATGGGTGAATAGAGCTGTCTGTGTAGCTCATACCATGTAAAAACTGGGCGAAGAAACCAAAGTGACAATTGTGAATATGCAGATGCAGGATGTTCAAAAGGCGGATTGGTTAAAGTAGATAAAAGTATTTAAATTGCAGGCAGGCAGGCAGGCAGGAACTAATAATTATAGCCACCTGACCTGCATGCCAATGCCGTGCACAACATGTGAAGTGTCTTGGCTTCATATGTTGTCATCTCACCAACACCATTCAAAATATGATAAGAGTCCTAACCGATACTCATAAATGCTTAGACAATATTGCTTGCAATATATCCTTCCTTTTTACAGCAAAATACAATAGAAAACTGCACATCATGTAAACCCGTTTACAGGAAATGCAGACTTGACAACTCTGTTTTCAAATTTATCAGACAAGAACCTTATACATAGTACATACATAGACACACACCCCTAAATTAACTGCTGTAGAAATTGACTATATGAGCACTAGCACTAGTCCAACTGTTCTTACTTAAACTCCCAAATCTATCCCTCAATTTTTCATGGACACTTAAAATTACCATGAAAGATTTTTTTTTCTGCAATTTACAACTAGAGAAAGAAGGCACAATGTTCCAAATTCGTCTAATTATATTTGAAAAGCTGCAAATCTTATCAGCTGCAAGCCCGCATCATTCAATCATGAATCATGATGAAAGAGCTTTTCTGATATATACGGAGTACGGACCATTCTCTTTTCTAATGTAGGCTCAAGTTGAGGTACATAACATTTTACATACATTATTGCTTTCTGAAGAGATTTCATGTTTTCACCTACAAAAAGCATGTTCTGTACACGTCACGCTATATTGTCCTATCACGATTTCCAGAAAAATAAAAATCACAACAAGAACTTGATAGTATTTGAAATTCTTTCCAAATTACACAAGCACATGAATAAAACTCAAATTGTTGTTCAACTTAATATTAAGAACTTTATAAGTCAACCTTGGTGTCTGTCAAGCTAACAACTGTGAAACGTTAGTCTTCTGATATAAGTGAACATTACCATTATTCAATTGCATAACACCACCAGCAAACCAAAGCATCATCCCAACATAAGTATTTCTCAACCTTTTCAACAGCACAACCGATGATGCAACCGTCATTCGCAGTTTTGGGGTCACTCTGAGTTTCCAAAACTTGGGACGTTTCCCTTCTGCCATTGAAACCCTTGCATTTTCCTCATTGCTAACCACACTTCTTAGTCTTCGATATCGTCTTCTCCTCCTGTACCTCTTCATGCTTCCACAGAATCCAGTAAATGTCTGCATATTTTTCTGAGAGATGGAATCATGGAGAGAGCTACGTGCCAAGGCGATATATTTAGTATGTCAGTGAAGATGCAGATGAAGGTGCAGCTATTTATTCAAAGGGAAATAAGGTAAGAGGCTTAAATTGAAGGAATTTATGAGAGCAGGCAGCGTAGCAACTGTAATTATGTAAATGGGATAGCTTTTCTTGTTGCCACCAATCACCAATTAACAGCCAACGGTTCCTGAAAGTTAGGTTTGGGGTTCAGACATTAACTAAGACGGGCCCCGCCATTTAATGTTTCATATTTGTTTTCTTTGACTTGAGATTTCTCCTTTTAATGTCTCTTCTAATAGTCAATAACCTCAGCTGTTAAAAGACCGTCAGGTTTAGAAAGAGTACATCGATCTCAAAGTTATATTGCCACAGCAGCCTGAAAATGAAACTTGGAAAGCAAGACATTGAAAAAATTTCATTGAATAAAGAATGAAGTTGGGAGCTACAGTCATCAAATGAAGTTCTGCATCTACAAAGTATCTTCCTGAAGTAAGTCATTATTTCTATTTGATATATACAAGTGCAAAATCAGTATCTTCTCCCAGTTTCCATTTCTTCCAGTAATTGGTGGGGTGGTGGACTGGTATCTCGTGGAGTGAAATCTGGACTGTCCATATCTGTTCTCCGCATACGAAGAGAATTAGCCCTTGTGGCCGGGGACAGGGACTGGCCACCATTCCTCTCTGCAGCCAGCATGGAAAAATATGCATGAGGTGCCCACCCTGCAAGTTCAAGATTAAGAATCCAAAGGTTATATATACATATAGTAGATAGGGGATAAATGACAGATTATTTCATAAAGACTTGAAGCATTCTTTTGTCTAAAAATTTACTGCTTGAATGAAAATTCAACAAAATGAGAGAGACAGACAGCAGATTAATTTTTACAGTGCCATGTTCTTGATTTCAAACTGATTTTATCTTAATAACCCTATGCATTTCTACATCCCAAGGTCCTCACTCAAGTTTCTATTCTTAATTTTAGGTATCAAAGTTAAAAGGCCAACAAAGGTCTAAGCTGCTGCAGAAAGTTTCAATAATTTCAATTCTTTCTGAAGTCCATATACAATACTTGCCACAACTATATCAACAACCATAAGGTCTATCTTCTAAGGAAGAAAGCACAAAAGTACAGGCATACACACTAGATTAGCATTTGCTATCCATGAATGAATGAAACATGAACTAATTAAGATATCCGACAGGAGAGAAAAGAGGAAATAATTAAGACAGCAGACGCACCATCGTGCTGGTTTGGAAGAGGGAAGGACTGCAAGTAACAAATTGAAGCTATGGTAATTCCTGCACTTAAACAAATTCAAGGCCCCAATATATGGATTACTATCTGTTTTCTAAACCAAGTTTTATAGTGGCAGGAAATGGAAATTTTATCATGCATTTAGTAGCAAACCTATAAGACCTCCAGCAAAGACGTCTTGCCAATGATGCCAGTAGTCATCCACACGAGAGATTCCCACAAGAGCAGCGCAGAGTAACGGAAGAAATGCTATGCAGAGCTTTGCAGAATGGCCCCTACGATCAAACACTTTAATTTTCCCTGACAAATACCATGCAAGGAAACCAAGACCTGCAAATGAAACTGCATAATGACAAGTACAAACCCAATTATGTAGAGTCTTTTTCAACAGCATAACCTTAGAAATACCAACAAACAGAACAAGGATGATTTGATACAAACAACCAACATTATGCTTCCACATTATACACGTTCCAGTACAAAATAAACTGAAAAATACTCAAATAGCAGTTTTCTGTAAGATAGAGAAAACAGGAATATGAATGCAAAATGTGCCTGCATAATATTCTGGAAGGCCTCATAAAATGGTTACTCATAGCAGCAATAGACCTCAAAAAACTATGCGTTTAACTATCAAGATAAGAGCATGGATATCTTTCTATTTTCACTTACTTGAAGTATGCCCACTAGGAAAGCTTTTATGTCCTTCCTTGATAACTTTCTTATCTCCATTACACATAGCATTGCCACTGACAGGATCAAATTCCTTTAGATTCCATTGACAAGTTAGTGATCAGCATAATGCAAGAACAAGCCTTAATGGATAGAAAAAAGAAAGTTGTCACCTACACCTATTCCATCAGGGAAACACCGCCAGAAGAAGTTTGGACGGGGGCGACCAACAGCATCTTTGATTGAATCAGTTATAACAAGAGTTATAAGAACAGAATAGAAAAGACCTAAGTTGCAAATGTAACCATTAGCCCACAAAACAAAAAAACTGGTATAGTGGAAGCCTAAAAGGACACTGAAAATACCCAATATGGCATGGTGCAAATCATAAACATCCTTTCTGCAAAAATAGTATAGGAGAAAGATGACAAGAGGCAAGATTACTGCGTAAATCTGACACAGGAATTCAAGATATAGTCAAGTATTAGCTTTTCTTTTTCTCCTGGAAGATAGATACAAATGTAGAACTAGAAAACTTAAAGTGTTCACTGATATTCTCTGTAAGGTACAAGGATAAGAGATTATGAGAATCTTTTTTGGTCAACAGATTGTGAGAATCAGATACATACTGGAACAGCCCAAAAAGGTATGGTGTCCTTATGAAAAGGGTATTTCAGATCAGTCATCATTTCCTCGCCAACAAAACGGTGGAAAGGCTCTATAACATTCAAAGTTATATCAACCGCCGCAAGAAGCAGAAGAATTAACCAATCATATTTGTGCACTTTAGCCACTTTGACTCCATGAGATTTTAATGTGTGAGATTCCAACTGAAAGTCTGGCATCTTCTTTCGAACTGAAGTGCAAAACCAATTTGAAATGATCTTTTAAAAAGGAGAATATAACTGCCAATTTGAACAGAAGAACAGGTACAATATTATTGAAGAATCAAATGTCATTAGCTTAACCGTTTTCTTTCTCCCAGATGTAAGTGCCCTTTTCTCTTTCTTTTTTTTGTTGGATCCAGAGGTAAAGTTCCCTGAAAATTGAAACTTTTGAAAAAATACTAGAGAAAATGCGATGAGATGTGCATCGGCAAAAATATTCACATCAGAAAACACTGCATTTGCATCATAATATTCCCATAAGATAAACATTAGTGCCACTAGAATTTGACACATTAAGCATGATAACAACAGGAAATAATTTCCAAGCTTATTATCAGGACAATGATCATTGACATTATGCCAATCTCTTTTTTGGCAGAAATATGATGCTTGAGGTAGTTTCCATGATACTGGTATCATGAAAAATCTGATTAAAGTTTTACAATAACAACTTGTGGTTCAATTGAAAATGCCAGTTACCATTCTTAATCGTCAATAAACATGAACCTACATTGTTACAAACCCAAGTATATGTTACATATTGAAGAGCTGTCTGGCCCAAACATCAATGGGAAACGACACAATTCTTGAAGACATGCACGGACCATAAAAGGTAATTCTATGATATAGCCTAAGATATAGATTGATGGTCATACCTATTCATGCTGAAAAAGAAGATATAACATATTTTCCTAAGAACATTGTCCTATATACATTGGAGAGAGAGAGAGAGAGGTTACCGTTGATGGAGAACTCTGAAGAACAAAAGCTCCCCGAGCCTCGGGCTCCCGCATCAATGGCGGAATCAAACAGAAAGAGAAAGAGGGACCCCGTGGTGTGCTTGTGAACCTCTGAAATTAAAAGGGTATGTTACCAGCGATTAATTGTCCAACACAACTAAAGGAACTTCAGGCCCAATTGTGAGGCAAGACATGCACACACACACGCAATTTTGCAGAAATAGATGGGGAATGTAACTAACTATGTTATTCTCTGCCCTGAAAAAACTATGCTATACTAATTACATTTTGGTATATCAATAACGTTATTATTTTTAGAAAGAGGAAAAGTACATAGGCAGAGAGAGAGGTATCTCCTCACTCACTCCTCAGACTTCAGTCCCCATCCTTCTCCTTCGTTTTAATTTCATTTGCTACAAGACATTGTTGAATATGCATTAAGAAAATGGCAAATGTATTGTTTATGTATATATGTTAGATTTTGCATGGAAGATTTCTTTTAATTATTTGTTTTTCTTGGGAGATGCCTGAGATTAATCAAATTCCAAAACCATCAAGTTGATCAGGTCCTCCATATGTCTCACCCTTACTTGCTTGTAACCCAACTCATGTCCAGCTTGTATACAGTAATCTATTCTTTCAAGTACCATGAAGAGGCATATATAAAATCCTTAGGCAAACTCAACTCACATTCTTGTACTAGATTTGCTTAAAACATTATAATATAAAGTTTTGACAGTAAATGTACACTGGAAAGGGCCTCTGGTTCTGTAACCCGACACATGGATGCATAATAAAGACATTGGACAATGGACACTGCTGAAAGCAATTTTTCATACTAGCAGAGGGGATGGATGTGTAAAGGACAAAATGAGCAATTCAAGAATATTATTACTACTCAAAGTGAATCTAGCTAGTGATCTATAAACAGAGATATCTATCAAATTTTGTTTCGTATTTTCCGTTGTTATAAATCATTCAGATTTAATATTGTCCACACCACACAACAGACCACAGACCACAGACCACAGCACATTGTTCTCCTATATTTGCTCTCTTGTGTTCTGTTATTGCGTTACAGCCCCCTCGTATCTGAAGGAGAAGCAAAAGGGCAAATCATTTTAAAGTAAGAGGGCTTGCTTTCATCATCATGCATGCACCATCAAAACCAAAAAAAGAATTATAGATCCATTTTCACAGCGTTATAACTTAGAAGAACACGCACAAGTTCCTATGGATGTCCATGTGAGATTGGTCCAATTCTCTGTAAAGTTCATGTGCATCAGTGCATGGGCGACGCGTCAAGAATCCCACTCTCACCACGGATGCATATAGCAGCAGCATATACAGGTGGTTTTTCTTTTTCTCTTGTTTTTTGTTTCGGAATTGGAGCTCATCTAATTTAAATTTGACTTCTCTTTACACAGATAAAAACCTATTTGCATATATTAATCCCGTGAGTGATGCATAATTAAAGGTCCATTTTTCTTTGAAAATTTTCTTTTATTGGATTGGCAATGAAAAAGTAAAACAGAGTGTGATCCATGGGACAAATTAACCTATGAAGATTAATTACATGACACCTGTCATCTACTCATCCATAATCCATTGATGCATGCACCCTAATCAAGCTTAAAATTGGAAGCTATTCTATTCTCATTGAATCAAATACTCAAAGGTATGAAAATAAAATAGACAGAGAAGCAGTCATAGATAGGCATAGAATAGAAGCACAGACTCTCACTGCCTTTTCAATCTCAAGTCAAAATACTTTCAAAGCAGAACAAAATCCCCCAAAACTTCCATTGCATATTTAATCCAAAATCTCTCTCTCTCTCTCTCTCTCTCTCTCCATTGCACATACCATTGACATAGAAGACCACAGGCAGCAAGCAGCAATGGATCCACCACCCCTCCCACCTCTTCCCACCACAATCACCACCACAGCCATGGCAGCCACCAGCATGCAACCCAACTACCCTGACTCAGCTGACTCGTCCCCAAGGTCTCGAAATGTCGACGCATGGGATGAGCCTCTCCCCCAAATCCCAGGCGCCAAGCTTCGCCTCATGTGCAGCTATGGCGGCCACATCATCCCCCGCCCGCACGACAAGTCGCTCTGCTACGTCGGCGGCGAAACCCGCATTGTCCTAGCCGAACGCAGCTCCTCACTCTCCGACCTCTGCTCCCGCCTCTCCCGGACCCTCCTCCATGGCCGGCCTTTCTCTCTCAAGTACCAGCTACCAAGCGAAGACCTTGACTCACTCATCTCAGTCACCACCGACGAAGATCTCGACAACATGATCGAAGAATACGACCGCACGGCTTCCACCTCTCTTTTGAAGCCTTCGCGGCTCCGATTGTTTCTCTTCTTGGCCAAGCCTGAAACTGCTGCGTCCATGGGGGCTTTGCTTGATGATGCAAAGTCCGAGTCTTGGTTCGTCGATGCGCTTAATGGGTCGGGTCTTATTCCCAGAAATCTCTCGGACTCGGCCACCATGGATTGCTTGTTGACTGGGAGTGAGAATTCTTGTAACGATTTGGAGGCTCAAGGTGACTTCTTTGGTGACAACAACAACAACAAACAGGGTATTAATGGTGTGATGAAGAATGTTAATAATGTAGTACATGATGTGCATTCGATCAATCAAGAGTTACCCTTTGTGGAGAATAGTAGTCCGTATTTTGGGTCGTCTACTTCATCGCCTTGCTTGTCTAATTTGCCTTCGATTCGGGTTCGTATGGATGACAATGGGGCTAGAGTGATGCAGAATGGTCACAAGGCTATTGGGATAGAGGAACAGTTTGCTCAAATGAGTACTGGTTTTGCTGCTGCTGCACCATCATTGGCTGCTAATTCTGGGGCTTTGCCGCCATCTGGTGCTCAGATGATGAATGCTGTGCCTGTTTCTGGAGAAAATGTGAACAGGGTCATCTCATCAGATGATGAGAGATCATCGGATCAGAGTGTGCCAGTTGGGTTTCGTAAGCCTCCTCTGCCATTGCCTTTGCAGCCTTTGCAAGTTAATAAGGCTGGTGGTGGTGGTGGAGGAGGTTATAGTTTGCCTTCACCCGATTCAGTTGCAAGGTATGTACTTCTCTCTTTGTATCAGATAATTTGTTTTAGGTAAAGATAATAGCTTCTATTTCAAAGTAAATGCCGTGGCGCACACACAGATGGATTCTATGTATTCTTAAGCTGAAATAGGCCAATTTAATCTTTTGTTCAATGAATATGAAGAGATGTGCTTCTGTATTTTTAGGTGTAGGTGTTGATGAGAGATTTTACTTTAACAGAGAAAAGTTAGGAGCCAACCATTTTTCTAATTTTTGTTTTTAGAGTTTGGAAATAATAGTTGGGTAAAAGGTAATCTGCTGGCTGTAGTATCTTAAGGGGTTGTTTATGTTTGGTTGTTTAGTTCTGTGTTGAGTGGCCTTGTGTTTGTTTCTCCGACTAGTGTTTTCTTTTTATCTGTGATCTGTGATCTAAATGCCCTTGTTTTGATCCTTTCAATTTGAATAAAAATGTTTCTATTCAAAAAATGGTTATATGGTTTGTCCCAATTGTCCAGTGATAGTAGTATTGCATCTGCAAACTCGCTCTCCAAACCAATGTACTACCAAGAGCAGATCCAAGTTGCATCTAGGGAAAATACCAGAGGTCCTGTTAGTCCAAATACAAACAGCGATGCTTCCGATCTGGGTTCCCTAAGCCAAGTTCAACAAGTTCAGGATTCAGGGTACACCATGCCTCCACAATCTGATCAACAACAGCAGCAGCAGCAGCAGCAACAACAACAACAACAACAACAACAACAGCAGCAGCAGCAACAACAACAACAACAGCAGCAGCAACAACAACAATTTGTCCATGCCAACACTCATTATATGCACCACCCTGCCACAGGTCAAGTGCCATTGCAATCTTACTACACGATGTATGCTCCACAACCGCAGCAACAGCTTCATCACCAGCTTGATCATCAGCAGTATCCAGTCTATTTGATGCCTGTTGCCCAGTCACAACCATACAACATGCCTTTGCAACCTAACATGGCTGATACGACTGCTGTGGCCTCAAGCCGCTTAACATCCCAAAATCCTGCCTCCGCTGTTTACAAGGATAGTATTCCACCCATTTATCCCACAAAGACAACTTCACCTACTATGCCTGAAATGTCTGCAAGTGTTTATAAAACGGTTGTTCCACAAACTCCGTCATTAGTCCAAGTTCCTTCTAACCAATATCAGCAGCAATATGTGGGTTTCTCCCAAATGCATCATCATCCTTCTCAGTCCATTGCTGTACCGTCCTCTGCAACCGCTAGTTATGCTTATGAATATGCAAATCCCTCACATGAACAAGTGTTCTACACCCAGCATCCACCTGCCCCATTGCCTCCTCAATATCAAAGTATGACTCCAGCAGCGGCAGCAGCAGCTGTAGCATTATCAGATGATTCGAAACAGCAGCTACCTACATACTCAGCAGCAGATCAAAACCACACAACCATAAGTCACTAGGCAAGACAAAAAACATTTTAGTGGTATAAAGTTGGAAGTTTTTAATTTCATATTAGTTTTCTCTTCTTTAATTGATGGTTATATTATAGACATTGCTTCGATGCATAGGATTTTATAATAAGGGAATATATTTTCTTCTTCTGTCTTCTTTATGGTTCATGGATTAGAAGTTCTGCCTCATTTTGTATGAATCTGTGTCAGTCATATTGAATAAAGATATATATAGCTGTGGGAAAATGAGATTCATGTTAGTGACTACTTGTAGAAAGTACTTCGCTCTACTGATTTCACTAGGTGTTTCCTAAATGTTAACTGCCCTTGCAATTGGAAATTGGCAAAAAAGATGGTCACTTTTGGGGCTTTGTTTGTAATTGAAAGAAATAGAAACTAAACAGCTGCTATTGGATGCAGAACAGAACAGGTAGATATATAGAAGTGGTGGATCGAGTCACGTGGTCTCCGGCATGGACGCCAGCTATCTACAAATCTTTGGCATTTATATGATACATCTGGGTCTGGCCATGCAATTTTATATATTAGCAAAACGTTTCTTGATCTTGCCCTTCTCTGGCTGCAGGACTGACGCAAGCAGGTTGTAAGGCTGGGGCTGGCATCGTAAAGAACATAAACCTCAGATATTTTATAAGCATCTTGTGGAATCTATTAGCATCATGCATGTCCAGTCCAATATTGAGTTTCTTAACCTTTTCTCCTTTACTAAAAAACCAGATGCAGACAGAGCTAGCTCAATGTCCGTAAAGTCAGTATCAACCAATATAACTGAAGTTTAATTTGATCATGTAAGGTCACTATTTGATAATATAAAGTATACGACATGGATAACAAAAGTAATAATATGCATGCTACTAGTACTATGCTTGCTTAGGCAGGTACATGATAATGTGGAAAGGTCACAAACCTCCATTATTTTTATTTGCACGTTCTGTGTATGGTACGGTATGGGAGAAGGGAGGGATAGTTTTCCGTTTTCTGGCACTGAATTTCTTATTTATTAATAATTAATAATCATGAATAGTCACCCAAAAAAACAGAAGAACAAATGCAAGCAGCAAATTTGATTTATTTTTAAATCTTTCTCCCTGTTGACTCTTTTTCCTTGACCGGAAAAGCTACCACACATCGCTGCATTGTAAGAAGGTATATAGTGCCATGCCATGGCAGTGTTCCACGAAAATGACAATCAGATAAAATAATCCTTAATCTATTTCCAGGAAACAAAAAAGAAAAAGAAAAAGTTGTCAGTAAAAAACCAAAACAAAAATGAAAATTAGGTGGGTGTGTCTCCCAATCAGCAAGCTCTAAACCAATAAAAGTCGCCACCGGTGTGGTGTTGTTTCACTCGAGTCGAGTCGAGTGCATAACGTGCAGTGCAGCTCAATCTCAGTCAGTCAGCCCCATTTGCATTTGCCTTTTAAACCCACTCAAATCAAACTCAATGCCTTTCAGTATCGGTCTCAGAGGACCCAGACCACTCTCAACTCTCTGCAACCCGCACCACCATTCTTGATAAATTCTTTGCCAATGCACTCCCCAAACCTTCAAAGACCTGACCTTTAATGGCCGCCACCGCCACCACCTTCTCTCACCTCTCTCTCTCCCCCAAGCTCCCAACTTTTCCACTCCCCACCACGCCCTCAACAAAACCCAGGTACTCAAGCCCCTTCACTTCTCTCTCTCTCTCTCTCTCTCTCTCTCACTTACACAAACTATCTCTGTTTTTCCATTGCAGGACCTTGAAGTTGAAGATCACTTTCTGTCTGTCCCTAAAGCAATCCAATGACCAAACTCTCACAACCCAAAACGCCGCCGTCGACAACCTCCGTGTGGTCTTCGGCGCAGGAGGCACCGGCGGCCACATATACCCTGCTGTTGCCATAGCCGATGAGCTCAAGAACACCAAACCCACCACCCAAATCCTCTTTTTAGGCTCACCCAATAGCATGGAAAGCACCGCAATACCCTCAGCCGGCTACGACTTCGACACCGTACCCACCACCAAATTACACCGCCCACTCCTCTCTCCTAAGAACATTTTCCTCCCGTATAATTTGATCAGGTCCATCATCCACAGTTACTCAAAATTGCGTGATTTTGAGCCCCATATCGTTTTTGGTACTGGTGGGTATGTATCCTTCGCTATAGGCTTGGCGGCCAAGCTGAAAGGCGCCAAGCTTGTAATCCAAGAACAGAACGCTGTTCCAGGGATAGCCAATTGGGTTCTCTCATTTTTAGCTGATGCTGTGTTTGTGGCTTTCGATTCCACCATTGATTGCTTCCCAAGAGGTAAGACCAAGTGCGTGGTTTGTGGCAATCCGGTGAGGTTGTCTTTGAAAAAGCAAGTGTCGAAGGCGGTGGCAAGGGGGCGTTTTTTTCCAAGCTCCTGTGAGATTGGGGAGTTGGAGAAGGCTAAGGTTCTTTTGGTTCTTGGAGGGTCTTTGGGTGCTAATGCTATTAACATTGCTGTGCTGAATTTATATTATCAGATGCTGTTGGAGAATGAGAACTTGTTTATTATATGGCAAACTGGGGTGGAGGCCCATAATGAGATGGAAAGTCTTGTTAAGAATCATCCACATTTACTTTTGACACCGTAAGTGCTCTGCTATTCTGTTCTAATCTTCTAAGTAAAAGTTAAAAACTTGTAATGGCTAACTTTTGTATCCATTTTTGGTGTAATTCAAAGGGGATTACCATGAAAGGCTTAGAATATTGTACATATTTCAGAAGAAAAAAAAATAGACTTTGAAGTTTGGAAGGAGTGGGAAAGAATTTCCTACAGAAGGGTTTCATACTGAACTTAAGAAAATGTTATATCTAATGATGCTTAGTTTATGTGACATTCATATTCAAGAATCCAAGGTAATAACTTTCTCATCATCCTGATAGGGTTCAACTCCAATAGTGGACTCAGTTTATTATATCTTCCATTTTTGGTCATAGTGTATTTGTCCATATCTTCCTTGAAGCTGATGTAACTCTGTATATTGATATTGAAGGTTCATGCATTCAATGGATTCGGCATATGCAGCTGCAGACCTTGTTGTATCTAGAGCTGGTGCAATGACTTGCTATGAGATTTTGGCAACTGGGAAGCCTTCCATTCTGGTACTTTCTGATTTTTAAGTTCTATCTTAAAACATATGGCATGAGCTTTATTGTTTGATTTGCTTGATTTCTGACCTAAATGACCAAATTAACGGTCATTGTTTCTTCCTTTTTTCATGTTATATGCGATTGCCCTGCATATGAAACCAATATTCATCTGACTAAATTTGATCGTGTTCCGAATATCCATAATAATGTTGATTGTATTGCTTAAGGGGAGAAAAATTCGTAATCACCTTTTGACTTTGTAGATACCATCACCTAATGTTGCCGAAGGTCATCAATTCAAAAATGCTTCTTTAATGGCAGACTTAGCAGGAGCAAGGGTTATAACTGAAGATGAACTTGATTCAACAACCCTTGGAGGTGCAATTGAAGAGATTTTAGGTATGTTTATCCTCTTGCCTACAGTGGGTTCTTTTTGGTGTGGTTTCTGTTGGTTTGGAAAATGGGAATCTTATGGTTTTCATTGTCATGCTGATAGTAAAAACAACATAGAATCCTGAAAACGCGAGCCTTTGGAGCTCTATTAGGATCCATTTCATACAGATTTCTTTTTAACCTAACTTGTGGATGAGTTCATCATGATTATTACGATAGCAGACCTTCTTGTGTTGTAATCATTTTCCTTTTTCTTTTTTGTTTGTTGCAAATAATATTTTGCAAATATCATATAGGCTATGTACAATAGCTGATAAGAGACTGCTTGCTTGACCTTGAGTGATTCAATGAACCATGTAAACTTAAAGTTTTTCCTATTGAGGATTAGAAACACTTCCTACTGTAAAATTGTAAAGAAATTCTGGGGAAGTATCGTCAGTACTATGGATCTTATAGATATTCTGACACTTTGCATATGTCTCTAATACTCTTGCTCTACTTGATGTCACTCTTGATTGAAATATAACATCTGCATTCAAAATCAAAGAAATGAGACATAGGAGGAAAGAAGAGAATAGGTAAGTTAACTGAATGGGTTGCCCCTCTAGTCACTTGAAATCTTGGTATAAACATACAGTCTCTGTATTTTATTTGATGCAATGGAACTTGAAGCAATTTGAACTGTTTTAACTAGGTTGTATATGTCTCAGCTAAGATGCATGAATTTTACCAATGGTAGCGAAAATCTACAAGAAATTATGGAATTAATTTGTTATTGATGAGTAATGCCATTTTATTATGGAGAGTGAGGATTCTTTTTTACTTCAAAAGTTCAATATTCCTAATCAATTTTGTTTTTTAGGGGACGAGAGTAAAATGGCAGAGTTGTCTGAAAGGGCTCTGAAAACTTCAAATTCCAGTGCCTCTGTAGAGATTGCACAACACATACTTTCTCTAGTCAACTTATCAACATCAAAGGAGAAGTAGAATTATAGTTGGTTTATATTCTATGCTTGCCGGTAGACATGCCTCGAAAGGTGGTTCCTCCAATTTCAGATTGCAGTCCACCAAGATTAGTTCATTTGTTATGAACGGAAGCTTGAGTGTCCATGAATGTAGGAAGGCTAGGTTCATAAAGTTTTCACTTTCAGCTTTACATAAATGTTTTGTCAGGTTTTCCTTGCGTTGTTAGGCACTCCATTTTATTGTCATAATTTATGTTTGCTTGTGGGGAAGATAAAAGAAAGGCAACGTGTTTGTATTATTGCCCTCTTTTTGACACCTTTTTTTGTCAGAGTTCTTCCTTCATTTGGACGAATATTGCAAAACTAGATTAAAAACATTACAGAAGTAGTTGAAGTTGCTCAACAAGACTTCCTCGGTTGGTTTGGTGGTTCGTATCAAATACAGTCAACATTAAACACCCCACCCACATCATGAATGATGGACGCAAACAGACCTGGCATCCCTTGTGCTGCTATCTTTGTTGTCCTTTTTAAACTCTTGTATGATAACCATACGAACAAATAAATACTACTTAAATTACATATTTAATAAATTAAACTTGCTAAGAAAAATTATTACTTTCTTTTTTATGCAACTTTGTTATATTTAATTCTTTTCTGAATTGTATTTTTATACAAACAATCATCTAAATTATTCTAAATTAATCTAATTTACGGAGAGAAAAACTCGAACTTGAGTGGCTCACTGTTATAGTCAACTAATCTGATCCACTTATGCTTACGGACTCACTGTCATTGAATTTCCAATCCTAACAAACGCTGAGAAGTTTCGCGTGGGGTCGTATCTACGCAAATTAATATTAGTGAGAAAATCAAAAACTATTTACACCTCCCATCTCTCCCGCTAAAGTGGCTTGAGCGTCCCCAAAACCCAAACCCAGCCCATAAAACCAACAGAAATTCAAAAAGAAAAGAAACGACAGCCAAATGCCGTTTCTCACTCCGCATTCGGATATTCGTTCCCTGACCGCGCTTGGTAGTGACCGTTGGTGTTTTAGCCCAATTACATGGTCCGACCCGAAAGCCGAACTATCTCGGGTCTATGCTCGTCAGAGACGGACTGCCTCAAACGGCGTTGCTTTGGATTTGAAGAAGAGAAAGGACCCGCGATTGTCCATTTGTACGGCCGATGAGCTTCACTACGCCTCTGTTCCCAAGTCCGAATGGAGCCTCGCTCTCTGGCGCTACCTTCCCTCTTCTAAGGTCCTCCTCCCTCTCTCTCTGTATATATGTATATATGTATGTAGGTGATGTAAGTTTGTGAATTTCTGGGTAAAAATGGTGATTGATTGATTGATGGATATACAGGCGGAGCCTAGGAATCACCCGCTGTTGCTGTTGTCAGGACTTGCCACGAATGCTATTGGATACGATCTCTCTCCTGAGGTGTGATATTAAAAGATTCATTTTTCATCATTATTTTGCCCTGCAACATATGTATATTACAAGCAATTTGAAGTATTGAAAATTGAAAACCCAAAGGTTAGGACTTTTGCGGGGAAATCTAAGCCTCTGTTTCGTCATTGCCATACATAACAAACTTCATTTATGTAAAGTAGCATTTCTCAGTTGGTACCGTATATGATATATAAGACTGATGGTAATGCATGTGACTGTCTTTTAGTCCTCGTTTGCACGCTACATGTCTGCCCAAGGATATGATACATGGATTCTGGAAGTCAGAGGTTCTGGGTTGAGCACATATGGTATGGACTTAGGGGAGGTGAAGCAGCCTCTCAATGCTATGTCCAAGCAGACAAGGTCTTCAGTTAAGCACGAAAGAAAGAGTGGTGCTTTTGCTAATTCTGAAATGTCTCTGAATGGGACGTATAATATGGTGTCTAAATCTGATGAATTGCAATTAGTGACAAACTCAATGGAGACTTTTACGCATTTACCTGAGAGGTTATCAGGCTTTCTAAATGAAGGTTGGTCAAGGAAGTGGTGATTTTGATCAAACAACTAAATTTAAGTCTCTGCTCATTTATCTTGTATGCTTTAATTCAAATTGGGGACTTTGCAGGTTTGTTAGAAGCAGGTCAAAACTCTTCCATTGCTACCCAAATTAGGGATTTAAGTCAAAGGCTTTCAAACATCATTGGAGAGGGTCCACAAGCAGTTCCCACAAGGTTTGTGGACTTCCAAGAGCGCTTTTCTACTAAGTTAGAAGATTTCCAGAAACAACTTGACCTAATTGTAAAGTTTGACTGGGACTTTGATCACTACTTGGAAGAGGATCTGCCTGTTGCGGTGAGGTGACATCCCTTTGGGGCCATGTTTGGTGACTAGTATTTGATTGGATTGGATACTCCCTATATTTAAAGCATATTTAAGAAAGAAATGAAATTTTTTTGACCAAGTTGAAGGTAGAAGATGGATTACTCATGAAGAAAACTTATCCCATTTAATCCCCACAAAATGGTAAGATAACAACATCTTATAACTAAACCCTCTTAATCCCCCCAACATGGAAGGTCATTCACCCATACCTTCATTTCCTCCTTCAATATACCATAGATTTAGTGACTTATCCAATCCAGTCCAATACTACTCACAAAACATGGCCTTAATGTACTTGACTTCATCCTTGACATTTTATCATGTATTATTTAGAACAAATTTAGTGTTCTCAATAGGAATCACATTTTGCACCACTGATGGCATGTGCGTGCTTGCATGTGTGGGTGTGTGTGATTGCAAGAGATTTCAATACTTAGATAGAGTGGTTATCTCAAATTTCAATTATGTCATCTTAGATGGAGTATATAAGAACTCAATGCAAACCAAAGGATGGCAAGCTCCTTGCTATTGGTCACTCGATGGGGGGTATCTTGCTATATGCCATGCTCTCCAAGTGCTGTAAGTTGCCAAGCTAAACTTTCTCCAACTTGAGGCCCAAAAAACATGTCTTCAATTTTTTAACTTCATTTGCATGTTTCTCACATGGAACAATCAATAAACTTTCCTTTTCATTATTGTTTAGAAGATTCTTACATTGTCCCTTCTTGTACACTAAAATTACTACTTTTCTCTTTAGCTTCTCAAGGACGAGATTGTGGGTTGGTATCAGTTGCTACTTTGGGATCATCACTTGACTACACGCGGTCAAGATCATCACTTAAGTTATTTTTACCTCTGGCAAGTTATATGAAAGACAAATCTCTTACCATTCACTATGATAGCTGCATGCTTGTGGAACAAAAATATGATGAGGATACTTTATCTTACTGTTGTATTCAGGCAGACCCTGCACAGGTTCTAAATGTTCCTGTTCCGTTTGGCGCATTAGTTGCTGCTGTGCATCATCTTGCAACTCGAACTCATGTTTTGTCTTGGTTGAAGCCTCAAATTTCTGCTCAAGACATGCAACCAGAGTTGTACGAAAAGCTTGTTTTAAACAACTTTTGTAAGTCAACATACACTGACATATTGCTGAGTATATGCTTCCGAGCATTCAGAACTGCATTGGTAAAAAATGCTTATAATTGATTGGTCATTCATATTAATGATTGGATGGTCAGAAACAACCTTCACGAGCTCTGCTAAGCATGGCAGTATACACTTTGATGGCAAAATAGGTAGGCTTATATTGGCTCAAATTGCCATATACCCAATAACAGGGTGAGCTAGCTGTGCAGCTGCAATTTGTGGATCCTATCAGAAATCCCCTTGGGTTTCTTGTACTTATGTTCACTTGTTCAATGGTCTTTCCTTTCTGCCCAATCCATGAGCTGTTTAAGATTTTTCTTTTTAGCTAATGTCAACAATACTAATTAATCTCTCTTTGGACTTGTTTTGCCATGATGTTGTACTGTCAGCATTTCTATAATTTTGGACCAGCATGTAATTGTCAATGTGATCATAATCTGCAGGTACCGTGCCTACTAAGCTTCTCTTGCAGCTAGCAACAGCCTTCCAGGAGGGTGGTTTATGTGACAGGAGTCGAACTTTCTTTTACAAGGATCACCTATGCAACAGCAATGTCCCTATATTAGCCCTTGGAGGAGATCAAGACCTAATATGTCCTCTTGAAGCTATTTATGGTAGAATGTTAATTCATTTGATCCTGCTGTCTTTAATAGACTCAATCCTGTAAACTAATTTTCTCTTTTCTTCCCCCTCCATATCATCAATGGGCATGATAGAAACAGTGAAGATCATTCCTGAGAAATTGGTTACTTTCAAAGTTCTTGGAGAAGCCGGTGGTCCTCATTATGCTCACTACGATTTAGTAGGAGGTCGCCTGGTATGAGGGATATGCCCCTTTATTCATTGGAAGATAGATTTCTAATCTAATTACACCATTTTGATTAATTAATTTCGTATTATCGATGTGTTGCTTGACGGTTGTTCCTTTTTCTTTTTTTTCACGTGCCATATTTAATGCAGGCAGTAGAGACAGTATATCCACACATTATTGAATTTCTCAATCGCCATGACAGGACCTGATTTCTTCATCTTATATTCTGTATGTGACCCGAAGGTCCTGAAGCTTTAAGCGCTTTGTTTTGTTCCAAAAGAGAAGGCATCCAAATGAAGATACCTCCAAAGGGAAATTAAAATCATGGCCGATGTGCATGGCATGCGAGGGGTAGCGTTTAAAGAAGCCTTCGCTTGTGCAATTATGTTATATATCATGTTTCGTTATGTACATAGTTGTAAAGGAAATGCCGTATACGAACAGAGCCAAAATGAAACTTTAAAAGTCAGTGTTGAAAGATGCAAGTTACGAGTAGATGTTAGTTCTTAGAATGCTTGCAGTTTGACCATTAGAATATGCTTCCTTATGGCAAAGAGAACTCTTTCTTGAGAAAAAAGCGATATTAATTATTCAAAGCAAGACGAGTACAGAACAGGGCAAAGAGAACTTTTAAGCAAGCTTTCCTGAGGCTGCTTTTCATCGATGGAAAATTTTGCAGATAACTTGGGAATTTTCCGAAACCCCAAAAAACAAACTGATATTATCATTTGTATTGGAAAAAACAATGATTTGTGTCGAGATAAACTTCTTTCCAAACCACAGAGAAGGAAGGAAACATAGCATCCCATTCCATCAGAAAACTGATTATTTTATGTGCGTAACAGATTCTGGATAATTTGTGCTACTAAAACAAGTTAAGTTCCACTGCATGCCAAAACCTTAATCGTAATACGCAGTAGTGAATTCTTCGAAACAGCAAGTAAACCCGATGAATTTTTTAAAATCATGAGCCATACTTCCTTTTGAAACCAGCAGAACCATTTCCCATTTCCTTTTTTCGGGTATATGGCTTACTGCATTGATATTTCACCCACAAATCGTATAAACAAAGAAAGCGTTCACTGTATGGTAACACCATTATATTGCATTTCAAGCAATCTATAAATTCATAGGCAGGAAAAACCACATAACAAGTACAATTATAAGAAACATTTTTGAGATTGTAGTGATCACTATTCAATTCCATAACACTGAAACACCAAAATACAAAGAGGCTCAAGATTTCAAAATAAGCAAATAAAGTTGAACCTTCAAACCAAAGAATGAATACTTGCTCATGTATTGAAGCAGATGAAATCTATACACCAAGGGAGAAAGGCAATGCAAGGATACTAAGAGTTCACAAGTCTTAGCATCTAGATATTGCTTCAACCTTACAAAAAGGGCAAGTATTCTTTTGTGCAAGCCACTGTTTTATACATTGTAAGTGGAAGTTATGTCCACAATGCAGGCTGCCCAGATCATCTGCTACTTCATACTCCTCCTGTCAGCATTGAGAATTTCAAAATAAGAAAATAAAGATCTGAAAAGGGATGAAGAATTCAAAGTAATAAGTTACAAACTCACTTGACAAATGATGCATTTCCTATCAACTTGCCCCGATGAATGTGGTGACAGATCACTCAACATTGAAAGCTTAATCTTTCGAAGGCAGCAGCTTATTTCATGTTCTTTTAATCCAGTACTCACATGACCAATTCTATCACCTAACTCGAGCAGCTCCTGTTATCCGCAAAAGAGAAAACAAAAACTATGAAAGCATGTAGATAAGAAATGCAGGCATTACCAACTTTAGGTAGCCAAGAACGTATTCAAATTTCAAGAAAAAAAATCGAATTGGTTTGCGAACAATTACCTCGTATGACATGTTATCAACATCAAGTCTCCAGTCCCTAAATCGATCAAGTCTTCCACCCATTAGAAGACTACTTTGAAACAGCATAATCTGCAACCAACAGAGCGTCAAGCATACCGAATGTAAATCTGAAATTTAACAAAATTCCTAAACTCCATTCATGTAATGAAATATCCCTCAGACATCAATGCTGCAAGTTGAATAGATTGCTTGCCGCGCCAAAGCTAGGAAAGCAGAGTTTTTATATTGAACAGTGGCATAGTGTTTACTAAAACAATTTTTAGTACCAAACCAAATCAAGTGAGAGACAGAGTGAGCAAGGGCAGGAGTAAAAAGCACCTCTGCAAGGCCTTCAGGGGATGGATGCCGAACATGCCGATAACACCTACCTCCAAAGACCTCTGATTCAGGGCGGCTCGTGACAAAATCAGGTTCAGAATCCAGAAACGAGACAGTTTCAGGGCTCACAGTTCGCCTTGCTAAACAAGGACGCTGCAAACAAAATTGATCAACAAAGTAGGTTAATTAAAACAAACCCAATGTGAAGCACATTATACAAGCGGATAAAATATGTTGATATCTTATTTCAGTGTCATATATTCAATAGGAAATTTTATAAATAAATAAAAAGACTAATACATTTAACGGAGAAGATAATAGAATTTCCAACCCTAACCAACGCTGAGAAGATTAACACAGCTAATTAATATATATCCTGTTTCGTGTGGGGTCCTAAACTTGGAGATAACGAGTCGTATCTACGCAAATTAATAAGTGCACTTATTAGTGAGAAAATCAAAAACTATAATTCAAGGAAACTTTTGAGTACCCAATGAAAATCATAAAACCAAACAGAGAAATCAAAAGTTAAGTAGCCAATAATACCAAAACACTCATAAACTGAAACACGCTATGGAACGAATGAAGTGAAAACTAAAAAGGCCCACAAAAGTTAGAAATATTAAGAGAAAATTCAAGACCCATGAAACACAAAACAAAACAGAAAATTTAAGATTTTCAGCTTAAATACAATCCTAGTATTGAATTAAGGCATCAAAGTTCACAGATACAAACATAAACTTCAGCCAACAATCAAAAGAAGCATACCCTCATCAAGCACCAATTAGCCACAAAACCCTCAACCATGTTCCACAATAACAAAGAAACTGCCAAAAACCTAGTAATCCCACCGATAAAATTAAAAAATTCGAGTTAAAGCGCAACATAGAAATGGCACAAATTCAAAGCATTCCCAGCCATAGAACAAATATATTAATAGCAAAATCAAAACTTACCTCCCTGTGGCTGCTCAGTTTATCCCCATCAATCTTGCCTCTACCAGAGACATTCCTCCTAGCCACAACACAATCCACAGAACCAGCAGTTTCTGCTGAGAACCCAATTCCAGGACCGCACCAGACATCTTGAAAATCGATACAAGTTGCAGAATTTAAACCAAAGCTAGGCCCATCAACCGCTCCTTGGTGCTGGGTCTTATCCTTGTATTCATTCTTGTCATTTCTTGTATTGTTCTTGGTGTTGATATTCTTCTTTTGTTTTTTCTTCTTTACCTTCTTTCCTTGCCAATCAGCGGAGTTCCGAATCACTGCTGGAACTGAGACTTGTTGTGAGGCAGAGGCTGCACAACCCAAGCCTCTGAATGTTGATGAGGAAAAGTTTGTCTTTTTCTTGTTGAGGCTTGTGGGTAAGGTTTCGTTGGTGTTGGTGGTGAAGCTGGAGAGGAGGAGAGAGGAGATGGTGGATTTGCATCGAGTAGATTGGATAATGGAGGGAGTTGGATCTGTATCTGAAATGGGTTGGCTGAATTGGCTTCTGGGTCTTCTCCATTTGTTGTGCTCTGCCATTGTTGTTGAGCTCTCCGTGACAACAGGCATGGCGCCTAGAGAGAGAAACGAAGTAGCTTTGGTTTGGTTTGGTTTGGTTTGGTTTTGAGAGAAAGAATAATGAAATGCCAAGGAAATTGAGTGAAGTTTAGAGACGGTGATAGAGGGGGAGACTATTTTAGTGGAGAGAGAGAATATAGAATAGATATTTGATTTTACTTTTTTCAGTTTTTTATATATATAATTTGGATTTGTTTAGAGAGAGATGAGTTTTTTTTTAATCGTGGAAGTGCTTCTTTTTATGGGTTGGTTAGGTGGGTTATGCTTTGTCTTCTTGTTGGAGTGAGAAGGGTATATGCTAATGCCATCAAACACTGCAGACAAAGAGGCTCTGGGAATCTCAGTAAATTGCAACTTTTGCTTTCTTTTCTTTCGCTTTTTGAACCAGCTGCGGATGCTTACTTATCAGAACCCAAAAATAAAACGGGTCAGTTTGTGCATAGAACCAAAACGAAAGACGAAATTGTATTTGAATTTTAATGGATCTGTGTCTCCTTGTGCAGTGGTTTGAGGCTTGGAGACAGAGACAGCAGAAAATGTAGTCTACACATATGTCAGTCACATCCGTGGTTACTGTGGCCAGCATTTGAAAGGGTCCCACTGAGAAATCACAAGGTCAAAATTCATCCCTTCACTTCACTTCACTTTACACCAAGGATTACATATTTTCTTAATAATATCCAGGCTTGGCATGTAGCACAGAGTTTAGTCTTTAAGGCCAAAATAGTTGCAATCATGTGAGAGAAGGCCCAGCATTGACTGAAAGCTTGAGCTTGAAGGGATGTTTTCAATTTTCAGTGTCAAGCATCCAGTTCATAATCATGGTGACTAATAATCATATGTTAATATCATCCTCCTCAGTCATATGTGCTGTAAATGAGGATGTTCAGTCTGGAAATTGACTCAGATGTCTATTCAACTTACGTATCACGTGAAAAACGCAACACTGCATTTACCAAACTCACCCCTGCAATCTACTGAATTTTCTGTTTAGTTTTCTTTTCTTTTTGTTGCTTTCCATTACATTTACATGTAAATTATAGTGCTGTTTTATGTACTTTAAAATGGCTCTTCCATGAAAAAAGAAAATGATTCAAACTTCCAGACTAGGACTGGCTAATGAAATGTGTCACTGAAGAGGTAGAGAGGTCATCCATGGTTATGGTTGGTTGACAGCTTCTTCAGCTTCTTCAAGGCTCAAAAGAAAAGAGACACCAATAACATAACATGTGTATTATTGAATCAACATTGAAAATAAGTAGGTGCACAAGTAGAACATTCTGACAGGAGGGACTGAGGAAGCAAGCAAAGCAAAGCAACCAAATCAATCAAGTAAGCCAACCAATGAGAATGGGATCTTAATGCCTTCAACTTTCTACATCCCAAAAGAGCATTCTATTGAAATAGTCTATTATAATTCTGGGTCGTCAAAACTTCCCTTCCCAACTGGATTTACTTTAACTTCACTTATCACTTATCACAGTTTTCATCGCTGCCCAGGAGCCATGTACTTGTATTTATTTATTAGAAAGAATGTTGAGTGGACTGTGGAGGGATCCCTAAGCAATATTTAAGTCCATTCTCTTTTTTCTTTTTGATAATTTGTAAGGAATCTTAGAATTAGAAGTCCACACCGTGACTTCACCGGTTATAATTTATAAATAAGGTGGTTTAAGGAGTTCATTGCGGATGCTCTAATGTCTTTAATTTTTCATCCTCAGTCGCTGCAATATCTTAATTAAATTAATTAATTAGTCAATATGATCATTGATTTTATTGGCATTGTCTGGCTGGCTGGCATTCTAAAACAATTCAAGGCGTCTGTCTGTCTAATTTTCCTGGTTTTTATTTTTGTTTGCATTCATCAACTCAACAGTGCTGATTATACAATTGCAAATGAAAAAACAACGAAATGAGGCTTACCATTTGTCAAGCATTTCGCCACAAATTACGGGTTAAAGGTTTTGCTTTTGGTTTGGGACAGACAATATTAAGCTTTTCACAGTTATTCCTTGCAATTTGCAAAGGAAAAAAAAAAAAAAAAAAAAAAAAAAAAAAAAAAATCTTCTGTCTTTATTTAATCATGATTATACATAAAAATTGTGACAATCCTATCTTCTTTCACGATCTGTCTTGAGAAAAAGTAGAATATTTTAAGCAAAAAACTTCTACTTATTTGTGTAATTGCTTGCAAACCATTCCCATTCAGCAAATTCAAACACTTTTAAAAAAATAAAATAAAAAATAAAAAATAAAAAATCTTGCATTATATTATTTTTCCACATTGAAAAACGGTGGGGTTTGCTTGCTGAGCAGAGTAAAGTAAATAATACTAAAACAAAAGCACAAGACAAGAGTAGAAGCAAAGAAAAGTCAATTGTCAAAGTAGTAATCGGCTTTTAAGGAAAAAGCACAGTCCTCCTCACTCATCTCATCTCATCACATCACATCACTGCTTGCTTTTCTTTTTTGATTGGTGATTACGCGCATATCTATATTAATTAATTATTTATTTATTTATAAACCATTTACATTGTGGTGTAGTTGCTAGTTCAATTACAAAAACAAAAAATGTTAACTATCTAAATCACTTCTAAGAGAATGATTATCATAAACAATTGCTTATTAAGCATGGAGATTGAACATGCATGTCAATCTAAAAGATGATGATGTGTTTGTCATGCGAATTAAAAAAGATGATAGTGAGCTCATGCCACATTGATTACAAGATATTAAACTTAAAAAATCGCATAGACTTTTTTTGAAAAATCGTGATAAAAACTCGAGTTGAGAATTTTTTTGGGAACAAAGAGGGGACTCGGAAAATATATGTGCTACAAATGAGGTGTTCGTATTGGAAAAAAATAGAATATATGCCCAATTTTACCCTTTAAAAAAAAAGCATAAGCCCTAAATGCAACGAAGAAGAAACATAAGCCCAATATTATGGCCCAACTCTCGTCTCCCACTCCACTCCCACTTAATTTGGGCCTGGGTTCAATCCGCCGATAAAATCAGCATTTGCCCGTTTAAAACCCTGCGCACGCAGAGCCAAAAGAAGCAAAAACCCTAAGAAGAAAAACGATGAAACGAGTTCTTCTTAGAAATCTCCGTCTCTACGCTCGTACTCGTCTTCTCTCTCCTCCCTGCTACAATCCGGGCCGTAGATCCCAACTCGCTCCACTCGCTGCTTCGACTCGGCCCAGACTTCGCTTCTACTCGACCGAGTCTCAATCGCACAACCAAGAGGATGATGTCAGTAATGAAGGTATGAAAATGTTGTAAGAAATAGAAGTTTGGGGTTTCAGTCGGTTACAGGCTCTTCTTGGTTGCTCAGAACTTGTTATCTGCATTTTTCTATGGAAATTGGTTTGGAAAAAAATGACAATTGCATCCTGTTTGATTCAGTTCAGCTGCTATTTTTTGCTTTGTGTTTTGATCACTTGCAGTATGCATCATTCATGGCATTCGCATGGCTTGCAAAACAGTTGGAATTTGTTGATTTGTGGGATTGTTAGGGTTGAGGGTTTGATTTTGATTATTTGGGGGTTTATGATTTTGAATCTGCAATGTGATGTTTGTATGTTTTGGTTTCAGAGCTGAAAATGCAAATTGACAAGTATTTTCGAGGGGATGAGGAGGCCATACCATCAATCTTTGAAGCAATTTTGAAGAGGAAGTTGACGGGGAAGCATGAAGAGGATGATAAAAAGCTCATGGAAGAAATTCCGGGGAAGAGGCAGGAGGAGCCACTGAGTGACATAGATGACGAACAAGAGACTAAATCTGATTTTGATGAAGGCTCTGACAGTGATGGGTGATGAAAGCCAAATCCACGCTATTTCGCCAAAACAACAAAGGCAGACATTTACCCTATATAAGGATTTGAGTAAATTGGAGGAGTCAAGAGCTCACAGTCGCAGGCCTTGTAACAAACAAGCTCTCTAGTTTTCAAATAGGAGCAGTTAATTTCTATCTTGATAGTCAGTCCTACACCCCTTAACGCTGTTGGAAACAAACGGTATAAATAGAAGCAAAACTTATTCAGTTGCACGAATCAAAAGTTATTCACTTCATGATTTGTTTTGTCTGTCTGTTGTGTTTGTTCATGTGTTTGTGGATGCGGATGTTTCCTTCATGTGGTGGTGGGTGGGTGGGTGGAAGAAGTTCAAGGGCTTTACTAATGCAGAAGAAAGTGACCCTAAACCCATTGACGTTAAGCTTAGCATTTTGTTGTGTGTGCTGTGCATTCAGAAAAGCCGACTTGAATGCTTCCATCCTCTGTTCTTGATTTAGTGTGAAGACTGAAGATATTAGCGTGCTCCTCCTCTTTGCTTATTGTATATTCCAAAATTACTTTATTCATATCCTTTAAATGATCGATTCGAACCCTCCAGTTGGGAGTATTTGGATTAAAATTGCATTTTCAGGAAGGAAAAGGATGAATGTTTGCGAGGCCAGCATCTCCCCGAACTCCCATTAACAGACGAGTAGAATTCACAACTTGAGCAATTTTTGACATGTTCTTGTCAGGCTCTACAACAGTTGCCTTGTAGCCAAAGTTTGTAGCAATTTTAACGAGGCTTTTTCTCCTGGATTCGGGAGAGCGACCATCTCTGGTTCGGATTGCATTAGCTCTGTTTTAGTGAATCAGTGTTTCTTAACAACTCTCTCAAGATGAAAGAATAAAAACCGAGTCGGGACGACTTGTAAAACTGCTGAGAGAGAGCTTTTTGTTCGCTCTACTGTTGCAGCATCTCACTTCAAACCAACACCTACACACAGCTGCTGCAACTTCACTTCAATGTTTCTTAACACTGGAAGATGATGATCAAAACCCAATCCAAAAAAGTCATTATATGAAATACTTTTGGTTCATTTGGATGAATACAAGACTCTGTTTCTGGAATGGTAATTATTTGCACTTACCAACTTATCATGGAAGAAAGATAGATTAATAAATATTAAAAAAACTAATAAATAAATAACCCGCACCTTTGCAGTTCGACCAAAAAAATAAAAAAGACAACAACATTTTGAAGCACCCGAAATGACAGCAAGCAGGCAAAGCATAAAACCCCTTCTGAAGCCCAAAAACTGAACCTTTAATAAACCCTAGAGAGTGAATTAGAGAACCATGAGACGTACTCTATTGAATAATGTCTCTCTCTACGCTCGCAATCGCCTTCTCTCACCTCCAACCTGCAACCCTAATCCTAGCTCCTCACTCGTCCCACTCGCCGCTTCGACTCGGTCCCTACTCAGGCTTTTCTCGTCCGAAGGCGACTCTTCCGCTGGAAGCTCCAATCCGTCTGCTGATTCGAGCGTGATCCCAACCAACAAGAAAGATGCCCCCGTTGAAGTCCAGGACATCAATAACAAAGGTGACCCACCAATATATATTTATATATTTTTCAAGTTTTCAATTACCTTCAAGCTTGACCCTCTGTCTGTTTGAGTACTGAGAGAATGACCTCTGTTTGAGTGCTGGAAGAATGAAAGGAGATATAAAATAAACTTGAAAATTTTAATATTTTCGAATTTTGGGTTTCCGGTCCGTAATGTTCATAAAGGAAATGAGACTATTTGAATGTTTTGGCTAATATGATTTCAGGTTTGGTGTGGGGGGACAAAGTTGTTAAATTTCAAGTGATATTTGGGATTTTTCTTCTTCTTCTATTGCGTCCTAATTATTTTCAGTTTATTATTTCCCTTTCAAATTTGTAGAGATAACAACGATTTCAGTTTTGCTATTTTCTTTCTAATTTTCCTTTTGGTTTAATAGAGCTGAAAGTGCGGATAGAGAAATACTTTAAGGGTGATGAGGAGGCGCTTCCGGCGATCCTAGAAGCGATTCTGCAGAGGAAATTGGCTGAGAAGCATGAGGAAACAGATGATGAGCTGATAGATGAACTGCAAATGAAGCCGCTGGATAATGTTAAGGACCAAGAGTTTGAATCAGATTTTGAGGAAATGCATGACACGGATGAAGAGATTGATAACTTGTATAACGCAAGGGATATAGTCATGAACAGGATGGTAAAAGATGAGTACTACAACATGGATCAGAATAAGTGGAATGATATTGTTGAGGATGCAATTCATCATGGGATTATGAAGGATACGAAAGAGTGTGAGGCAATTCTTGAGGATATGCTTAGCTGGGATAAGCTACTGCCAGGTATACATTTCTAGTTATTCCATTTTGTACGATGCTTTGTTTTCTACCAAGAACACTTCCCTATTTGAAATGCTGTGTTTGTGTGTTAACCTTTCTGTATGTTTCAGCGTCTCTGCCCACTCTGTTAAAATAAATCATTGTTATCTATTTTGACATTATTGAAATAGTTGTATTTTTTAGTATCATTACATGGCTAGATGTTTCCCAAAGTCTAATTTTCTGAGCGCCCAATTTTTAGTTGTCAAGTATTTTCTTTGTTTCTCACACAGACAGGTATCATATCAAATTGGTTCAATGTCATGGAAGTTGCATGTTTTGATTCAAACTGGTATTTTTTTTAATAATCTGTAATGCAATTGTCTTCTCCAGATGACATGAAAAGGAAGGTTGAAAAGAAGTTCAATGACCTAGGGGATATGTGTGAAAGAGGGGAACTTGAGCCTGAAGAAGCTTACAAGTTGTTTAAGGAGTTTGAGGATGAGATTGTCATGGAATATGTGCAGAAGATGGAAGCCGATGGCCCCCCAAAATTTGACGAGACTGCTGTACCGGACGAGAAAAAGGATCTAGATGACCCTCCAGGCGAAGGGCCAATCCTTAGGTGGCAAACACGGGTAGTCTTTGCTCCTGGTGGTGATGCTTGGCATCCCAAGAATAGAAAAGTGAAACTGTCTGTCACAGTGAAAGAACTTGGGCTTTCAAAGCATCAATTCCGTCGGCTCAGAGAATTGGTTGGAAAGCGGTACAATCCAGGGAAAGATGAGCTTACAATAACTAGTGAGAGGTAGGTCAACGGCATGCCCCCTTTCTCTATTATTAATTTTATTATTATTTTGAAGTACTTAGGCTGGTTAGTAGTTGTTTAGATTTCAGAGTTTTTATTCTTATATGCCCTACATGATATTGATGATTGTGCATTTTATTACTGAAACTGAACTAGCGTTTCCCGAATCTCTTTTGAGTTGGAGACATCTAGTCCACAACCTTGAATGTTGCACTATTTTTTCTTCCCTCCTTCCCACACTCCTGTAGCACAAAAAGAAAATATTAGTTATAGTCCCTGCAGAATGTATGAGAAGATTCTTTTGTTATGTCTTGTTCGGACCTTGAATATTTCACTTGTCTTGGAAGTGCTTGAAAATTGTTATGTGCAGTAACTTAGTCGACATCAGTTTATACATCAAAGATGTCTTATTTAAATAGGAAACAAAGTTTATCCACCCAAGTTGATGTAATTAGAGTGAAAGAAGTAATAGATATATCAACATATAGTACTGCACATTCTTCCTTTCATTACAACATCTTATAGAAATTGAAACGTTTGTTTTTTGTTATTTATGTTTTGTTTTCTTTGCGAAGGAAAATAATCTCTCTCTCTCTCTCTCTCTCTCTCTCTCTCTCTCTCTCTTGTGAAGGTTTGAACACCGAGAAGAAAATAGAAAGGATTGCCTTAGGACTCTTCTTTCCCTCATCGAGGAAGCTGGGAAAGCTAACAAACTGGCTGAGGATGCTCGAGTTTCATATGTCAAGGAGAGATTAAGAGCAAATCCTGCATTCATGGAGAGGCTGCGTAACAAGACCATGGGATTGCAAGGAAAGAGCACAGTGCCTGCTTGAGATTTTTGATTTCCAGCAGCCTGTTGAAAAATAAGTTTCCAGGTCTGGCATGACATTTTCAGGACATTCGGCTGTTTAAATTGGTTACCCTCACTGCAAGATAATTATTTACAATAGAAAAGATACTCCCAATGCATATTTCATGAATGCATTGCATTGGTAGCTTTTTCTAGTTGCTAATGTTGGCAGCCAATTGTCTTTACCTTATACCCTGTGAAAATTTCATTTGGAGCCTTGTTGTTCTGAAGTTCATGTGCTATGCCTTTGAAGATCTTTTTTGCTGAGTGAGATCTTTCAATGTATTAGTTTAAGTTATCCTTGATGAGGTGTTATAACTAACAAGATCATTAACGCTATATTGATGTTATTTAATCGATGCAATTACTTGTTAGAGACTCAAATTTGCTCTCAAGTCTGCTATGAACATTTGTTTAGCCAATATTCTCGCTGCCTTTTCAACTTACTTAATCCAGAGATGAAGAATTCTTCCAAGTTTTTTCTCCGTGTGTTGGTTTCCAGGTTTTACTGGTTACAAAAAGCTGTGTCCAAGCGAAACTGACAATAGTGGGCTGCATGCACTACTCTGAAATGCAGTGAACAGGTCACCTTAAGATTTTGAATTATGCTTTGCTTACACCAAGCAAACTGATTATTCAATGCTTTGAATCTGATTCTTTCAAGCGAATAGGGGCGGTGGACTTATAAATACTTGAAAAAGTTAAAGGGTGATTGCTTTGATAGTCTGTTGAACCATCATAGGTTTGTGAAGGGTTTTGCCTTTTCTTTTTCCTGCCAAGGCAGTTGCCCTTTATTTTCCCCCGTTCTTTTTTGGATAATCCAAGGCATAGTTGGTCCTTGACGAATCTAGCATTGCGAAAGGCGTCTCGGGCATAAGTGGTCTAGGAAGAGGATAAAAAGTGAAAAACATGCACAGAAAGTAGAAGATAAAAAAATACCAAACAGCAAGTTGATAACCTTACAAAGAATAGCAGCATGCTTTCCAAGGAAGATAGGTCACCAATGTTTATAGCCACATATACAGCATCTAAGGTCGCAATATGTGGATCGACCTTAAAAAGATTGAACTATCTAACACGCACTGCAGCACCATAAAGAGAACGGTGGACGGAAAACTGGTCCTTAATTTGAGAGATAAACAAATCAGATGAAGCAATATGGATATTGCAAGACCTTCCAATTCTTGTTCTGTTTCTAGTTACATTTCTTCTCAGGGGAGAAAATCTAAATGGTGTGAGAAAGCCACAGAGTTTCTCTGCAGTGCCTGCTTGCTGTGCATTTCGTGCCCATTAGCCGTTGTCTGGTGTTGCATCAAGGTTCCGTGCAAGGTCGGATGGCATGCCGCGCAGCATGCAAGGCACTGTGCTTGTGGATCAGAGAAGAGAGTTTATGCATCCTATTCTTCATTTTCTGACATTGACTTGGATATTCTGCCTGGTAAGGCTCATAGCACATGCTCCGAAACATTGAAAGCTCCTTGGCAACGTAAGAAGTCTGCAGCAAACAAAACCTTAAACTAAAACCTGTTTTTAATATATTCCTCTGTTTCAGTTATCGGAAATATTATATACAGGTTCCATTATTGCTTGTCTTCTGATTTTGAATGTGACGTAAAACATTTTGTACTCATATCTAGCTTCTGCACTGTGGAGGAAAACTTCCTCTACACTTTGCTTCATCAACCCCCTTTCCCTGTCATGGTTTGCATCATGGTGTAGGGAGATTTTAACAGGCATTAAAAGTTTGGGTAGCATAAAAACAGACCTTTTGAATGATTTGGTCACATAGACAGTGATGAAGGTAAAAGAAAATTGGATCAGAAACCTTTGTGTTCCACCAGTAATTTCAATTTCAACTTGCACTAGGAGAGAGACTTGACACAACTGTCACACTACAACAACTTAAAACAATGATAAGGAATAAGTTCATGTGTTCGATTAACCCAAAAAAACATATATTATATATATTGTCAAGAATGGGATTCGAACCCATGCCCTTTCGGACCAGTACCTGAAACTGGCGCCTTAGACCAACTCGGCCATCTTGACGTTGTTGTACCTTCTCTTCCACGTTTTATTTTTATAACTGCTTAACCCGGAGTTCCATTTTCATTTTGGACCGTGAACAAACACACACCTAAAGAAATCTTTTAAGGATAACACATGTCCTGTAGCCATCGATGCATTGTTGTTATGGAAGATGTACCCCAACCCCACCATAATTTTAGTCTTTCTTACTTAATTTAATTAAAAACAATATGCCTTATTGTTGCAATAATGTGCATATTCATATTCTTCATCATTCATTGCTGGATTAGTGTTAGCAGCGAAGGCGCACCTCCTCAGTGTGTGGTTATGAAAGGCACACGCACATCAGATATGAAAATGAAAAGAAGAAAAAGAGGGAGAGCATGTAGCTTTGAAATTCTTAGATAGATGAATCAAGGTGCCCCTCCACTTTTATAATTCTTGGAGGAAATGTGTTACAATGGCATAATCAACCACAGCATATAATTAGTCAAATGATTGATACAAATAATAGTTGAATTGAATGGGAAGGGAAATCTATTGTTTGTCTAATTAGTTTTGAAATTTGCAATAAACCTCATCATATTCATTTTGAGGATTTGTGTAATTAAGTAAGTGTCTCTCCCTCCTTACTCTTAGAGCTTGCTTCATGCACCACATGCTGCACCACACTCGGCAGCGCACCCGCCGCCATAAAGCTCTGTGTCACCTGCTGTGTTCTTCCCTTTGGAAGACACACCATCTGCACAGGAGAAAACTATGACTGAGACAAGACAGAGGCTGACCAAAGCTGCCCAAAACACTAACCAATTGGCAGTGGCGACACCACCATCCACACTACCAATCTCTCTCCATACTCTCAACATCTAATCACTTTCACTTACCTCTCTCTCTCTCTCTCTCTCTCTGTAGATTTAATTAAGTCCCTGAATGAAAATGGTAGCACCCTATTGGCATTATATATAGGCTTCTTTGTTAATTATATTGTTCTTCTAAAGTCAATAATATTCCAACTAGAATGATTTGTTAGTGGGATCTTTGTGTGTGTCTACTTTTGGGCTTTACGCACTACTACATTTTTCACTTTGCGCGACGAAGAAAATTTCGTCGCGCAAAATACATTATAGTCGCACAAATTTTAGCGCGACAGAAACTTCGTCGCGCAGATTCCGTCGCGCAAAGATCGTGGAGAAAGACTTTGCGCGACGAAATTTTTTCATTCGTCGCGCAAAGAGACTTTGCGCGACGAAAAAATATTGGTCGCACAAAGTGACTTTGCGCAACGAAACATATTGGTCGCGCAAAGTAACTTTGCGCGACGAAAATATTGGTCGCGCAAAGCGACTTTGCGCGACGAAAAAATATTTGTCCCGCAAAGCCACTTTGCGCGACGAAAAATATTGGTCGCGCAAAACTTTGCGCGACGAAAAAATTTTAAAATTTTTTTTAAAAAAAATTCCCTCGTCCCATTTTTAGTACCCGCCCAAATTTTTAGAGTTTTGCGCGACGAATATTAATGTCGCGCAAATATTTGCGCGACGAAATATTTTGGTTTTTGACTTTTTGTTTTATTATTTCTTTAATATTAATTTAATTATATTAATTATTTCGAATTTTTAATTTTTAAATTAAATTTAATTGTATGATTTTTTTCGTTACTTTAATTTAAATTGATATTAATTTAATTATATTAATTTATTCAAATGTTTACTTTTTAAATTTAATTTAATTACTTTAATTTAAATTGACATATTCAAAATAAAATTACATATGAAAAATAGTGATCAAATTATCCAATAAATATATATATAATATTCAAAATGTACACATAAATTAACAAAGTACAATAAATAAAAAAAAGGGATAATCTCCCTTAAAATTGTTATACCACAAATCCAACCCAAACTCCAATCCCTCCCCTTTACTCAACCCCAAACCCCACACAAACTCAAAACTAACTCCAAAAACACATATTAATGAAAAAAAATTAAAATTTGGAGAGAATCTACCTTTTGGCAAGATTGAGAGTGAGTGAGAATGAGAGAGAGAAATGAGTGTGAGAGAATTAGAGAAGATAGTGATAGAGAGATGAGAGAGTGAGTGAGAGTGAGAGATAGTGAAAAGAGAGATGAGAGAGTGAGTGAGAGTAAGAGATAGTGAAGAGAGAGATGATGAGAGATTAAGTGAGAGGAGTGAGAGTGAGAGAAATGGTGAGATTTGGGGAGAGGGAAAGAGAGAGGAGAGGAAAGAGTAGAGAAAGACATTGAGAAAATGATGGAGGAGTTATTTTTATTTTAAAAACCGTATCACTTTGCGCGACGAACGACATTGTTGGTCGCGCAAAGCTTTGCGCGACGAAAAATATTGGAGTATTGGTCGCGCAAAGCTTTGCGCGACGAAAAATATATTGGTCGCGCAAAGTTTTGCGCGACGAATATTAGTATATTGGTCTCGTCAAAAAAAAAAAAAAAAAAAAAAAAAAAAAAACGCGCCCCATTTTGGTACCCGCCCAAATTTTGAAATTTTTGCGCGACGAAAAAATATATTGGTCGCGCAAAGTCTAAAAAAATTAAATAAAAAAATTCCCGCGTCCCATTTTTGGTACTCACCCAAATTTTTAAAGTTTTGCGCGACGAATTGTTGGTCGCGCAAACTTTTGAGAGATGAAAAATTGGTTCATAGCACGATATTTATAAAAATAATTGTTATGAATAATAATTATTTTTTTTTTTACGATTTAAAATATAAATAAGGTTAAAGCTACTTAATAAATGTATATACCAATTTCTTAAGTGTTATACGTACAAAATAAATAAATTTAAAGCTACTTAATAAGTAAATATATATATATATATATACACACACCATTCAACGATCCAACCGTCAAACTTGTTTGTATATACTTCAAGATCGTATACCCCAAAAATTGTAAAAAAACAAACATTCGGAGACCTAGTAACGGGACAAAAAATTTCAACGGTTCTTAATGAAAAATCACGATTTAACGATTATTTTAACTCCGATTTTGATGATTTTTTACAGCTACACTCCTTGACCTTATATGAATACAATGAACTAATTCGATCGTCAATTTAAAATATTTACACTAGTGGATACCACAAAATCTTATGTTATACTTAACAAAAGTATAAATAAACTCTTAATTGTTAGTGAATATATTGTTTTGATGGCATACGCATTCAAAAAAACAAGTTTCAACGATCCAACCGTCAAACTTATTTGTTTATACTTCGAGATCATATACGCCAAAAATCGCAAAAAATAAACATTCAGAGATCAAGTAACGGGACAAAACTTTTCGACGGTTATAAATGAAAAATCTTGATTCAACGGTTATTTTAACTCCGATTTTGATGATTTTTTTACCGCTACACTCCTTTACCCTATATGAATACAATGACTGAATTTGATCTTCAATTTAAAATATTTACACTAGTGGATACCACAAAATCTTATGTTATATTTAACAAAAGTATAAATAAACTCTTAATTGTTAGTGAATATATTGTTTTGATGGCATACACATTCTATGAAACTAGTTTGAACGATCCAACCGTCAAACTTGTTTGTTTATACTTCGAGATCATATACGCCAAAAATCGCAAAAAATAAACATTCAGAGATCAAGTAACGGGACAAAACTTTTCGACGGTTATAAATGAAAAATCATGATTCAACGGTTATTTTAACTCCGATTTTGATGATTTTTTACCGCTACACTCCTTTACCCTATATGAATACAATGACTGAATTTGATCTTCAATTTAAAATATTTACACTAGTGGATACCACAAAATCTTATGTTATATTTAACAAAAGTATAAATAAACTCTTAATTGTTAGTGAATATATTGTTTTGATGGCATACGCATTCTATGAAACTAGTTTGAACGATCCAACCGTCAAACTTGTTTGTTTATACTTCGAGATCATATACGCTAAAAATCGGAAGAAATAAACATTCAGAGATCAAGTAATTGGACAAAACTTTTCGACGGTTATAAATGAAAAATCACGATTTAACGGTTATTTTAACTCCGATTTTGATGATTTTTTTATAGCTACACTCTTTGACCCTATATGAATACAATGAACTAATTCGATCGTCAATTTAAAAAATATATTTTCTAATAAAAACCCAATCCAAAAACAATAATATATTTTTCTAACAAATATTTTAAAAATATTTTATTTATTTTATTTATTTTTATAAGGACTTTGCGAGACGAAGTTATTTGTTTCGTCGCGCAAAGTAGCTTTGCGTGACGAATTGTTTTTCGTCGCGCAAAGTTACTTTGAGCGACGAATTTTTTTTCGTCGCGCAAAGTTACTTTGAGCGACGAATTTTTTTTCGTCGAGCAAAATTTGGTCGCGCAAGACTTTGAGCGACGACGTATTGTCGTCGCGCAAAAGTTGGTCGCGCAAAGTCGCTTTGAGCGACGAAAAAAAATTCGTCGCGCAAAAGTTGGTCGCGCAAGGTTTTTAGCGACGGAGTTTTGAGTTTCGTCGCGCAAAGTGTCTTTGCGCGACGAAAAATTATTCGTCGCGCAAAATTTGGTCGCGCAAGGGTTGTTTTGTAGTAGTGACGTGATTCTCCTAATTGCTGTTGCAGTACTAAAACTGGCACGCAAAGCAGAGTTTGACATGAAGATGAGTGGGAGGTCAACACAGCCACCACAAATTGTGATGGGTTGTTGGGGTTGCATTCACATCCCACTCTTCCTTCCTTGTCATCAATCATGATATATATTAATATATATTATATATATATGTGGAGGAGGAGGAGGAGGAAGGAAGCTAATATGACAGTTAAATTGCCACTAGGGAGAGTGACAGCCAAATCGTTGTTTGTTGTTGTGCACTGTCTGTGCTCTCACCACTTCCAGGGGAAAGGCAGGGGAAGGGAATCATCAAATATGGGCATCATCTTGCAATAATGTAGTAGATAGATTGATAAATATACCCTTTCTGAGATTTTGACCTGGGACGGTTACAACCAGTCCAAACGCATGCAGTAATCTCATTTGGCTTTATGCAATGCAGTGCAGTGCAACCATTTCACATATGCTAAGGCGATCAAGTAACCAAGGTTGAGTTTGTTGTACAATTAATACAATACATATATATTATATATAGGTAGGTTGTCTTTTTATTTACACAAATCTTCACATAATGATTTCAACATGAGTGCAAGGCAAACGACTCTCGGGCAATTTTGATACCAAGGCGAGTAACGTCATCCTCAAATCGCTCAAACAGAAGTGGCAGTAGTATTCCCAAGTAGATGAACCCTTAATTTGGAAAAGAGAGTCATAAATATCATACACATTAATAATACGATGGATGATGATGATGATGATATATATAAATATAGCAAATACTTTCTTACGTATGCATACCCAAGTACAGAAGATTCAGAGAGCTGAGATAGGTTCCAATCACAGGCAACATATAGAGAAAAATAATTGCCTGAAAATAAATCAGTAGAGGGAGATGGATCTTTAGCACTGTGTACATACTTCAAATGACCTAATTTTAAAGGGAAATTAATTAGTTGAAAAATTTAACTTCAACAAGGGTATACCAACAAGAAGAATGGTAGGTCTCTTCCAAATGCACTGTCAAGGTAGTTGAATATTTTACGGATATCAGAAGAAAACTCTTCGAATGTAAGATCATGATCAACACGTACGTTACTTCGAAAGGATGGAATAATCGCCGATGCGAAGACAATCTCCAAAAAAAATTTGACTAATTGTAATGTGATGATTATGAGCAGTGTGGTAATGGAGAGGTGGTAGAGGAGGATCACCCAGTTGTACTCGACTACCCCGAAAATAAACCATATCACCGTCATCCCAATCAAAAGCGCAGCGGATACACTAGTGTTCCTCCACAGTAACACATCCGCAACTGCATGCAAATTTAATTACTCACCTTACAAGGTCATTCAAATTAAGGCCAATTCATTCCTAGCAGCACATCATAATTAAACGCATGTCTACTTTGGACAAATTTTCCTGCTTTTGACATTTCTTATATGAACAAAGGGAAACTCTGGTTAAAACTGGACTAAATCCAAAGCCCATTTTCTTCTCTGGTTGGTTGGTTGGTGTGTGTGTGACAAAAGAGAGATATATATATATATATATATATATAATATAGCACAAGACTTGAGGAAGCCAATTAATGAGATTAATTATGAATTAGGAGTTTTCACATTGATGCAAGTATATATAAATTTATGAAGATCATAAGCTCCCTATATTATAACGTTACCTTTTCCACCTCCAAGAATCCGATGAATTATTATTGGCCTTCCAAGTAAGATAGATTGTACAACATCGTCACTAGAACCGGAAGGCATGGTGGATACGTTCTAAAATATTATTAAACTTGATTATTTGTATGAATTAATGCCCTAATTGAATAGTTGATATTATATTATCATCACCTATAAATATATGATTCATATGAAGGAGAGGGAGGGAGGGGTTCTAACTTCTAAGCTTGGTGGCAAAGTATGCTTCTATAAAGTAAGGAATGACTTGGGGGCCTTGGCTTAATTAATCTCAGAGTTGCTTTGCATGCCCGCTTGGTACAATTGGTAAGTAGTATCTGATCTTGTTTTGAACGACTAGTACTCTTTAATATTCCACCAGTTGTGGTTATTATAATTCATATGCCTCTACAAGACTGCAACTGCAAACCTACCTTTTCTTTCCTTTCCTACCTTAAGATCTTTCGCCATAAGCTTGTAATTCATGTGGTTAACAGCAGTTTTCTTAGACTATGAGGTTATGTATTCGTATCCTCCTTCCCTCAATATTTCTCCTCCATTGGAATGCGGAGTAGGCTACTAGTAAAAAATTCCAACTAGAGCATCCATAAGGAAAGAGACAATAAAAATTCGATCAGTTGGATTCTTGTTGTTCCAATTGGAGAAAAAAAATATCAACGTGACCATCATCATCCATCCTCCTCAATGACTACTTGTTTGATCTACAGTCAAACTGCCCAATCCCAGTTTAATTAGGCTCAAACTCATATATCCTCCAATATGGCTTCATTTCATCATTCAATAACATTATCAAGGGCTTAAACTCATTTGACAACCCAACTCATCATCCTAGTTCATTTATCATGATTAGCTAGATTGATATAAATATAAAAAATCTATAAAAAATCTCACAATGCTTTTTATAGGTGCTACTTACTGTATGTAACCGCTTCGACCTATAAAAATTCTAATTCTAAGGACAAAGCACTTGCTGCCATGATTAGGTAAATTGATAAATATACCCTTTTTGAGATTGGCTTTTTATCACAAAATGTCCATGACGTTTGCGAAACTATCAGATTGCATCCTTAAAGTTTTTTTCTATCACTCATGATCTCTAACGTTAATATATGTGCTCTTAAATAGTCCAACTGTTAAAAAAATTGTTAAATCCAAAGATATAATTGTCAAATCAATCCAAAATGATAAAATACTTCTCTCTCCCCTCTTTCTTTTCTATTTCCTTTCCTTCTCTTTTCTCTCTCTCACTGCAACACCAAGAATTGAACTATCTTCAATAATTTCTTGAAGACCCTTATCACCCCACTTGCATTCTACTCCTGGAAAATGTTTTTGAGCAATCTCAACGGCACCTCTAGCAGATTCCTAGAATCAAACCCAAAAAAAGAAAGAAAATGGGTTAAATCTTTTAATTCAAAGATAAAAAGGAAGACGAAAAAATTGAAGTACCTCTGTACGGCTCCAAATGGATTTAAGGAGGAGGAGCTTAGAGATCTCAGCGAGCCTAGGAATGTATTGGGTCCTCATAAAGGTGCCAGCTCGAAGAATGGCAATCTGGGGTGCCTCTCCCATTTTGAAGAACCGAACTGCACTTCTTGCTTTACTTGTTGCAAAGAGAAGACTGAACTCGGGGAGAGGAAGTAAGAAGAGAGAGAGAGAGAGAGAGAAGGAAAGGAAACAGAAAAGAAAGAGGGGAGAGAGTAATATTTTATAATTTTGAATTGATTTGACGATTATATCCTTGGATTTAACAGATGAACTATTTAAGAGCACTTATATTAACGTTAGGGATCATGAGTGATAGAAAAAAACTTTAAGAATGCAATCTGATAGTTTCGCAAACGTCAAGGACGTTTGGTGATAAAAAGCCTTTGAGATTTTGACCTGGGACGGCTACTACTAGTCCAAACGTATAGTAATCTATATATAATGGTTTCCCATTAAGAATTTGAACTGAAACGATTTGCCTTTATGAGAACCCACTTACTAGTACATTACAGAATATTAAAAGAATACTTGTGTTGTGGTTTTGGCTTCTGTAAGTTGAAGTCGAAGTTGAACCCAAAAAAGGTATATATGGATTATTATTCTACAAATTAACAAGTTATATAATTGTTGTGTTTTTCTGTTTAATTATCTCCGCATCGCATCGCAGCTGGCTGGCTGGCTCCAGGACCATGATCGAGCTAGACAGGAGAGGCTGAGGCTTCTGTTGTACACAAATACATTCATGGAAATCTGCAAAGGGCTTCTTCCTTAGTGTCATATATCTAGTCACACACGCTCTTGTTTTAGAATGAATGCAATGCCCAATATTGGACTTGTTGTGCTAGCTATGAGCTCCTCCACACCTAATTAACTTAACGTGTCAATACAATACTACTTTATGTTGTGTTTCTTTCTAGCTATATATGGAATGCAATGCAAGCTTGATAAATATTTTATCTGCTCGATTTGGGACTAGTCATGGCAAGTTTGACCTTTTTTGTACGGTACTCGATTTGGAAACATGTGTTGATCAACCAAGAGAATGGGAATGGAAGCCAACCATTTCAGATATGCCAAAGCCATCAAGTAATTAATTATGTTGAACCAATGTTGATGATATTGTACAGTTTTATATATATACAACTATAATACAATAAAGGTAGGTTATTTACAGAATATATCTTCACATAATGATTGAATATGCGTGCAACTCTGGCACAGAAACTATGATTCCAAGTCCAGACTCCAGGCCATGCCAATGCCATTCAAAGTTTCATCTGGTTTTCTCTTTCACTGGGCCTCTTGGAATTTTGTTGAGAAACTGAGAATCAAACTTTCTGTACGATCTCTTTATCTCTCTGCTAACTTTTCCAGCTAGGCGATCAACGTCCTCCTCAAATCGCTCATACAGAAATGGCAGTGTTTCCAGGCCGAGGAACCCTTAATTTGCATGCAAATTACAATCAAACAAAAGAGATAGAGCCATAAATCTCATACGTACACTTTTTTAATATATAATATTGTAATGGAATATATACTATGGATGATAACAAACAGATATAACAACTTCTTACCCAAGTAAACAAGATTCAGAAAGCTGAAATAGGTTCCAATCACAGACAAAATATAGAGAGAAATAATTGCCTGAAAATCAGAAGAGAAAGGGAGATCAAACTTAATTGAAAAAGTTGAGTTGAGAGTGAATATGAATTGTTAGATCAAAGTTGAAATACCAAGAAGAAGAATGGTAGGTCTCTTCCACATGCACTGTCAAGAAGCTTTGACAAGAATTGGTTGCATCTTTTGTGGACTATGGAAGCCATCTCTTTGAATGTGGATTCATGTAATATTATACCAGGTATGGTAGGAGGTGTCCTGTACATTAATTAATTCAAAATTACTCAATAAATAAATATAGAAAAATAAAATTAGTGAAAGAGAAGGACCTACAATCTGAACAATTCTGCAGCCGTGCGCCATATGAAGATTACGAGCAATGTGGTGATGGAGAGGTGGCAGACGAGGGTCACAAAATTGTACTCGACTACCTCGAAAAGAAACCATATTACCGTCATCCCAATCAAAAGCGCAGCTGATACATTTCTGTTCCTCCACAATAACACATCCGCAACTGCAAGTTTTATTAATTACTATTTAGTATTAACAAGGTCAAGGTCAAGGTCTTAGCACACCATATATCATAGCTAAAGAGACATGTTCTCAATTTGGACAAATCCAAAACAGGGCAACTGGATTCAGCATCAAAACTGGTGCGCGCTCTGGACAAAATCCAAAACACATTTTCTTCGCTGAGCAAACACAAATGAGATTGATGCAAGTTTATTATATAAATGAAGATTGATCGTATCGTATATAACATACACTTTTACCTTTTCCACCTCCAAGAACATGATGAATTGACCTTTCACGTCCAAAGAGCTTTGCCCCGTCGCGGCTTGTGCCAATATTGTCATCAGAATCGGATGAATATACGAACCCCCGCATGGTGGATTTTAAGTTGTAAATTAAACTTGATTATTTTTGGGAATTAATGCCCTAATTGAATCGTTGATATTATAGTATCATCACCTACTTTCTACTTATATATGATCACATCAATCATATATGACAAAGGGAGGGAGGGAGGGAGGGGTTCTAAGCTTGGTGATAAAGTAAGCTTCTATAAAGTAAGGAATGACTTTGTTTCAAGGTATTGCTTTGCATGCCCGCTTGCTACAATTGAAAAAAGCACTACTTGATCTTGTCTTGAACGAATGGTTATGCCTCCTGCAAACCTTTTCTACCCAATTCATATTATATATAATAGCCTAGCTGCCTACGTGACAGCAAAAACCAATGTCAAGGGTTCTCTTCTCTTTCGACCAAAAAAAAAAGGGTTCTCTTCTCGTAATTAAGGTCTCCTTCCATTACCTTAAACAATTCGCACCACAGAGACTTGTTAATGGCTCAACAATAATTCAGACAACCTAATTCACTTGTCTCCATGTTTTTCATTGAAATCGTGATAATTTACTTTTGTTTATTGATTGAATGTAACGTTTTCTGAATGCAGCTTATACTGTTTTTAGTGAGATAAAAAGCATCATGCAAAACAAGAAAGCAACCAAAGTTCTACCACTTTGTCAATCAGCCCCATAATCATCCAGTCATATTTGTCCTTTTGCCAATTTTAACCTACTCACTACTGTTTTTACTTTTCTAGAATATGGGGTGTGTGTGTGTGTGTATAACACGTCAACTTCAAACATAAACATTAATTAGTTGATTAATTAACCTCCGGGCACATCGAAGGGACACCCACCTGAGGAGAGAATGATCCATCCATGTTCTTATTATTTGCCAAAAATAGAAAAATAATGAAGAATCCGAAGACAAGAAAATATGTTGTAATCCATCATCCTCCCATGCGTTCTGAAATTTTGAAGCATATCGATCTTTTATGTAGAAAAGAAAAAAAAAACATTGATTCTGTAACTCTAAGCAATATGACAACACAACCCAACCCAAGAAATTAAGAATGGCATGCAAAAATCGTTGTCAAAGTCAAAACTAACTCATCTTCTACCTGGGTTCGCCATGGTTATGTATATCACCAGGTTATCGTGCCAAATAAATAAATATGCATCCTCCAGTTAACGTTAACGAGTCAGCACAGCACACGAAGAAATAAGGACAAACAGTTGTTGAAATAGTTAATAATTGAAGTAATATTTTTTTTTTAAAAATGGCACCAGTCGTGCACTGCTCTGCTAAGCTCTATGCAACAGGAAGAACAACATTGGCAGGTCTGCAAATCTTGCTCACAACCCAATCAGAGCTACCAAAACCTGTAACCCAAAAATCTAAATCACCAGTACCACTCTCAGTGCCACCAATGGTATCAATTGGGATTTCTCTGCGCTCACTACCTCACTCTCTGCTCCTCTGCTCTGCTGCTGGTTCCACTCAGAGCCCCAAAAGGGCAAGAACCATTTCAAGGATCAGCCCAAGAATGGCTCTGGCCACACCCATCACCTTTGGGTTCAATAATTTGTTGGAAACTTTCACAGTAAACGTGCAGAGAGCGGAGAATAGGCCTCTGAATGTGCCTCTGATAGCGCCTTTCACGATTGCCACTTCAAGGCTTGACAAGGTGGAGAATGTGGCTATCAGGGTTGAATTGAGTAACGGGTGTGTGGGGTGGGGTGAAACTCCAATCTTGCCTTTTGTCACTGCAGAGGATCAGCATACAGCCATGGTCAAGGCCAGGGAAGCTTGTGACTTCTTGCTCCGCAGTCCGGCGAAGACCTTGGGTTCTCTTTTGGGAGAGATTGGTGGGCTTCTTCCTGGATATGAGTTTGCTTCTGTGAGTATGATTGGGAAAGTTTACTCTTTTATTCATATGTTTATTTGCTAGTTTTGGTGCTTGAGTATTATACTTTGATTGGGTTTTTACTATTGAAAATTGAACAGCTTGGCTGTTAAATTAGTTGGTATTGAGAACAAATTTAGTTGGTTTGCTCAAGTCTGCATTTTACTCAAAAAGTAAAAGAAAGGACGAAAAAAGTTACATCTTTTATTCATTTCTTTGGTTCGATAAACAGGCAATTCTAGGGATTATTGATCTCTTCTGCATACTTTCTTTAATTCCATCTCCTAGATTTATTTGGAGATTGGATCAATTTGGAGGATATTGTTCCAATTACAAGGACTGCTCCAATGAGTAGAAAGCTTTAAAGGTTCTTATTACTTTAGTGGCATGTATGGGATCAGTGCCTCTAATGGTGCTGAAACAAACCTTACAACTTACGAGAAAATGACGGGTTTCTTCAATTAAAACAATCCTGATCATAAGAATCATATACAATTCTTTTTTTAAAAAAATTAAAACAAGCAGCTCTTGTTTATAGCAGTTTGATGATGTCTTCATTTTATAACATTACAAGGGTTTGAGAGGTCTTATTACTCTGTACTTGCAATTGAAGGTTAGGGCAGGAGTTGAAATGGCACTAATTGATGCAGTTTCTAGGAGTATAGGTGTCCCTTTATGGAGACTGTTTGGTGGAGCTTCAAATACCATAACCACTGATATAACAGTTAAGCTCTTCTTCGAGTAATTCTGACAGTTGAAAACAGTTTATCTATTTGAATACCCAAAATAAGCTTTACTCAGTGGAAAGTGGACTGAATTATATATGCGCAGCGCAGATTCCAATTGTTTCTGCTGGTGAAGCTGCTACATTGGCTTCAAAGTATCGTGAACAAGGATTTAGGACTTTAAAGCTTAAGGTGGGAAAGAATCTGATTTCAGACATAGAAGTCCTTCTAGCTATACGTGCAGTTCACCCCGATTGCGATTTTATCTTGGATGCTAATGAAGGATATACCTCCGAGGAAGCTATCCAAGTTCTTGATAAATTATATGGTAAATTCTGCAAACAGAAACCGAAGTGGCAATTTTGTGGATGTGCTCTGAATAACTAACATGAATAATTTAACTAATGTGTGTTTGGAAACAGCATGATAAAGTAACATCTTTAACCTCCCACCCCCCCTTCCAGCACCCAAAAAGTAGAAAAAATGAAAAAGCTCATGCACACACTCACCATCATTAACCTACAAATTCTGTAAATGAGTTTCTGTACTCCCATTACATTATTCTGACTACCATGTCTAGCTAGCGACTGAAATATTTTCTTGTTCTTTTTTGCTTTCAGAGGTGGGAGTTAGTCCTGTTCTCTTTGAACAACCAGTTCATAGAGATGATTGGGAAGGCCTTGGATATGTTAGTCGCATTGCGAGAGACAAATATGGAGTATCAGTTGCAGCTGATGAGAGCTGTCGAAGTTTAGTTGATGTCAAGAAAATAGTTGCAGAAAATCTAGCTGATGTCATTAACATTAAACTTGCTAAAGTTGGGGTTGTTGGGGCCCTGGAAATCATTGAGGTGGCAAAGTCATCGGGATTAACTTTGATGATTGGTGGTATGGTTGAGACTAGACTGGCCATGGGCTTTGCCGGCCACCTTGCTGCTGGTCTTGGGTGCTTTAAGTAAGTATTACCATCCTCTGTATAAAAGAAGAACTGTCTGCATATCCTGCTGGTTTTGTTACTTCTCTTTATTTTATTTATTTTCACTTGCTACTTCTTAATCCATCATTAAGCATTAATATCTTGTACAGGTTTATTGACCTAGATACTCCCCTGCTGCTTTCGGAAGATCCAGTTCGGGAGGGTTATGAAGGTATTCTGATCTGTCTGTAACTTTTGAACTCTGTTTGAATGAGTTGTTTATTTTTATATATTGAAACATCAAAGCATTTTTCCGTTCCATTCATTTTTTATTACCATTGGGCAATGTGGTTATGCTTTTTATCTTGTGGCTAGTTTCGGGTGCCGTTTATACGTTCAAAAATGCTAGAGGCCATGGTGGATTTCTTCATTGGAAAAATATTGCTTGGTAAGTCTTAAGCTTACGGCACCATCTGATTCTGTTTCCAATTCTTATGCAACTAAGGAATTATTCATTGTTATAATCTCCTTTGTTACTCTAAACATGCAGAAATATCTGCAGATATGAAGGCTCAAACTGTCTGGTCAACATTTGAACTCTGAGCAGTCTTTTTGGTTGGGGGAAAAAGAAACTTAGAGCAGTGGAGCGTTTGAAATCCTGTTGTTTGTTGACCATGTTTCCTGTTCAATAAGACAGAAAGGGCAAAAAATTTGATATGATAGATGTGTTTTCAGGCGAAACATTTGAAATTTGTAGATGATGGGAATAGCATTCAGCATCGCAAAGGATAGCTTAGCTGATCAGCTCATTCATTTGTGTAAGCAGTTGGCAACCTATATGCCTGCCTGTTTTTGAGAAACTTTAATGTGTCATGTGTCATGTCCTGTTGTACCTTGCGCAACCTATATGCCTCTAATATTGAATAATTTGATCCTGGGCTCAAGGATGTTCAATTGAGGTCTCATATAAGTTAATAACTAGTTACTTTTGACAGTTGGAAAGTAAATTCTTGAAGAAAATGAATCATTCAAAGAGCACTTGAGAGTTTTGACTCTGGATGAACTTAAAATGCATCATTGAGTTTTGACTTACAGTACCACCTCCACCACCATTTCTCCCAGAGACAAAAACCCAACAGTCCTTCAGCTCTCAATGTCCCATGAACTTCAATTCAATGGCCAATGATGCTTCCCAAATGCATGCCTGATCAACCTCTTTATGAAAAATCATATTTCATCTGCATTATTATGCATTTGTGCTTACGTTGGTATAATGACGCATGTTTCAACCGACCGAAATTGGCACACTTTCTTTCTTTGATTCATTTCAAGTCTAAACAACAAGAGTTTAGAAGATTAAACCAAACCACATCTCAAAATATATTAATTTAAGTTTAATGTTATGTACTAGATTTAGATTCATTGAAGAAAAACAAATTTACTTGTTTATATGGTCAGAATGCCAGATTGTATTATTTCTAAAATAAAATTTTATAAGGTGCTTATTTATGATTGTGAGCTTATCATTGTGAGACTCAAGTATCAAGGACAGACCGTGATGCTTCAACGCTTGACTAAAGTGGGCAATAATAGAAAGGTGAGCATGAGGATTTGGATTAAACAAGTGAATGACTTTAGCATGATTTCATTTTCAATGGCCCACACCACATAATGATATCAAGCACTCAGAATTTGACCTTGAATGGGGCCATTAACCCCTCCTCACTCATAATTATTCATGTTTCACGCCGATTTGGTGTAGCTTTTTTCATGAAGACATTGATAATTACCTATCACTCTGCTGCATTCTACAAACGACCAAACCAATGCACTCAAAAGTGATGGGATTGGCATGCATGCCTACATAATAACAACCCTAGTACAAGGTAAAAAGTTGGGGTAACTTTGCAGTAGCATGAACAATTTACATGTTAACAACAACATCAAAATCATTTGTACCATATTTGCAAATCACGTCACATTGGTTATAGGGATTACATTGAATTTGGTATTGTAGAGTAGGAAAGTATAAGATGCATGTGATGCGCAAGGGAAGATTGAGATCTTTCTTTTTACAAATTGGACAGATTTGCTTTGTCTTCTACCGAGAGATAAGAAGTTGGAGATAATTTGTCGCAAATGTCAGCTGAAAATGAAAGTTGAAGAGAGTCAGAGACAAGAAGCGCCTGCAAAGGAAAAAGATTTTATACGTATCTGCATTTTAGATACTATTAATCCGTTTATCCAAAATTCAACGGCATCCAAAAATATGCTAGTCGAGTCCAGTCTAGTCTCACTCATCTAATCATATATATTTCATCTTTGTCACAACACCTAAATGAAATTTGTAATTGGATTCATGACCTGTTTTGTTAGATGAATTTACAAAGCAAATCAAACATGTTCAAGTAAGTAACTCAACTGAACTAGTTTGATTGAGTCATGTTTCTTACGAATATGATGATCATACTGAGGACAGACAGCTATTCATATTCATGTTGAAGCTCCCAAATTCCAAGTACAGGCGCATTATTGATGACAAAGAATAATACATTTGAAAGAAACTCAAAAAGAATTGCATATTTTGTTGCATTATGGATAACAATTAACAAGAATGGATGATGATGATTAGTGATTATAACCATGATTACACAAAATTCCAAGTGCAGGCAGCAGGTCAAATTAATGATGAGAACATGTGGCTGGCTGCATTTCATAAATAAATAAAAAAGTTGCCCAAATTTTACAAATCAACATCACCGAAAGGCATACAAACACACACATACACAAAGTGGTTTAAACTTTAAAGTGCGAGAGCATGCACCATATGCTTTCATAACTAGCAATCAAAAGAAGATGAAATTGTTTAGTTTTCTTAATTAACCTAACCAGTGTGGATATAGGATAGGGATGGGTCTGGTCTACTTTCTGCACAAGACTTTGTTATTAATTTATGAGAAAGATATTGGATATTCCCATGCCCATCAAATTAATTAAATTCAGAACAATAATCTATATAATCTGCAATGTCTCTGAATTTTAAAAGAACAAAAAACTAAATATGGATTTGAGTTATGAAGCAGGCTGAGAAGGTTTTAATTAGGCCAGCACCAAGCTAGGGCTTCTTGATTTTTCTAAATGTCATTTGATTGATTGAGCTCCACCAAAGAACAAGGATCATGATGAGTGGCAAAGGACTCCACCAAATTTGTGAGCATCATCACCTCCAAGCTACTCACAAAGAAAAAACTCAAACTCCATTTGTACGTACGTAGGTACGCACCGTTAAATTAATAATGCACATTAAGTAACCATGATTAACTATAATTTGTAGCTAATACAGCCATTAATGTTAATTATGATTTTAACTACGAGGTAACAAACAAATAGCATCCATTAGGTGGAATCATAATATGGCATACAGATACAGCCAATTTCTTTGTTTTTGTTTTTGTTTTTTGTTTTTCTAATAGCTTAAGCTTTTACTAATTTGAGTGCTTGATTGTGTATTGGGTTAAAAGGTCAACTTGAGAATTATGTGTTCCGCTTCCATTAAGAAGGTAAGCAGCTGGCCTTTGAGGTTTTTTTTAATTTGGAAATGACTGTCTCTCATATCACTGAATCAAGCAGCAGCAGCAATTTATTCACGTTTGATTTGAGTGTTCTCCTTTTGGAAATGGGCCAAACCCAAGGCTTTTTCTCTCTCTGATTTATTTATCTTTAACTAATTTCTCTTAGGTGGTGACTTGTTACCAAAAAATAAAAAAATAAAAAATAAAAAACTCTTGGGTAACATGAAAAATGAAAAAAGAAAATCAAATGGGCGGTTATTTTTCTATTATATTTTGTCTTCTATAAATAGAGGATGAAAGCCAAGCCAAATGCATCACCACTCAGCCAAGCCAAGCATAGTTAATAGTTGCAAGTCTCTTTGTTTCTCAGTGGCTTTGAGAGAGTTGAGTGAAAATGAAGGCATCATATTCATACATTGCAATTGCATTGTGCCTTGTGGTTGTGGTGTTGTTGGGCAAAGCAGATGTTTCAATGGCAGTAACATGCAACCCAACAGAACTAAGTCCCTGTGCAGGAGCAATAACTTCTTCAACTCCTCCATCCACAGTATGCTGCACCAAGATCAAGCAACAGAAGCCCTGCCTCTGCCAGTATCTCAACAACCCCAACCTCAAGAAGTTTGTCAACACCCCAAATGCCAGGAAAGTTGCTAGGACTTGTGGCACTCCCTTCCCCAAGTGCTAGCTACATACATCCATGGATGATTGCATCATGTCTCACAAACACCTTCAGCAATGCAATCAAGGGGAGGAGGGACTTATATATATTATATATGTGTGTGTGTGTGCGCGCGTGCACACGTATCTTTATCTTGCTCATTAATTAGTTCCATGATTTGCCTAATAGATATTAGAAAGAGTTCACTCATATGTGCTTAATTTGGTGTGTTTTATTTTATGGCATATTAGTATCCATCTGTATTCTATAAGCTATGTATTTTAGTAAAAGGCACTACTTGTTGTTACATGCCACATGCCAGCATTTTCAGTGTCTTCTCAGTCTCTTGGTTTGTTGTGTGGTGTATCACCGTATCCGTGTATCAGTAGTAGTGGTGGTAATGAGAATTTTAATCGTGTCTAAATGCCCCAACCCAAGCTTTATTAATCTTCTTTCTCTCCAATACTGCATCATTACTCCTCACTCAGTTTTATTTACCCTTTCTTCTTTCCTAATCTTCTTTCCTAATAGCTTAAGAAAATATGCATATCTGCATGAACTCAACTGCTTTGAGGTGTTGAATTGCTAAATGCTAACGAGTAATGAGAACTTCCAGAATTGAGTAAATGATTTTAAGCTAAGACCGGCAAGCACAACTAAGAACAATCAATGGTTTTCAAATATTTGCTTATATGCATGCAGCTGCTTGGCCCCAGGAACATAACCCAATAGCTTGTCTCTCTGGTGCAATTAGTAAAGGGATTTTTTAAAATAAAATCAACATCACCCTTTTTCAAAATGAGAATCCAATTGCTAGAAAAAGAAAAAGAAGATGGTGAAGTGATGATGTGCGGTGCTGTAAGCCTAATGAGATAATCCCTTCCCCCTCCATGGTTGGTGTACACAGATTTGTAACGTAACCAATGGAAATGAATCAATTCTTTATTGAGATCTGAAAATTACAGAAACTAGTGTTCCAAATCAACACCATGCATAGTGTGCATTGTGCTCACTAGTATTCCAAGTCACTCACACTCACACCACTTGAAAATTCATTTACATGTACAGAATATAAAGAATGGAAGTACTTACAACAAAATGTACTTTCTCACAAGTTAAGAAGGTTTGAAATTGGGTTCCAGCCCGTAATCCATGACCTCTTATCAGATGGAAGCACAAAATTGAGTTCAAACATCTCTTTTGACATGTTTCCACTTTCGCAGAAACCAACAAGCTTTGCAACTATTTCAGCGCTCTCCTGAATATGTTTGGCATCATGGGGATCAGTCCAGAGCTTATTCACAAACTGCATCTTCCTCTGCTTCCCTTCAAGTGGGACATCCCATTTCATGTACAATGCATCTCTCTCCTCCGCAGTCAAACGTGAAGTCAGCCTCTTAGCAAGGAACTCCCTTTCGCGCTTTAGTGCTCTGATACTGCATATCAGAAGAGGGTACAACGTTATTAAAACACTAGAAAATTTCACCCAGTTTCCTGGCAACAGCCACATACAAACACAAACGAAAGAGAGAGAAAAAGAACCTTGATGACAAAGAGACTGTGGGTTCATCTCCCACATGGGCAGGACTAGCATTCCCAAGTTCTGCCAGATGATGTTGCAACCATGTCAACCGCCTCAGCTCCACTTCCACATAGATTTGGTCAGCTGGATCCCCCTTAAATAACAAATAAAACTGTGTCCTATGAATGATGGAGACAAAACACAAATCCCACAACTCAATGATCTGCTGTCTTTGTTCCTTAAAAGTTATTTGCCATGAGACCATAGGCTCCTCTGTCTCACATGTGTTCTCATCATTCTCTATATCGTACCCAGCTGCTTCATTTGCTTCTAGCTCTAGAACCTAGAGGCATAAACCAATTGAAATGAAGTGAGATTTCTTCATAAGGGGTTAACACTGAATGAATGTATGTATATGTGTACATGGAAAAAACAACTCGGTCACTGAAATATGTGAAGGCATATTACAAAGCACAAAGAATGCATTTCCATACCTGGCAAACTAGTAGCTGCTTTTGGTACTGCAATTTGGCCACCCGCTCTTTCAGTTCTGTTACATAAGTTCTTATGTTTCTAACATTCTCTTCTGCTGCATTTTGGAACATCTTCTGCATTTTCTTCATGTTTACTGAACTAGAACGCCGATACCCTCCTGGAGTGTTTTCCTTTGATGAGACATCTCCACATTCTTCATTCTTTGTGGGAGTCCCCTTCTCAGACTCCGGTTGAGTCTCACCAGACAAAATATCATCATTCTCAGGAGCCCTGTTTTCGATTTCAGACTCTGCAATTTGCCGAGAAGTTGATAGAGGTGAGCATGGTGATCTGATAAAATTTTGCCGGATGGGAACATTACTTGAGGCCAAAGGTTGCAACTTTTTCTTTTTGGGTTCCTTCTTAGACTTGGGGGTTGACTCACTATTGTACTGTTCATAATTGCTAGGAAGAGACATCACCAATTTATCTATAGACTTCTGAACACTTTCTAGCTGTTCCTCAAGATTAGCAATAGTGCTGCCCTGTGAATGAAGTCTCGTAATCTCTTCCTTGAGATTAGCACTGACACTCTTGTTAGTAGCAACTACAGTTCCAACTTCAACTTCTTTTGGCTCTGATCTGACAGCACGCATTTCTCTTATTTCTGCTTGCAGATTGGCAATTGTTTCAGCTGCATCTTGATTGCCTAGCCTATGACAAGCTACTTCCTTTTGTAATACTTCCAGAGCTCGATTTGCTTCCTCCCCAAGCTGTTCCTGCAGGTGTTCAAGTTTACGGATTTCATGCATTAGTGTGAAAGGAGCAGCTGATGATTGCCTCATAGACTGCCTGAGCATTGTATTTCTTGCTCTATCACCACGACCTATCTCCTTTGTATCGAGTTTTGTTGATAGCACACCAGTGTATGAGAGACATTTCTTCACAGAGGGATGGGGTAATTCCAATGGGTTTGAACCCTGAAGTTGGCATATAATAAGAATCTATAAGCATTTTAAAATACAATTCATATATATAGTGGGGGGAGGGGGAGAGATATAGAGAGGGGATAATGGGAAATAGACCTGTTGATCCTCCTTTAGTTTTTGGCGTAATTCATCCACCTGAGATTGAGCAAGGTCTCTTTGGCGTTTCAATTCTTCCATCTCCATTTCCATCTAGTCATGGCCAAAAGTAATTTTATTATATACATTTACAAGCACATCAAATAAAATATCGGGCAAGACATAGTATGGCAAGTTTACCTGCTGAATTTTCAAATCCTTTTCCGTTGATGGATCAGGGGTGCGCAGCTCTGCTTCCAGCCTTGCTACTTCCTTCTGCAAATGTTTCACTAGCTGCTTGTCCGAAACAACCTAGAAAAAAACATTTTACATATATCAATAACTAGATAACTAGATAACTAGATAACTAGATTATCTATTCTCAATACGTACAGATGCAAACTGAAAAATGTTACAAACAAATAATTAGTACCATATTCACACGAGCATTATTCGTTACTTCCTTCGCCCTGGTGGCAAAGAAGAGAGTATTTCGAGATTGTTCAAAATGGCTCAATGCTGGACTCAAGGTGCATATGATGGCAGTGCGTGCGTTCCCACCGAGAGAATGCTGCAATATGCGAGTGAGCTTTGAGTCTCTATATGGTATATGACCACTTCTTTTCCCAACGCTGCAAATCAAAACAGTTCATACAGGTAAGAAAGAAAATTGATTATAGATCAGATATATATGATATATCTCAATCACATAATCTCCTACTTAGGCCCTGACATGGTATTTTTGTCCTCTAGACAATGAGTGTCCACTCCCATAATTCTAATGGGTGCTCATTACCAGATAGCTTCTACACCCTATAATATTTATAATCTTCAAAGAGTAAACTCCATAACTCCTACTTAGGCCCTGACATGGTATTTTTGTCCTCTAGACAATGAGTGTCCACTCCCATAATTCTAATGGGTGCTCATTACCAGATAGCTTCTACACCCTATAATATTTAAATCTTCGAAGAGTAAACTCCATAACTGGACACGTAGGCTTTTTATACCAAAGGATCAAAATTTCAAGATACAGAAATTTGCATTCAGAAACTTCATTTACCATTCTTTTGCTATCATGGCATATCAAAGCATGAATGTTAAAAATGAAAACATCCATTAAAGGGTTTCTAATCCCTCACAAGATAAAGATATGCAGCTATAGATTCTGACCTGAGCTTTCTAATAACAGTTGTAAGTGTCATCAAGCTAAGGTTAATATGGCAACCCTCCCTCAGCCTAGCACCATCTGCATGTGTTTGTGAAGCTCTTTCACTTCCAGCCAGATCTACAAAGTTCTGCAGATCATTGATATCGACAGTTATTGACTAGAAAGTAATAATTGAAGCAACTTGGATTTGCAGGAAGAGTAATTTGTTCCATTTAGTTTTACCAGGCTTGCAACAAAAGATCTCACGCAATCTGAATTCTCGCGGAGGGTACTTTCAATTGTCTGTTCAATGTCCAAGTCATCAGAAGAAGAAAAAAACATCATTAACTAGAGTCAAAGATAGTATGATCAATGAACTGACCAGCCTTATTATCTGATGTGACCGTGAGCTGTTATCATTTAAAGCAGTTTCACCAACTTGTCTTTGGGCTACACAAAAACAAGGAAATTCATTATCTTCTCACGCAAAAACTTTGGGAGAGTAAAAGAAGCTGATTCAAGCCAAGGGATCCGCTGGTTTACCCTCACAAATGCTGATTAAATGCCTCAAATGCTGATCATTGCTAGCAGTCTCCTCCACCAGCTTCTCAACCACGGTACCTTTCTACAATAAGAAAATACTAAAACTTGAGTAAAGAACAAAAAAAGAATAAGGCAAAGAGCAGACTCAGGCGACTTATTACGATAGTACCTCTGGATCATCTAGAAGCTTCAAGTTACGGCCTGATTCTGAGTTTAGCAGGTCCCTCACATTTTCATTGTATATTTCAAGTCCCGAAATCTTTATCGTGAAGTCTCTCTCTGGAGTCTGCAATGAAACCATAAGAGCACCATTACTTTGGAAGTTATATAATCTTCACTATGAATTTCATAATTTCTGTTACTTCACTGTGATTAAGCTTACATTCATTATATGGTTGTAGATATCAATGACAGCTTTCTCTGTTATTCCTCTCATTGTATACGTCTTCCCACTGCTAGTTTGGCCGTAAGCAAATATAGTTGCTGCAGTGCAAGATAAAGTAAAACAAATGTTCAATGCAAGTTAAGGATTAAAAAGGAAGACGCGACACGAGTTCAAGGATATCCCACTACCATTGATGCCCATCAAAGAAGACAAGGCCACATTTTTCACCCCTTCCTCATATACTGTTTCAGTTACGCAAGAAGGACCAAAAACCTTATCTGCAAACAGAAGAAACCAATGAATAATAAACTAACATGAGCCATCATCAGGAAGGAGAAAATTATAAAGAAGAAACATAGAGGTTTTTCCGTACCAAATGTAAATGGGGCCGGTTGAGCTGAGCGTTCTTGAGGCGGTGGCTTATAAACAATTGTGGTATCATCAATGCATTCCCACGCGACTTGGTCTTTTGCTAGTTGCTCCCTTTTGCTCAGAGGCCTCAAACGCACGGTAACAACAATCTTCTCCTCCTTAGCTCTTGGCCCACCCGGAGTTGATACTGGCGTCCTATCCATTTTCGAAGTTGGTGTTGATACTGGTGTCCTGTCTATTTTCGAAGCCGGTGTTCCAGGAGTTTTGACAGTCATATTTATTCTGAATCTACCGGATTAACTGAGCTAACAGGAACACCAACACCGAATATTGGAAAAGATTATCCATATGCAAAAAATGAAAAATTATCTAACTTGTTCAAATCTCTAATAAGGAATTCGACTTCAACAGTTACTTGTAAAATAAATTTGAACATGTTTACAATATAATAGAAAAGGAAACAAAAAATAATAATTCCCCTGCTAGTAAGCATGTTAAGAATCAATTGGTTTCCAATTAAGACTGGATTCATCAAATATCCACTGATTTTTCTACATATATGGAAAGTGAAAATCTGTAAGACGAGTTTAAAAAAGCAAACTCACAGAAATAGCAAGCCGAACTCGACCGGAAAACTCCTGGAAATCTCAGCCCAAGGAAATTGAGAGATGAAAGGAGCGTTTAAGTTTGAGACCAGAGCTTTGAAGTCGAATTCAAGGACTCGAAGAAGAAGAAGAGGAAAGAGAGTCGTAAGAAAATGATGAAAAGCTATTGCCTCATTCTCTCTGTCTGACTTTATTATTCAATTTTGAATCTGAGGCTCCCAACGGCTAGTTTTCCTTTTCTTTCATTTTTGTTTCTTCGGCTTTATTAATTAAATATTGGGCAAATTTACGGTTGCACGCCGAATTGTCCCCAGACGTTTTCGTGAGTTAAATCGCCAACTCCGAGTAAAGCGGGACCGAGTTTCAAGTCTTAACGGTTATTATTTTATTTATTACTTTTCTATTAATTAATTCTCCCTCTACACAAAAGGACAAAAAGCATGAAAGAGTTTCAATTATTGCTCTCCACCCTGGCCCCTTCAAACGAATCTGGGTTTGGGCCTCCTCTTCTGAAAGTAAGGGCCCATAATAAGTGAAAAGTGGGGCTTCGTGGGCCATCATGGCTTCATTTGGTTTATAAAACAGGGCCCTGCTTGAACTTCAATTTTTGTCGTTGAGTTTCAGTGTTGCAAAATTCTATAGTGAGGGTGTCATATATGTACCCCTCATGTAGACCCTTCATATTTGCCATATGATCATTTTATTAAATTAAAGTGAAGTTATTATTCAGATAAATCATACGGCTGATATGAAGGTTCACATCTATGGTCCATATAAGGTATCCTCACCGATGTTCGCTTGTCACCCAACCAATGAAGGATTTTCGCGTTCTACTTTTTAAAAAGAATCCCATGAAAGCCAGACCAATTTGAAGTAGCACAACATTTTAAACATCCATCTGCTTTACATCTCTACTTGTGAAAATATGCATAATATTCCTAAAACCAACAGATCAACATAAATATACATATCTAATACACCATTTCCATTTTCATCTTTATTGGTCTTTTTGACATTATTCTTCTTCCTTCCTTCCATGCCTTTGGGTTTTTCTTTCACTGCTTCCTCTTTCTTTTTTCTTTTTCTTCTTTTATCTTTAAATTTTGTAAATGCCAACTTTCTCTTCTGTTTTTTTCTTTCTTGCATTCATAAACACAAAATTCACACCTAAAAGACCTCTCAAGGGCATTCCAGCATCCTCCCAGCCATATATGCCATATACCATATACCTCAACATGGCCATGGATCAAGCATTCAATTTCAAGGCTTGTAAATCGTGGAATGGAAGCTAAAGTAGTTGCATTGCATCAATGAAACAACTTTCAATTTCACCTGCAGTACATGCCGTGGGAAGCAAAGAACTGGAAATCCGGGTGATTGACCTGAAGCAGGGTTAGCCAATTGCCTGCAGCCTGCATCAGGGAATTTGCTAGTTGACACTCCATTACTCCATTTTGTGTCCACGTTGTTCTTTTTAACTTATAAGCAGCCATTCCAAAAACAGGTAAGGAAATCTTTGGTACACCGTCCATCTCGGTGGGATAGACCATCACTGGAGCCTGCGCGCTTCCACTAACTGCCCAAAAGAAAAGAAAAATGTTAGGGTATCAACAATGGCAAGATAGAATAAACATTATTGTAGATTAAATCATTTTCATAACCACAGAGATAACAGTAAATAACATGTTATAGAGCGCCTCATATCATGAACTATAGCCGTCACTTATCATCAAACTCAAGAAAGAACATAGAAGAGCTACCTCCTGCTGTTAGATCTCTATCATCAAACTTTTCACAGGTAATTGTAACGCTTGAAAATAGAAACATATCCAGGATCCTTTCCCATCCCCCAGTTCATCACCACTCTCTATCTCTCTCTCCCTCCCTTCCCTTCCTGTGTATAAGTACACACTAACCGCTCAGAACTAAGGCAAGCAGAGATTGTTGTGCCAAACACAAATACCCAGCTATCTAGTACCAGCAAGAAGCATAAAATTTTTTTTTTTTTTTTTTTCACTCATTTTGTTTAATAAGCTATTAACTCCAAACACACCCTTTTACCGTCCCAAGTTTGTGCCTGCAGGCAGATCCAAAAGAATCTATTTGTGGTAAGTGGCACAGTATACAAATATTGTTTGCATCAATAATGTGTTTTTGAAGAAAATATTAAATGGATTGAGATTGACTTGGGAAACTTTCCACTAAGAAAACTTAGGAAAGAAGTTCTGGTTCATGATATGGATAAAGATTTGGGAAGCCTGATTCTTATCCAGTGAAAGGAAAATAATTTATCATATCGAAATGCTGGCAAAATACCACAATACCAATTCTTGAAAGAGTCACAATTACCTGTCGTGGGTGTTGAAAGTGAATGATACGTCAGAAAGCAAGCTTCCAAATCTTTCAGTGTTGGACCCATAGGTATTCGATATATGGGATACCTACAAAATTCAACCAGAGCAGTTGAATTTTGGTCCATACAAGGCAACATAATAGTAAAGATAACATTTTCTTACCAAGCCACTGACATCCAACTTCCTGGCAGTAAGTCACAACTTCTTAATGTCTTCAACCCAGGGTACTGGCATGCTAGATCTGATATCTGTTAAAAATCACAATAATATATATTAAATAAGGCAATAATAAACTAGCCAAAATATACTGCAGCAAAATAATAAACTCGCCTTGTCAGCCAATGGTTCTCGGCCATATGGAGCATCCTGCTCAAGAAACTCAAAAAGCAGGACACCACAAGAGTTCCCAGCTTCTCCATCATCACTAGAAAAGCCTTCTTGTAACAAAGGGTGTCCATCATGTATGGACAACCCGCCCATTCTAATAGGAACATCCGTGTTTAAACGGTGAAGAGCTTGCTGCTCCTTAGCGGTCTTTTTGTGTTTCTCAACTTCATAATCACTGCTTGCATCACTACTCGAATCCAAATCGTAGTCAACATAACTGTCCTCACCAACTTGCCTAATCAAACAAGAGAAAATCAAAACCCAGTTAGATGCCAATAGACCATATCACACACTCGAATATATATTATCATGAATAACATAAGACTACATGAGACAAAAAATCATAACAAGAAATGCATAAAAAATGAATAGACATGGAACAAAAAGAGAGCAGAAGAGTGGGGAACAGGGCGAAGAATGGCAGAAATTTGAGAAATTGAGATTCTATAAAAATGAAACTGAACATAATCAACACATAAAGTTTCCAAGCACCAAATCATTATCTATCACAGTTTGTCACCATAACTTTACAACAGAAATTTGATCAATTAAGCATCCTAGATATGAATGTACAAAGTGATATGATTCTTCATCAGAAAAAGTTTGATGGTGATGACCACATCTACATAGATAGTACTAGTTTATTGAAGAAAAAGATTGGATCAGCAGCGCATGATACATTGTATGATTAAATTTCATGAAAACAAATAGTACTAGTCATGGAATGTCGACAATAAAGCATCATACTGATATTTCTGAATAGAACCAATGTCCTGCGCACCAAATCATTTAAAATAAGATTGCGTGTAACTAAATAATCATTGTAAACAACACGTGTGCAACAAAGAAAGCAAATTCAACTGGATTTCAGAACAAATATTTGTGCATCAGAATTGCTGGTATTGTCCAAAGATTACAAACTAGCATCCAAATGTATGAATGCAACCAGAATTTTTTTAATACCTTGACTTTGCATTTGACTTCACAGAAGATTCCCCATATAATTGGATACCAGATAAATAGGGAACATAATATTGAATAACAGAATCACTTTTGTTAAGTACCAATGGCACTCCTGCCCCATATGCACTCCACTCCCTAAACGATTCCCAAAGATCATTCAATGTGAAGTAAGGCTGAAACTCAACATTGCAAGTCCTCCACCCCCTCATTGTCGTCTGCACCAAAAGAAACAATCTTTTAGAGGATTGCAAAACTAAGTAACTCCTCATTGAAATAACAAAACAGTGTAGTAGAAAGGCAATAAATCTTATTCTGAAGTTGTTTTTGCACCTAAGCGTAGCTTATAATTATCTCAAGTCCTAAGTTACGGAAACTCCAAAGGTAAAAAGTCTCATTTTCTACACGTTCTCGTATATTTTGGCATCAGCAAAACATGCCGTCTGAGAAACCAACTAGACGTGGTCAAAATCTTTGCTTCATTTGTTCAAGGCTTGGCAAGTGCAGCCCCTATTATTCTCCCACATATGGAAAACCCAACAACAAAAACTCAGTTTCCTTCACATTTTCAGACAATCTTAGAGCAGCCAAATACAAAGCACGACAGATAAAACATAAAGATATGATCAACCTTAGAGAAATACTGCGCAGGAACTGAAGGAGTGGTGGACTCCAAGAGCCTGTCAAGATTACTACTAGGCTTTAGAGATGACTCAGAAGAAGGCTTTGGCAATGTATTTGGAGGTTCTTTGGGGCTTCTTTTCTCAGAAACCACTACTTTGCTCTTTGGAAGCTCTTTGGGGTTCTCGTTTGCATCATTCTTGGCTTTCCTAGCTTGCTTTTGCTGATTATTGTATCTCTTTCTTGCTTTCACAGGAATGTAAAACCTGTCCTCCCCACGTACATTTCCAAACTGTAACCCACTTCCCAACATTTGCACAGCTCAGACCTTTTCAAATAAAACTAGTACCTCCGCTTGGTTACTGAGAAAACGGAGGAAACTACAATGAAAAGGCAGGAACTTTGCAATATACTCTGTTTTTTTCTTTACTTGTTGGTTCTCAAGAAAGAAAAATTCAAAACCCAACTCACCCAAATTGAAAACAAATAAAAAGAGGTGTTTTGTGAGTGATTCTTTAGCTCATCAAAGTCCCAAATTAGTACTAGATATATATAAGATGCTGATATTTATAGAAGGAAAGCGATCATTCGTCCGGGATTTCTAGCGATTTCTCGGTAACCAAAAACAGCATAGAAAACTCAAATTTAAAATTGAAAAAAAAAAAAAAAAAAAAAAAAAAAAAAAAGAAAAGCAAGTCGATTGCAAGATCAAAGAAACTCACAAAGCCCGAAAGCGTTGTATGATTAAAAGAAAAAACCGGAAAATAGGATCGGAAAGCTTCAAAGCCTAGAGAGAAAGCACTGCGGATTAAATGAGAGCCGAATGAATGGGTTTTGTGGGAAGGAAGAAAGAAACAAAGCCTGAAGGAAAGCACCTAGAGAGGGGAAGCTTGAACCAGTGTGTCTTATAAACGAAGACGAAGATAATAATAATTTCTTATTTTATTACAAGTTTATTTGTTTGTTGGTAATATTGGTTTTGGTTATTGTGGTAAATGAATTAATAAAATATTTTGGGAAGGAAATAGGTGATGTGCAGTAGTTGCACAATTGTGATTGGTGGGTTAATTTGTGACCTGGCATTTACAGTTTACTTTACATTGGCACGTGCAAGGCACGAGGCTCAGGAGTAGGTGGTGTGGTGGTACGTGCACACTTGCAATCAAGTGAGAGCTACCAGCCTACTAACACGCAAGATTATGATTAAGCTCACTCATAAATTTCTTCATTATTGTGATTTTTTTTTAATCTTCTTTGGTAATTTATAAATAGTGAGCTTTTTGGGTCATATTCCAAAAAAGAAGAATAAATAAATAAATATTCCTTTGAATTTGGGTAACTTTTTCATTAGAATTTTTTGGCTTTCTATATTTTGTGTACTGGTCAGCAGTTTTGACCACTCAAATTTTCAATAGTTGAAATGGAACGTGTCATTGAGGAAGGGTAATGGATTTTAATGTACTTAATGTTTGTTCATATTGAAACGAGTTGTTGAGTTTGGTCATATTGAAACGAGTTGTTGAGTTTGGTCATTTTTTTTCTTTGGTCATAGACTTACAGGTTGTGTTTGGTTCACAAATGCAAACTATGACGTTGCAATTTTGTTTGTACAATGCCCAAAATAAAATTGTTATAATAATTTTATAAACATATATGTTGGTTTTCAGGACAACTAATTGTTATAATGACAGTTGGATTCTTAATTAATACAGAACTACTGAGCTCACGTGCTCTCTCCTTTCCTCTTCTTCATCGTGCAGCAACCTATATTTTTTGTCTGAATTTTGAGCTTGGTAGAATCATGCAAAATAAATCATATTGAATGTTAGGTTTAACCGAAAATGGTAGAAATATAGTTGACAACAGTGAGGTAAATTTGGGTTGTGGGTTGTGTGTTAGATAGAGAACGCCCAGGAAAACAACCAACACGAATAGAAAATAGAAAATAGAAATGGTATTTGATTGGTTAGTGCATTAACTTGGTTTGATAATATTTTGCAAGATATGTGCAATGTCCCAATCAATGAAGGAAGAAGGAAGATGGGATAGGACCCAAGTATTTAGTGGCAGAAAGGGAGACAATGAGGTTGACTCGTGGCCCTACTCTTATCAACTCAACTATATGTTACACAAAATTAAGTGATAAGACAATATACATGCTTCATCCAACAACAAAAATATAATATACATGTAACACACATGTAATCTACCAGAAAAACTTGTATGAAAATGAGAATAGCACTGTTTTGTTATACTTTTTCAATCACAAACTGACTCATGGAAAAGTTATCACGCTTGGTATACCGTGATTGGCCGGATATAGCAAAATAGTATTATCATCGTTTCGTCTAAGTGTTTCTATACTCCTCTTGGGTTTGGTGGGTTATTATTTTTATTTTTATTCCTTTTGAAAAAATGATATTATAAACTTGGTCGGGGGGCAGCCAATATCCCCATCATTGTCCAGGAAGGACTTGACCAAATGTTGTTCATGAAGCCACTCAACTTGGTCAACCCTGGTTCTTTACAAGGCATAGACATGCATAGATTGATTTTCCCAAACACAATATGTGGCACCACAGAGATCCATAATGATTGATCAAGTTGAGGCACAAAAGAATACTTTGCATGATGCTCCTGTCCTGGTAAATCACAAAGCTTAGCATACAAGTTACAACCAACAGCAAGCTTAGTTTGATTTCACAAGTGAAGGGTCTCAATTCTTTAACTATGAACTTGAAACTACACAAACTAACCCAAAAAAAACCAGTCAATGTAGTGCAGCAGATTTCCCTTTTTTCACATAATTTTAGCAAAGATACCCATCTGGTCTATGCCCAAATTCATGCCTTTGGTTTTCGAAGAAGGAAGATAAGGAGGAGCATGAAGTGCAATGAGTGCTGCAACTAAGCCAGCATTGCTTGATATGCTAGGCTCAGTGAACTCTTGTTTGTCCCTTTGATCTATAAAGTTGTCAAATTGGTCAGGTCCTGCTACCATGGCTCCCAAAAGCAAATTGGGATTTGGGTCTTTGGAGAATTGCCATCTATCTTCTCCGTCTTTGCAAGAGTAATATTGACCATCCCAAGGGATTGATGCGCTCCTATGGTGCACTTGGCTTGGAAACTTATCTCCAAACCCAACCATGTAGCTCATCTTCATTGGATTTTCTCCTAGAATGTAATTTACCTGAAAACAATGCATGCAGATTGAAGACTATAATAATATAATTAATATATGCAATGCAATATTACATGCCTGAGACGTGGAGAAATTACGCAGCATATCCAGGGAAAAGCCGAAACCTCCGCAACTCCTACCAGAACTCCGCAGAAGATCAAGGTAGTCGCTGTACAATTTACTAAGAAAGGATGCTGTTGCGGCATACTCCAGACGAGCTGCCCCAAGATTAGGCCATTGGATGATCAATCCACCTGCATTCATTTAGGATTTTTGAGGCACATGCATTTCATCTTTGAAGTGAAGCATCATATCAACATGTAGATCTAGGCATCCATTCCATTTCCATATATTAATACCTGGTGTCATTTTCTGAGAAGAAAGATAAGAACACATGAGGGAGTCCGTCATGTCCGAGGATGCGCCTAAAGAAGCTTCATACGGGAAGCCAAGATCACGAAAAAATTGCAGACGCGTTAGCAACACCTACAATATTATGTATGCAGAACTGTGATCACAAAGCTTATCTATTTCTGAAACTTCCCAGATTGATTATTTGCAACGAAAATTACCGCGTTAGCAGTAAGCTTGTTGTTCCAGTAGAAAACCCCTTTATCAGCACTTGTTTCATTCCCCACTGCATAGTCAAATTCTTCTGTGGCATATCCTAGATATGAATTGTCACCAGTAGCAAAAAATAGCCATGTTCCTCCCCAGACCAGTTCATCTTGGTGACCAGATGAGTTATAAAAATTTCTAGCTTCTCCTCCACAAGCATCAACCTTGGTGTATGTTCCTTGCCTAGCAGGGTCTAGCTTAGTAATTGCACTCTCAAATAGCTTCTCAGCTGCTGTGACTAATTCTCCCGAGTAAACATTGTCTTCTTTAAACACTAATGAAGCAGCTGATAATGCTGCAACAATTTCCCCTGCTAAATCGGAAGCTGTGTTATCGCAAAATGAAACAGTTCTCTTGTAGTCCATGTCTTCAGGTCTTTGCCAGCAGTTTATATCATTAGGAACCTTGGCATCGCTGTTTGCACTTCCAATCTAAATTGAAAAAAAAAAAAAAAAAACAATAAAATGAATCACTATATTGTCACAATTATAATGTTCATGAAAAAGGATTATTAATTATGGTACAAAATTGTTCATAAGGCTTGCCTGAGAATACAATATGGTATCTGAAGTTGTGTTAGGGGGAACAAAGAGTTTGAGCAAATAATCACTTCCCCATTTGATTATGTCCTTGACATGATCAAGCTCAACAATATCAGCATACTTGTCATGATATTCAATCACACTCCAACTCAACAGAGTTACAGTATAAGCTGTAGGGAAGCTGAATTTTATGTTGTTGCCAGAATCATAGAAACCACCCTCAAGATTAGCCGGTTTACTGCCTGAGTTCCCATCTTGCAATCCCGAACTTGCTCGAAATTTTACCGGACTGTTATTGGGGTACACCCCAGCTGATGAAGAAGAATTTTTCAGCAAATTAGATGAAAAATTAATTATATGGCAAATCCTATAATGTAACTGTTTCTAATAAAATGCATATGATGGTAGAAATATATTACACTTTTGAGCATCGAAGAACGTTAGAGCTTGGTTCAATGCAAGTGTAAGATTCTTTGAAGGACGATCGTGATGATGTTTTGAAGGCAAAAAGTGTAGCAGTAAAAGTAGAGCTAGGATAAGAAAGACTGTGGAGACAGAAATGTAAAGACAACGTTTAAAGTACTTTTTATCTGTGATAACAAGATTGTATTGGTAGGACTTGGAGTACCGAGAAGGGATTGAATCGTTGGCCATGGTAGACTGAGGAAGAAGGTTAAAGTCAATTTCTATAGAATTCCAACGACTTGCGGAAGGAAGCAAACGGCGGGCCTCTGAAGTATGAACAAACCTCACAGGTTCTAAGTCTGATGCAGAAGTATGTGAGACAGTGTAGGAACCTAGAGAAGATGGCATTGCTTGCTGTCAACCTGGGAGGTGGTGTTGTAGGTAGGATAGAGCAAATGTCACTGAAAAAAGAAGGGAAATGTTTTGGTGTATTCTAAATATTTGCCCTTCTCTCTGTGGTTTTTTTATGCTGCATTGGCATTAATTAGGTCTCCATCATCAAATTCAAATGTGGATAGAAACTAAATAAATCTTAAGTTTCAAGTAGTATAAAATTACTTGCTGTAGTTATTCACAATGAAACGGTTTCTTGATAAAGCAGAAGCATGAGCTAGCTAAACCACAAAATTTCGATACTATCAAAGAGAATGAATCGTTGGCCGGCAATTCAATTTACATCAGAAAACAGTTAAAAGAAACCAATTTACTTATAATAATTCAAGTAACTAAAAGCTGGTGAGTAGTGTCTTCTAATCCAAATACAAGGCAAGGCAAGAAAAAACAACTGAAAATAAAAATCAGTGACATGAGAACAGTTTCAGCAGATGGTTACTAACTACTGGTTAGTGCGTGGCATATATTAATACGATACTGTTGTTGGGATTGAGAGCTCAGCTTTCGGCCTCTGTATATATGCAAAGAAGGATCAAAAGGGACCAAAAACTTTTCTTAGGATAGGACCATGGGTGGGCTTGTTTGACTTCTTTCTACAACATTTTTCTAGTTGTTATGAGTCATGACCAAGAAACCATTCATTCACTCTCAAAATCAAAACCTAAACAAAACTATGGGCACGGCCTGACTTATTTTCTCTCACTCAGGTAACCAAACGCGTTTAATAGTGAAAATTGAACACAAGTTGTTTGGTAATTGATTTCCGTTTTCATTTAGGTTTATTTTGAAATTAGTTATCATTTTTTTTTAACTGAAAATTAAAATTAAGTATCAAACACATTTTCAGTTTTCAGTTTTCCAAAAAGTGAAAACGAAAAGGATATCAAACAGCTCCTAAGTTTATGACGTTCATGATTTAGGTCTTTAAATTATTATAATGAACCAAATGAAGTGAAATGTAAAGAAAAAAAAAAAAAAAAAAAAAAAAAAAAAAAAAAGACAGTTCTAAATGTAGAGAGTCATAATTCAATTCAACTTTCTTGGATGATTAAAACTTTGGAATATTTTGCACTTGTATTACTTGTATCGATTGATTTCATTAGATAGAAAAGAAATGGGCATTGACTTGAGTGAGTGTCTACGCAATGCAATACTGGGAAGTTGCTAATCTATATGATAAGAGCATTTCCAGCAGTTTGCCCCTTGCTATGGCAAGGGGAGCCCTAGAGTAGCTACTATTCATGTGAATAGTGGCTGCCCTAGCCCCCAAACAAAGTGTGTTTTCAGCAGTTGCCCTTTGCCATAGCAAATACTATTCTTTCTTTTTTTCACAACTTTTTTTACTTAAACAATTAATTGGATAATATTTTCGGATAAGATTTTTGGGTTCCTACGTGTCAATACTATTCATATCGGATAAGATTTTATTTTATTAGTTGTATTGGTTGGTATTTATAGAAAGAAAAAAAAAGTATGAGGATTTGGTGTTAAAAGTGAAGAGTATTGATTGGTATTTATAGACACTGGCGGACCCATAATTTTTTTAGCGGAGGTGCAATATTGACTAAGTATGAAAAATGGTTTTCGGAATAATCATTTTCTCAAGATAATTTTTGGCGACTTTTATTCCTTATACATCAAATAAGAAAACTTGATTTTATGGGATTTTAATATGAAGTATATATTGACTTAATGAGCCATCATTTTTAGCCTAAATCGTATTTTGCACTAAAACCGATTTTTCATATTTTGATTTGGTGAGAATTTGATTTTCTAGTATTTTTATTTGAATCCAAATGGGGGGTATTTCCTTATTTACATTGTAAACTTAAGTAAATTGAGTAATATAAAAATAAATAAAAGTAAAAGGATAAAGACATTTACTTAAAGAGTAATGCTAGGCTTACCACACTTTTCATACCACAATTGTACCACCTCTCTAATAGAGGTAGAGCCCACCAATACAATGGGGCCCACCTCTATTAGAGAGGTGGTATAATTGTGGTATGAAAAATGTGGTAAGCGTAGCATTTTTGTTACTTAAATATTGAAAATGGAAATAAGGTATAAAGAAAAAAGAAAAAAAAATCAGTAATTTTTTTGGTATTTTTTTAAATTTTTTATTGTACAAAAATTAGCTACCATTGGATTGCTGGAAAAAATTTAATCGGAGAGCTCAGCACACGCCACGTGGACAATTAAAAAAAATTTGGACGCAGGACTGAAGTCGACGTGACGTCTCCTCGAGCCAGCCCAATTCACTGGGTCCCACTCCTTGCCCGGGCTATTTTTTGTTGTTGAAAACAACATTTTGGGCTTGCCCCCACTAGCGGCTAGCCCTCCCCCTTACTGGAAATGCTCTAAGAGCATTGGTAGCAAGGGGCCCAAGGGGAGGGTTGGGGGGAGGGGGGGCAAACCCAAAATGTGATTTCCAGCAACAAGAAGCTGCCAGGGCAAGCAGTGGAGCCCACAAACCTGGGCAAGCCCGAGGGGGAGGCTGGCCCAAGCTCCAGCCCGCAGGCTGTGATGACGTCAGCGCTGCTGTTTAAATTTTTTTAAAGCTGGCGCGTGCAATGCACGCGCACTACAGTAGCCGCCCAACGGCATGATTCCACGTGTCGCATGCTGGGCCATCCGAGCTGCTTTTTAAACTTATCCAACGGCAGCCATTTTTTCGCGAATAAAAAATTCGAAAAAGCAACCCCCAACGGCTCTATGCCACGTGGAAGCTCATGGGCTCTCCGATTAGTTTTTTGCCCAATAAAAAAAATGAAAAAAAAATCGGAAAAAATTTTAAAAAATACGAAAAAAATATTGAATTTTTTTTTCTATAAATACCAACCAATACTCTTCACTTTTAACACCCAACTCTTCATACATTTTCTTCTCATTCTACTATTTTTCACTTTCTAGTCAAATTTTTTTCAATTTCTTGTTTTTTTCTCTCTTTCAAGTTGTTTTTTTCTCTATCATATTATGGGTTCTTCTAGTGAAACCGGATGAGAGGCATGGAGCATGACGGAAGATATTAGCTTGTGTGAGGCTTGGCTCCAAGTTAGTCATTGTCCCGTAACGGGCAATGAGATCAAATTCTGTCATATGTGGAAAAAAATTCATCAGGAATTTTGTGAAAGGGTAATTGGTTCGACCCGTATAGATCAGGCATTATCTAGTAGGTGGAAAATTCTTAATAAAGAGTTGGGAAAATGGAGAGATGCCTTGACAAAAGCGATGAACAACCATAGAAGCGGGGAAAACCTTAGCAGTGAGGTAAATTATTTGTAATTTTTTACGCATTCTACTCATTCTTGCTCGCCTTTCTCGCTCTTGCCTCTCCAAAACCTCTTCCATGTCGTCTGACATTGAGAATAGAGAATGAAATCTAAAATATGAGAAATGAAGATGTAGAGAAGATATGGTGTGGGAGGTATGAGCTGAGCCTCTGTATTTATAGAAAAATTTAGGCAGATAGAGATGACACGTGGCGCAATTTTAGATGGTGAAAATCTTATCTGAAATTTGAAATTCACATGAAATTTGAAATTTGAAATTTATCTGGAATTTGAATTTTGAAATGTATCTGAAATTTGATATTTTGAATTTATCTGAAATTTGAAATTTTGAAATTTATCTGAAATTTGAAACCGAAAATCTGATCCGATATGAATAGTATTGACACATAGGAACCCAAAAATCTTATCCGAAAATATTATCCAAATTAATTGTTTAAGTAAATAAAGTTGTGAAAAAAACAAAAAAATAAATAGTATTTGCCATGGCAAGCCTTGCATTGCTGGAAACACAATTTTTTTGTGCTAGGGCAGCCACTATTCACGTAAATAGTACCCGCCCTAGGACTCCCCTTGCCATGACAAGGGGCTAACTGGTGGAAGTGCTCTAATAAGACTTACAAATTATATTCAAAAGCTTTATTTGGTACACAAATAATATTCAGAAAAATTAAAATTAAAAAGCAAGATATGGTGTGTGATCACGTCAAGATTTGACAATGATCTTTTTGTCTTCCTTGAGATGCTGCATGTCTCATACATTTGTCGCAACTTGAACTTGACTGGGCTTCATTTGGACCTGTGAACAAAATTATAAAATGCACGCTACCGATACCTATTGCAATTGGTATTGTTGACCCAGTCATCTTAGCTACTCCTGCTCCTGCAGCAGGTACATGAGAAAAATGGTATGTAATTCAAACACGCACAAGTAGAAACCATAAAGAGTTGAGTTCAAACTTCAAATCAAATCCTTTACCATTAACAAACACAGGGAGGGACCCGTCATCCCTGAAATATAAACAAAAAATTGCCCAAACTGAACTCCTGTGCCTATCAATGGAGGCTTCTTCCTTTGTCATCATCATTCAACAATAATCAATATCAATTAGGCCTCCTTCAGTTGCTTAATAACAACAAGCGTCGGTGCGGTGTCACACTGAAAAATTTGTCATACTTCTCAACGTAGCTCTTTGGTGTTCAATAAAATAAGATACACGTGGGATTAGGATGGCCTTTATTTTAGTTTTTTTATTTTGTGGGTCATACTTCTGAATGCAGTTCTTTGGTCATCCTTTGATTGTTTATCTATATAGACTTGTCTTTTCAATTGAATGATTTCCTTTTTTTTTTTTTTTTTTTTTTTTTTTTTTTTTTTTGGTTAATGGAAATAAAAAAATATTAAGCAACTTACGCATAGGAAAAGTCGAAGTCAATGATAAGCCGTCGTTTCGTCAGTCTCTATATATCTGTCACGAAGAAAACCCACCCACTTTCTTTGATCCTCAGAATAGATAATAGGTTGCCTGTTTGAAATACTATTGCATAACAGTAGCTTTCCATCTGCTTCATGTTTTCTGAACGTGATAAGGTGGTAGGAACATCATTTACTTCTCATCAAACTGCTATTAATTCTCCATCTCCAATTCTAATTTTCTCCATGAGCTTCTGCAGATGACCATGCCCACAGCCCACATCTTCCTAAGACTACCCATCCTCTTCATCACCTTCAACTTGATCGCAGCGTTTATCCCCTCTGCTCTTTGCGATGACGATGCTCAATACGCAGAGTGCCGCAATACCTACGACTGCGGTTCGCTTAAAAACATATCCTACCCTTTCTGGGCAGCCAACAGTCGGCCCCAACACTGCGGGCGAGAAGGCTACCAACTCACCTGCCGAGATGATCAAAAAACTGTTATCAGAATTGAAGACCAAGATTTCCTTGTCTTGGACATTAGCAGGGAAGTTTACATCATCACAATTACTCGCCTAGACCTCTGGGACAGTCCTTGCCCTAGCAGGCTCGTCAACACCACTTTGGACTACGATCGTTTCGCTTACGTTCAAGCTGTCCGGAACCTGATTTTGTACTACGGATGCGTTCCTCACAGGGAGACAATCCCAAATAACTTTACTTGCAAAATAGAGGGTACCCAAAAGGATCTTGCGTTCTATATAGACGACTCTATCTCGAGGCTTACTCCTCATCAGAATGAGACCATGTGCTTCAACAATATCAGTGTCCCCATAATGTGGACGGGTGTTGATCTTCTGCATCAGAATCCCACGGTGGACGTACTGCAACAAGTTTTGAAGCAAGGCTTCAAGGTTGAGTACAAGGCCAACTGGGAGCTCTGTGGGCTATGCATGCGCTCTAATGGAACCTGCGGATCCAACAACACCACTGACTCTTTTCTCTGCTTTTGCGGGGGCCATCCTTATGAGGAAACCTGTCCAAATTCTGGAGGTACGCATGTCAATTCCTTCTTATTTTTTCCCTGTTCATAATTTTCCTGGTTTAGCCTTTTTTAGTTTGGAGTTTCCATTAATTAGTCAGAATTTGGAGATACCACTTCAGATTACGAACTTTTAATTAGAAATGGGATGGCTGAATAAGTTGTAATTAACCCCCCGTAGAAGAAATGATTAGTTAAGTAATTATAATTACAGAGAACTAAAACGTATGATCCTTTTGTCTGTCCCAAGTCATTCTCTTTGCTCTGCTTTAGCCTCTACCTCATCAACAAGTTTTGTTATCTTTGCTCTGGTTTTATTTCATCTTGAGTTTGTTGGTTAATTAGAGCCTTTTCCTATTCCATTTCCATCTGAATTCAGATATTGGTTGCATATAAACCTTCCCTGAGTGAACATAGACACCAGAAGTGATGCTATTTGACTGGTTACCCTTCCCTGTTGATAAAATAAAAATAAAATAAGGACAACCCATAAGGTCTGCTAACATGGTTGGTAAATGCCACGTATGCATTGACCAGGTCAACGGTCCACCAGAGAATAATGGAATTCAACAAGGCGTCTGTTGATTTTAAATAGTTCACACTGCACTGCACGCCAACCTTGGCACTATAATCATAAGTCCGCATACAATTTCTCCACTTCTGATAGAGATTAGGTTTACCAATTTGCAAGGGATTTGTAGCTTAAGTAGTTAAGAGCAGTTAGCTCTGCACCTGAGGTCTTGCGTTCGAATCCCCTATCCCCAATAACGTTTGTAACTAATTTTTGTTGGTCAAGATAGGAATTAGAGTTAAGTATATGATAATTTATTATGCGTTTGATTTGATCACATTGAATAACGAATTATTCTGGAACATAATTAGGATGCCAATATTATACTACTAGTCATGTTGCCAGGTGAAAATGAAATCCAGTATAAGTCTTCGATTAAGTGCACATCTCCGTCATCTTGGACTTGGATCAATAGTTTCTCTCCTTGTTACTTTTAAGCCCAAACAAAGTCTCTGTCTACACTTTCGGTTCAACCAACCACAACTCTCAAAGCAAAGTCGTCCACCAATGTCTCTAGTGCTGCACCACTCATTCATTCCTTTAGAAATTCACCGAATTTTGGTTTTCCTCTTTCTTTTTTTCTTCGGAGATTTAGCATTGATTTTTCCAAATCCCATTCCTTTTAATAAAAAAGAAAGGTCAGCAGCGATGGTATGCCAAAATTATATATACTTACACTAAATATCGCTGAATAATTAGTGGCGCTTCTATTTTTCTACGAAATTTCCAGCATTTGCCGAATTTTATACGAAAAAGCCACTAAACTTTTAAAACGATGTCTTATTTTGTATGATTCTCTCTTATGGTCCTGTGTGGGTACCTTCCCACCAAAAGCTGTCATCATTTGTGGACGGTGTTGCTCCTTTGCCATGAAATAATCGACTAGTTATACGTTTCCCATGGCATGGAGGATGCACTTCTATCACTTCTATCAAAATCTATTTTTAAAGCTTTTTGCTTTAAAAGTCCTTGCTGTTGCTTAAACCATTGGTTTGTTTAGTCAAGTCTCCTCTTTTTCAAACTCCAATCAGAGAATCAGACGCCTACTACCAAGAATTTTCCACAATCTGTTCATTTCTAACTCTCATTAATTTCACCATATGCTTTCTTCTCTGTTTCTTGATCATCCACTCCAAATGTATCTCCTCCTCCTCCAAAGCCACTTCAAAGGCAAAATACCTTTCCATGTATGTATTATCACCATCATCTTCACAACCTTAGCCAAGCGAACTTCCTCTCTAGACCAAAGCTACGAGGTCTGCAAGCCTCAAACATGTGGAAATGGTCCGAATATAAGCTACCCCTTTTGGCTTTCTGATCGACAAGAGTCCTTCTGTGGCTACCCGAGCTTCAAGATCGCCTGCGATGGAGAAAATCCAGTACTTAGTATTTCCGACGATGATTATATCATTAAAGATATCTTCTACTCAAACCATTCATTCGTGCTGGCTAACGCTGTTGTGTATCGTGATAAATGTCCACGCCCTCTGCACAACTTTAGCCTTGATCGAACACCTTTCAGTTATAGTTCTTCTGATCATATTGATTTTTCCTTCTTCTACAATTGCGACAAAGAGCCTAAAGAGTACATGCATCCATATCTAATTGACTGTGCTAGCAATGCCAGCCATCATTCATTTGCTATTTTTCACAAGGAGGTAGTGGAGGACATGAACTACTCATGCCTGTCTCCGGTGAATTTGCCTGTTGATGTGGCTGTTGGTGTCGAGGCCTTGTTGCAAATGAAATACACTGAAATCTTGAAGATGGGGTTTCTTTTGAATTGGACTGCACAAAATTGCAGCAAATGTGAGAAGAGTAGCGGGCGCTGTGGATTCAAAAACAATGAATTTGTCTGTTTTTGCAGCGACCGGCCTCATTCCCAAAGCTGTGACCATGGTACTTCTGTAGAAGCATCACTATTAGTAATTCTTGACATTTTCCAAAAACAGCAGTGGAGGTTTCTTCTGTAGTATTTGCAAGGTTTATAATCCATCAGCATGAATAGCTGGTTTAGAAAACGAACGAGATCAGTTGGATTAATTAAATGTTATGATGTTATGTTTGGTTTTACCCCTAAAGTTTGTATCACTTATATTCTAAGAATTCTGCTTCTTTGATTGCTTTTGCAGACAATTCGTGGAACTGGAAAAGAAAGATTGTTATAGGTAATATATCAGCAACCTCCTCCTTTCCTTCAGTTGTTTGATGTTCTACCACATTTCCCAATTAGATTATATTCACTCGTCATCTATTCATGAATTGCCATCTCTGATCTCTCCCTTGTCCCCAGGTGTTTGCACAGCTGTTGCTACTGTACTTATAATGTGTGTTGTTTTCTTTGTATACCAACGCCGCAACAGAAAACAATATGCTCCATCATCCTTTGTATCTCGAAGCATCTTTTCTAAACAAACTTCCACGGATGATATGGAGAAGGGGAGTACCTACCTTGGAGTGCATTTGTTCACATATAGGGAACTTGAAGAAGCAACTAATTATTTTGATTCAGCCAAAGAACTCGGTGATGGAGGCTTTGGCACAGTGTATCATGGTAACAGCTTACACCCTTTTATCCTTAAAATCACTCAGTTTTGTTAAGCATTTTATGAAACTTGTTATTCTTAATTTGTAAATTTCTTATACAGGAAATGTCCGTGATGGGAGAGCCGTTGCAGTCAAGCGTCTATATGAAAACAATTGCAAGAGAGTTGAGCAGTTCATGAATGAAATTGAGATTTTAGCTCGTCTGCGCCACCAAAATCTTGTCTTGCTCTATGGTTGCACCTCTCGCCACAGCCGTGAACTCCTCCTTGTATATGAATACATTCCTAATGGAACTCTTGCTGAGCATCTTCATGGTGAAAGAGCAAAACCTGGTGCACTGCCATGGCTTACTCGAATGAACATTGCCATAGAAACTGCAAGTGCATTGTCATATCTTCATGCATCTGATATTATCCACCGTGACGTGAAAACGACGAATATTCTCCTTGACAACAACTTCTGTGTCAAAGTAGCGGACTTTGGACTATCTCGCCTCTTCCCCACGGATGTCACCCACATCTCAACTGCTCCACAAGGAACTCCAGGTTATGTTGATCCTGAGTATAACCAATGCTACCAGCTTACTAGTAAGAGTGATGTCTATAGCTTTGGGGTGGTCATGATTGAGCTCATATCATCCCTGCCTGCTGTTGATATCACAAGGCATCGACATGAGATCAATTTGTCAAACATGGCTATCAACAAGATTCAAAACCATGCGTTGCATGAGCTAGTAGACACATGCCTAGGGTTTGAATCAGACTACAGAATAAGAAAAATGATAATTGCAGTGGCAGAATTAGCATTTCGGTGCCTGCAAAGTGACAAGGACGTGAGACCTTCTATGCCTGATGTGCTAGATGAGCTAAAGAGGATACAGAGTAAGGATTTTGATAAAGAAAAGGCAGAGGAGATTGATATTTCAACCGATGATGTTGTGTTGTTAAAGAGTGATCCACTGCCTCCCCCCCTAGATTCTCTGGCATTAAATTGGATTAGCAGCTCTACAACACCGAACGGTAGCGGTTAAAGTTTTTCCTTGTCAATTTTCTAAGTTTAACATACGCCAAATGTCATGGCTTTCATTTCGTATTCATGTACAAAACTTGTGATTTTGCTGAATGAGTTGTAGATATTATGTGAGAGCCGACAGAGGTATGCTAAGGTCCCATGTATAGTGCAGTTAGGCTACATGGTTTATCTGTTTTCTTTCAACCAGCTAATATTTTTAACAATTCAATTGTTTATTCGTTAAATGCGTTGTCTATTAGCAAGTCATCTAGTAAAGACAAATTTCCTTAATACAATTCCAGAAATCAAAGCTGACTGAAACAGAACTGCAAAACAAACTACATTGACATGCTGATGATGGATAATATGATAACATCTGAGCTGTAACTCCAATTGGCATTCGGCTGTTTGCTTTAGAACCGAGTTGGGATCAACACATAGACAAAACTGAAACCCACTCACTGGAGTCCCAATTGTTCTACACCTCCAGTTCAAATATCCTGCAGTTTAGCCTTCAATTCAATGTCTAGAAAATGCAGTTGGCAAATCTGTAGTTTATCATAACTTCTTCTACATTCAAAATAGTGCTTTTAGGAAAGGTTAGCTCTCATATGAGCAACAAAGTACAAAACAAGATAGAGCTATGACCAAAAAGAAAAAAGTGAAGCGGAAAATCTTATTAGAATGACTTTAAATTGACTAGGAACTGAATCACCCAAAACACGTACAGTACACCAATTAATCTAGAAAATATATTAACATAAAAGTGAGAAGGTGGAAGATTCTGATTCTGCTGGTGTTCTTATAGGAGAAGTTAGGAAAGGCTTTGGTGGTATTTGCAAGGCTTCAATGTTTCCTTCCAGCATTTCAATCACTTTACTCATGGATGGCCTATCTGATGGCTTTGTCTGTATGCACCACAACCCCACCAAAATCATCTTCCTTGCAAGTTCATTTTCCTCTTGGGTCATAGGATTGGGCAATCCTAAATTGCTGCCCTGCTCTAGATGCTTATAAATCCAATCCGGAAAAAAAGCATCAGTGGTGTGGCTCACTTGAACATCGCTGTTCTTTCTTCCTCCAGCCACCTCCAGAATCATCATTCCATAACTATAGACATCGGACTTAACAGAGACTCCTCCAAAGTTTCTACAGAACACTTCCGGAGCTATGTACCCTATTGTCCCTCTTGCATCCAACATTGACATAATACTCTCCTTCAGGCAAAGTTTAGAAAGCCCAAAGTCAGAAATCTTTGGGCAAAAGTTGTCATCCAAAAGGATATTATGTGGTTTTATGTCAAAATGCAAAATTCGTGTGTTGCATCCACGGTGCAAGTACTCGAGCCCTCGAGCTATCCCAATAGCAATTTCAAATAGTTTTTCCAGTTCCAAGTGTGGAGTGGTTTTCAAAGAATTTTCTTTGTAGATGAACTTCTCAAGTGATCCATTGGGCATGAACTCATATATGAGAGCTTTTTTCTGACCTTCAAAGCAATACCCCAACAGAGTGACAACATTAACATGGGAAGTTCTACTAATGCTTGCAACCTCGTTTATGAAGTCTTCTCCATTCCCTTTGGATGCATTAAGAACCTTCACAGCCACAAGACAACCATCCCGTAGCTTACCTTTGTACACATCACCATAACCCCCTTGACCCAGTTTATCTTTAAATGAGTTGGTCATTTTTCTGATATCCGAAAATTTGTATCTTTTTACTGCTAGAGGTCCATTGTTCTGAATGAAGGCCTCAAGATCTTGATGGCTCTTTGTCCTCATGAAAGTTTGCATCCTACTTTTAATACAGCAAACAATTACCGAGAGTGAGATCCCACTTGCTGTAGCAAAAGCACCTGCCAGCAAAACCACGAGATGTTTTAGGCACATTAATGGTGAATAAGTTTTAAGTATTCTTAAAAGAAATAGGGAAAAATGAGATTGAGGAAATTGCTTTCTGTTGCAGCGTTGGTATACAAAGAAAACAGCAGCTGTGCAAACAACTGGGGACAATGGGAGACATAAAGAGGTTGCGATTGATAGTTGGATCAGGAGTGAATATAATAATCTAGTTGGGAAAAGTAGTAAAACATTAGAGAACGGAAGAAATCAAAAAATGGGTTGTTGAGATATTACCGATGATAACCTTTCTTTTCCAGTTCCACGACCACGAATTGTCTGCAAAAGCAATCAAACAAGCAGAATTCGTAGATCAGCCAAAACCTAGCTACCAAATATTTTGCTTTTTAAATTTATATTTGCTTCAAGTAGAAATCTAACGGGACAAAGCTTCTGAAAAAAAAACAAAAAAAACAAATACAAAGACAAAGCTGGGTGGTGGGGAAGAAATATGCACCCCATTAAGGCGACTCATAAGTCATAACCTTGCGGCAATTCGATTCGACTAATAAATATGTGTTGCACACAAATCAAAGTACTAAAAGATGATATGCATACCACCCAAAATTGGGACATGTTTCCTCATGGGTTGTCCTTATTTTAATTACAAATTTATAAATAAACCTAATTCTAGACATGTATTTATAAAAAAACTCAAGCACTATTTAAACATAGAAACACACCCAAAATCAACAATTGTATATTTTTTGGGTGTGTTTATAAATGGGTTTTGAGTGTGTGTAATGATGGGTTTTGGGTGTGTTTATAAAGTGTTTTGGGTGTTGGGTTTTTTTATAATTTCAGCCTTAATTTTGGGTGTTTTAGTGAAACTCATTATTTTATTTTCATTTTATCAACAGGGAAGGGTAACCAGTCAAATAGCATCACTTCTGGTGTCCATGTTCACTCAGGGAAGGTTTATATGCAACCAATATCTGAATTCAGATGGAAATGGAATAGGAAAAGGCTCTAATTAACCAACAAACTCAAGATGAAATAAAACCAGAGCAAAGATAACAAAACTTGTTGATGAGGTAGAGGCTAAAGCAGAGCAAAGAGAATGACTTGGGACAGACAAAAGGATCATACGTTTTAGTTCTCTGTAATTATAATTACTTAACTAATCATTTCTTCTATGGGGGGTTAATTACAACTTATTCAGCCATCCCATTTCTAATTAAAAGTTCGTAATCTGAAGTGGTATCTCCAAATTCTGACTAATTAATGGAAACTCCAAACTAAAAAAGGCTAAACCAGGAAAATTATGAACAGGGAAAAATAAGAAGGAATTGACATGCGTACCTCCAGAATTTGGACAGGTTTCCTCATAAGGATGGCCCCCGCAAAAGCAGAGAAAAGAGTCAGTGGTGATGTTGGATCCGCAGGTTCCATTAGAGCGCATGCATAGCCCACAGAGCTCCCAGTTGGCCTTGTACTCAACCCTGAAGCCTTGCTTCAAAACTTGTTGCAGTACGTCCACCGTGGGATTCTGATGCAGAAGATCAACACCCGTCCGCATTATGGGGACACTGATATTGTTGAAGCACAAGGTCTCATTCTGATGAGGAGTAAGCCTCGAGATAGAGTCGTCTATATAGAACGCAAGATCATTTTGGGTACCCTCTATTTTGCAAGTAAAGTTATTTGGGACTGTCTCCCTGTGAGGAACGCATCCGTAGTACAAAGTCAGGTTCCGGACAGCTTCAACGTAAGCGAAACGATCGTAGTCCAAAGTGGTGTTGACGAGCCTGCTAGGGCAAGGACTGTCCCAGAGGTCTAGGCGAGCAATTTTGATGATGTAAACTTCCCTGCTAATGTCCAAGACAAGGAAATCTTGGTCTTCAATTCTGATAACAGGGTTTTGATCATCTCGGCAGGTGAGTTGGTAGCCTTCTCGCCCGCAGTGTTGGGGCCGACTGTTGGCTGCCCAGAAAGGGTAGGATATGTTTTTAAGCAAACCGCAGTCGTAGGTATAGCGGCACTCTGTGTATTGAGCAGCGTCATCGCAGAGAGCAGAGGGCATCAACGTTGTGATCAAGTTGAAGATGATGAAGAGGATGGGTAGTCTTAGGAAGATGTGGTCTGTGGGCATGGTCATCTGCAGAAGCTCATGAAGAAAATTAGAATTGGAGAATCAGAATGATGATGAGCTGGTTCGGTATAGTCATTCGTAGAAAGCTCATGGAGAATCAGAATAGAATTGGGCTGGTGAGATGATAAGCTAGAATCAGAATAGAAGTTTCAAAGGTATGTTTCTTAGAATTTTCCCGACAATGCGAGAGAAAGAGTGGCTGTTGAGTTTTCTTCTATGAGCTTGGTCCTTTGTGTGAGTGATTTTGGTCAATGGACATTTCTCCGTTGACGAAATTAATGTGCTAATTTTTATTTTCAGATGGGTTGGAGTCAATGAAGCAAGAGGTGACTGATGAATGCGCAGGTCATAAAATCTACAGAGCTAACTCAACCTGATTGATGTTCGAGTTGGGTTATTTGGTGCATTATACTTTACATAAGCAACCAAAAAAAAAGACACAAAATGAGCACCAGGATGAATGAACATTTTGTTGCCTCCCACATTTTCTCTGACATTCCAATGCCTAAAATCTGGTGGTTTTAAATATCATTGAAAAAAGTTACTGTTAGCCAATTATTTGGAATAAGCATAAATGTAGGAAAATGCATAAAGTTGTATATATTTGTACCCTTCTTAGCTTTGACCGGTCAACCACAAACAACTTCAAAAAGTCTTGTACTGTGCTAATGTTCTCCGAGGCTAGCTTCTTGTGAAAAGCTCCGTCTTTCCCAATCTTCTCCAGGCGCCAAACTTCATCTTCCAACATGGGTGGATGATGCTTCTTGTACACTTCACATAAAAAATCTGGGATTTGGTTGCTTGCTTGCTTGCTTGCTTGCTTGCTACTTGGATTAATTTCTTACAAGACTCACAGATACATGCAGTAGAATAAAATTTGTATGCAGCTAGGCACGTAACTCCAAAATGCATGAGATAATTCTGGCAACATCAATAGGATCAACGTTTGCAAGACTGCACGCAGAGGAAATCAAATTATTAGAATACCCTTAGACCCGAATCATCGATCCTCTGATAAATATATATATA